TATATATATATATTGCATGTTATTAGTATTAGGTAATTTCGATATTGTTAGTTATAGTGGAAGCTACTTTTTTTCTTCTTAACAAATTCTTAATTTCCTTTTCCTTTAGCTTAAGCCTGAACCCTTGTAAATTAAAAGGAGAAGGAAATGATAACTTAAACCATGAGTTAATTAAAAAAATGTTGTTATTAATTTTGTTGTTTTGATTTGGCATACTCAACAATGATTTGAGTTTTCTCTTTGTTAGAGTTTGCAAGAAAATTCACATGCATGTTATATTATATTTTTTTAAATTTGCGAACAAGATTTTATTTTACATGTCTGATAGCCAAGCAAGTAAGCAATCTTTAAATCATGTAATATTTTTAGATTATCGTGATTTTCTTAGTTACTTGTTGTTCATACTTATTACCTTTTTGTAAGTTTTATAGATTTGATATGTTATAGATTTGTTCATAGCATTTATTGTATATGTTATTGTTCTATCTTTTCATTGTGTTTCAGTTTCACTTAATCTTAGCATGTTAGTTTGCTTTTATGTGAAGTTTTATGAAGCTAAATATAGTTTGTTTGTCGTTGTATCCTCATTTTCCTAAGTCCAATTATCTAAATTGTATAAAATTAAGTTGCAATAAAAAGTTTTTTTTAATGTTTGTATTATTGTTGATAACTCTTGTGAAGTTAGATAAAATAAATATCTTAAGATATAGTGTATTGATAAATGAAGTAAATTGATTGGTAATTTAAGGTTATTACATTAATAATGTTATTAAGAAATCAAAAATTTTATATTTAATGATTTTATCATGTTTCAGTTTTTATTATAATTATAAGTTTTAAACTGTACTAAATCTAAAATTGATTTATTTAACTTTGTTTTAGATTTATTCATTTAAATTTATTTATGTGCAAATGTTGCTATTCATTAAATATTTTAAACAAAAAATTGCTTGAATCAAACTTTTTTTTAACTATCTATGTAATTGAGAGTACTTTTTTGTGCGATTAATTTAATCTGTAGGTGAATATGCTGGTACACAAGGCTTAGGACTATTACGACTGCACAGTACTTATCGCCATGATTTAAAGATTTATGCTTCTGATGAAGGAAGAGTACAAATGACTGCTGCTGCATTTGCAAAAGTATTTAAAAACTGTTTTAATTTACATAAAGTGTTATAAAGGCAAATAAAAACACATGTTATTAGTTTTGTATTTGTGAGTAGGTTTGAAAAACATAATGCTGCAACTGAATGCCAAAAAATTAATATATATATAGATTTGTTTTTAAAAATTTTACTTTACCCACAACTTACTTTGCACGAAGTATTTTTTATTTTGGTTATTAGCTTTTAAAGAAGTAATAGAAAAATCAATTCATGAAAGTAAAATCAGCATAATATTGAATATATCTTTACTTATAAAAGGAAGAGTGTAAGTAACTCTATGTGTATCTCTCTTGTAACTCCTAAATCATTTGTTCTAGACTTCTGAGTTTTGAACAGAAGGTATGAAGAGCAATTTTAGGAAGTGATCTCGGAAATTTTAATTAATTTCTTTTGTTTAAAAATGTATACATCGATTTTTAGACATCAAAGCAGACTTAGTAGAATTTTTTATTTTTTTCCTTGAAAACAGTCTTTTATGTTTTCTTAGGAAATTTTTTTTATATACTTTTGGCAACATAATTTATAAAATCCTTTTTTTTTTGCGACTTTTTCTCTTTAATATTTTAAAATTACTCTTTAATATTTTAAAATAACAATTCTATTAACTTGAAATTTCGATAACAATGTATAGAGGTTCTTTGTATATTATTTGACAGTAAAATAGTTGTAGGATTTTAAATATAAGATCTTTTACTATTAAATAAAAAACACGTATTTCCTTTTGCTCCAGAAATATTTTGTAAATCATTCTTAGCTTTCTCTATTTTTTTACTACACTTCAAGATTGTGTGCTTAGAAAATTGAGTGGAATTAAAAATACATAAAAAATGGATAAAATCATTATCTTCTATTATCAAATTTTGTTCAATATTTTTTTTTTTATCCCTATGAAAAACAAGTATTCAGCTAGTTTTTAAATTTTTAAACATCTTCACAAAATTGATCAATAATAAATTTTTTAAAATGCAGAGTTAGGATTCATTGGTTAAATTATATTAAAAAAATCTATGGATTGTATTAGATTTTGTGTATTATTAATTGATATGACATGTAAGTCATTGAACCATTTCATACATGGAAGATTTAAATATTCCATTTGATGCTATTTTGTTACAGACAAGATACAAAGTCTCCCTCAAGGGCAAAGTATAAATTTTTATTCTTTTATAGTGGTGTTTTTGAAGTAGCTTAAAATTTAGTGACAGAGAATTATTATAGCTGAGCTATAATAATATGTTTTCTTTTTATCATTTTCAATGAATGAACAGAAAGCTTCCTTCTTTTATAAGTTATAAAACTAATAATATAGCTCTATTATAATTTTTTTTTTTTTTATTCTCAGTGCGTAGTGTGATTTTTGTTTATGTAAAATACTTTCCCTTAAAATAAGAGCATAAGTTCTCTAGTTTCTTTCTTTGCTTTTGCTGTGTTTTCTTCTGAATAAAAAATAAATAATTTCTAGTTTTATAAATTATGCTTATACATGATATTAGTTCAAGTTAATACATATGTTCTAGTTAATCTAAACATTTACCTACAGGGTTTACTGGCTCTTGAAGGAGAATTGACTCCCATCTTAGTGCAAATGGTTAAAAGTGCAAATACTAATGGTCTTTTGGACAATGACTGTGATTCTAGTAATTACCAAAACATGTAAGATATAGTTTCTGTTTTATAACTATATTTTTCTATTCATTTTTATAGATGCATGCCCCAATTCTCATACATGCACATCAGTTTCTTAGATAATTTACCAATATGTTTCTTTTAGGATCAAGCAAAGACTTCATGAAACATTGCAAATTGACAGAGAATTCTCCGAAGAAGATTTTGAAAAGGTAATTATTTTATTTCGCAAAATTTTTCTTTCTAATCCATTGAAAAAATTTGATCCAGCTATTTTTCTATTTTTATTTAGCTTAAATTTACTCTTTAGTTTAAATACTTCATTTTATGTTTTAAATGTTTCAGGTTTTTTTTTTAAATTGTGTAGTATTTTTTTTCCTATTAACTGATTAACCATAATATAATTTTTATCAAGTTTTTCCTTTTTTATTTGTTGCTAAAAATAATCTTAACATATTTTTCCTTTATAAACAACTTTATAATAAGCTTATTTTTTTGTTTTGTTTTTAATTCCCTAATGTATTATAAATGAAGGATGAACTATTCTGGGTATCTTGTATGCCACTCCAAATTACTTTCAATCTTCTTCCTATGCAGTTTTAAAAATAAATGAATGAACAATAATGAAGTACAAATTTTGCAAATTATGAATTATGTTGCAAAACACAATATCAGTTGTGAAGCTAGTCAGTAAAGACCTCTTTAAACATATGCAGGGGAATTTTTTCTAAACAATTTTCAGTAGATCAATTTAAATTTTTAGAAAATTCAAAACTAACTTACAATAAATGTAGCTAAGGGGCCAAAAAGAAAATTTGAATGTAAGAAAATTGAAAATGAGAAATATAAATATTGTATACAAGTTAATTAAATTGATTGGATTATTAATTGTTTTATTATGGTTTTAATTTTTCAGTATTGAATGATTAAAATACTTTTGAAATTTAAGAAAAAAAATTAAGATAAGCTTATTTTCAAATGCTGGTGTGATACATGGAAAGAACCCTCTGTACCACATTTGGCATGCATGTCATTTGTTGGTCAATCCTTCCGTAAATTTTTTTCCGATATGTTCTTCATAATTTCTGAAAAATCATCACACTTTTTTCTTTCTTTTTTATTTTCTCTTCGTGTATTTAAGTGTATAATCATTAAAACAATTGTTTCTTTTTTAAAATTTCTGTCAGGAGGCCCATGTAAGTCTAGATTAATCCATTAAACTTGTGCATGTCTTTATTAAAGCATGATATTTTTATTAATTTACTTATACTGTTCCCCTTCTTTTTTCCATCTTTTTCACTCTAAGCTTGAATTAATAATTTACTTTTTTGATTTATTGAGCTATGTTGCAGTAATAAATTATTTTATGCAACTTGTTTACATTTTTAGCTTATATATCTATTTGCTAGTTGTGGACGGGTGTTGGCCAGATAACCAATGGGTAATATTTATCCTTTGGCTTTCCTTACGCTATGTTAGACTTAACTGAATTATGGGGTTCAGTTTTGTTATCTTTAATCTGTAGCCTCATTTGGATTTGTTGCAGTATATCTGAAAAGTTCTACATTCAACCAACTTATGTTATTAACTAAATAGGAAATTTTGAACATGTTATTATCTCTTTACGTTTTTAATACCTCATGTCACCGTGATATTGGGGAGAAAACTAAACAAAAATAGTTATTTGAATTTAATAGGTTAAATCCATTCAGCTAATTAATTAATTAGTTTTTTTTGTTCTAATTTTATGTTCATTAAAATGTTTATTTTGTGCATTCAAATAACCTCAAATTTCTTTTGCTTACAAATGTTTTTAGTTAAACCCAACCAAAGCTAGATCAATACACAATGCTCTTCAGTTCATCAAAAATCCTGTTAAGGCTTGTGAACACGTTCATGACTTGATACAGCAGCTGAACTTATTGATTAAAAAAAAGAAAGAAGATCCTCGATTGCAAGGTGGGTTCTGAAAATGGATAAATATGCTAACCTAATATTATGTATTTTTGAAATAACATCATTATTTATTTTCAGTTTTTAAAAATAGTCTTGAACAAATTATACATAACAAATTATACATAACAACAAATTATACAAACAAATTATACATAAACAACAAACAAATTATACAACATTATACAATTATTGAACAAATTATACATAACAAATTATACATCTTGAACAAATTATACATAATTCTCACAAACAACAAAAACAATTAACCCCTTACCTGCCAAGTAAAATTTACGTGATTCACGCCCCAGTGCCACCGTTTTTTCGCTCAAGTGCGCTTTGTTGCACAGTGTTTCGGTGGGGAAAAAAGATGCACGCTTTGCAATTTAAAAACAGTTTACTTTCACAAGAGAAGGAAAAAAAGAAAATACAAAACTTAAATTAAAGAATAAAAATACAATATAGAAGATGTTAAAACTTAGTTGTTGTATGATAAATCCTGAAACATGGTTGGACACATAAACCAACATCACATTCATTGCACTGATAGCGGGATTCTTGACGAATATACACAGGAAATGAAAGAAGAATAAACACGACCTTACTCAAATAGAAACACACAAGCAATAAATATTATGATATAACTTTTCCAACACATCCCTTTCCCATTCCCCCTCCTGCGAAATTGGTAATACATTCATTGCAAACACTTTCAAGGTCATTTTACTGCATTCACTAGTCGGGGGTGTAGTTCTATTTATAGCAGCGCAACGCAAAGCATCGTACTTCAGGAAAGCGTGTATATACGCCTGTGGCAGTTAATACATCGTCTGGCCAAGTCGTATATGTACGCCCGCGGCAGTTAAGGGGTTAAAGCTTCTCTTCCAATATGCACATTTTATTAATATTATTTTATTAAAAAAAAACTCACTGTGGTCTTTAATTTTTCCATAAAAACTAGCTGTAATTTAGAAGTGCATTTAAATTTCATTTTTTTTTCATAAAAAATAACTAAAGCTACTCTAATGAGCTAAATTTACTGATTATATTTTGTTTGAGAAAATCACAGTTGTCTTCAAAATTATGCATTGCTTTTTCATTATTTCTTGTTGCATGCACAGAGGCTCCTTTATATCATGGAGAAACATGGGATTTAATGCAGAGAAGATGGTCCAAATTAGAAAAGGATTTTAAACTGAAGACTGGAAAATTTGATATCAGTAAAGTTCCAGACATATATGACTGTATAAAATATGACCTTCAACATAATCACCACAATCTTCAGTTTCCACACGCAGAAGAACTATATATTTATGCTAAAGCTTTAGCTGATATAGTCATACCTCAGGTAAATTTGTTTTCGTTCAAAACTGTGTTTTCTTGATAAGTAAATCATTGAACTAGTATTTCACTTTTATTTTGAAACTTAAATATTACAATAACTTTAATAAAAACCATAGATGCAATGTGAGAGAGTTGGCACAATTTTTTTGTTTTTAGAAAACTTCGTTTATTTTAAGTTTTATGTATATAAGCATATTTATTTTTTACATGCATATGCATTTACATATAAATGTACATATCAAACTTAAAACAGACGAACAGGTTTTTTAAAACAAAAAGTGTGCCCCTGTCACGCTACGGTAAAAATTATTGCAATTTTAGAATAATAGAAATTATTTTATATGCTCTTGTATTTTTAACTCTTAAGTTTTTAGCATAATCTGACTAAGAAAAGAGAAAAAAAATTATTTTTAGGAAGCGTTTATTCTAGGCAATATGTTTTGTATTAAAATATATTCTTCAGGCAATTAGTTTTTGCAATTTACGGTAATTTTAATTTGCACTTGTTAAATTTTTAAAGATATATTTTGATGTAATATTTCAGGGGTTATGTTTCATTTTTACAGTTTAAGGGCTTCAAGCAATATAGTTATAAACCATATTTTTTACCAAACTTGTTATTTTTGCAAACTGCTCTTGTAATACTAATAATTAATTGTTTTCAAATAGATACTTTGACAGGTTTCTATAATTTTCATTAAATAGCAGCACAATATGCAGAAATATTTTATTGGCTCCGTTTAAGTCATAGAATTTCTCTTGAAATTCATCACCTGAGCTATAAAAAAATGTGGCTTATCAATATATATTTCCCCAAGCTCTTTAATTACAGTGGTGCCTAAAATAAAAATTTAATATTTCCTTTCCATTTGTCAAGAATTCTTTTATTATTTTGTACCAAATCTGATGTAATTTGTATTCTTTACATAGGAATATGGAATCAATCAACATGAAAAACTAACAATTGGACTTGGTATATGTACTCCATTGTTAAAAAAAATCAGGGCTGATCTTCACAGAAACATTGATCCCACAGCTGATGAGACGGAAAATGTAAACAGACTCAATCCTATGTGAGTTGTTTTTAATGCGTCTACTTACAGTATTACTTGGTGCATAAATTTTACTTTTTTTCCTGCCTTATAACCTTATTTGAGGCAGATCATCCTAAAGGGCACCAAAATTTTTCTAGACAGCAGTTTAACATTTATTTTTGTGATTTTCTTTGGTAATTATATTAAATTTTATTCATTCCTTTATTTTTGTAGTTTAAACTTCATGATGTAATTAAATGAAGTTGGGAGTGTATTATGTTTGCAATGACTCGTCTGTTTTTAGGGATTCTCTCTTCTTCTTTTTAATTTTTTTTTATTTTAAATTTTTTTTTTAGCAAAAGCTGAATAAAATGTAATAAATAAAATCAAAAAACAATTACACAGAGAAGAAACAAAATGAGCAACTCACTTTTAAAACTCTTTAAGTCTGTGCCAGTGACAGCAGAAATGAATTTATTAAAAAATAAAAAAAACAAGGGGAAAAAATATACATTCTGAAAATATATAAAATATTGAGTTTAAGAACATATTAAAGTGAATAGTTAATAAACAGGTTGTTTCTTTTCTTTTCTTTTCTTTTGTTGCATATTTAAGCTTGGCTATATTAATAGCTAACAGCTTTCTACTGTTGTTCAGCTCTTGAATTTAATGAAAGGTAATTCCACATTAATGTTAAAATTTTTTGATATTTTATATTGGATTAAAAAATACATTTGTTGTTGGTCAGTTGTCAGATCTTCATATGAAAATTCACATTGAAATGCAAATTGTATTGAAAAAATAAATAGTAAATGACACCACATCAGTTGTAGTATTTATCTAAAAATGTGGCAATAAGTTACTTGTTTTCTAGATGTAAGTCTGTTAGAGGTAAGACTTTTTTTTAAAAAATTTATATTAAATTGTGGCAACAATCTAGTTTTATGAAAGCTATGTTTTTGAATTTCTATTCAATTAAAGACATTATTTTTAGAATAAAATATGTAATTTCTACGTAATCGTCTAAACACAAGGTAATCTCTATTTGACTATTACGACAACATATACTTAATCAGAGTAATTTAAGAATTTTTTAATTAATTCTAAAAACATTTGCATAATTTCTAAGGTCTTATTCAATATAACCAGGCTTGAAATAATTTTATGTATTTTTGAACTAAAAAATGCCTTTTTTTTTTCATTTTTAACTATTAGTCTATAACTTTTACCTGTGGAAATACTCTGAAATATTACTTTGTTCTACTAAAAGCTCTTAAATAATCAATTTAAATGAAAGTGTGTTTAAAATTTTTTTTTCTATAATATTCCAAGTATTTAGAATTGTTTTATATTTTTCTATATTTTCCTATAGGTACTCACATGGTGTCTCCTCACCTGAAAGGCATGTTAGAACACGTCTTTATTTTACCAGTGAAAGTCACATTCACTCACTGTTAACAGTCTTACGTTATGGTGGTTTACTTGATGTAAGTTAAAATTTCTAAGTAAATATAATTTGTTCTTATTTTATGTTTTCTAGTTTCTATTAAAAGTTGTTCACGAAAGATTGTTATAAACTACTGCAACTAATTAATGACCGAAAATAATATTTTAATTTTGTCATATTGTTGTATATATATTGTGTGAATTGAAATTCATAAATGTTTATTAATTTTGAATTTTGGCTTAATTTTGAAACGGAAATTATTCTGATTTTTGTAACAAACAAAATTGAACACTATTTTTTTTATATATTTTTTATTTTTGTAAAAAGTTATTATAATTAAAATTTCTCTTTTTTAATAAATAATTGTTTTATTATTATTTTTTACTATTATATTTCCTATTATTTTGAGTATAATGACATAAATCATGTTTACTAAAAATATTTATTGTTGCAAGCAATGATTTTAAAGTAGAAGATATGAAAAAATATCCGTTATTTTAATTTATTTTGATTTGAACGTTAACATAAAAGTAAAAAAATTTGATGTTTGTTAATTGTTTCAACATAAAAGAAAGGAGAAAAACTTTGCTTCCAAACGAAGGATTTTCACATCATACCACAACTTTCATTATAAAAAATACAAAATTCACAAACTTTATTAGCATACTTAAAAAAATTTTTAATTAAAAGAATTTGTGCAACTAGGATTTTTTTTCTTTCAGAACTTCATGATAAACTTTAAACCTAGTTAAATTTAATTCAGTGGAATTTTTTTTCAAATTATTTTTATGTTTATAACCATGGTTTTAATTTTTATGGTTTTAATTTTAACAATTTTACAAATTTGTGTATCGATATTGTTTAAATTCAATCCATGTACAGTTGGTATACCACTGTTCTGATTGAATCTTATCCTGGACAAATCCATGTTTCTTTTTAAAGATAACTGAACTAAATAAGTTGTTTACTAATTTTTTTTTATTTACTAATATGCATGATTCAAAGCAGTGGCCAGAACCATGTTCATTGTGCAGTTGCTTACCAGAAGACATTGAAGATGAACAGTGGAGAAGAGCTATGGAATATGTTAGTGCTGTTTCAGAACTTAATTATATGACTCAAGTCGTCATCATGTTATATGAGGATCCAACTAAAGTAACTTAGCTTTTTTTAAAATTAATTATGATAATTGATTCTTATTATTTAATTAATTGTATTAATTATTATTTTTAATCAATTACTTATTGATGAATTTTATTAATTATCATTATTTTTTATTATTGATATTTTTATCTATGCATTGTGTTGAAGAAGCCTCTGTCCTAAATTAATAATTTTAAATTTAATTCTCAAATAGGCATGAAATGAGAGCAACTATTATTATCAAAAGAACTGGTGCCTTCTAGTTTATACACTATGAAAAGGAATAATTAGGAAGCTGAGTTTATAAAGGTTCTAAGTAACTTTTCAGTGATTTCATGTCAATTAGCTTTAAAGTTTATTGACAATAGAAAATTAAAATTCTGCTTTCAATTGGCTTAATCCCTGTTCTGTTGGATTTTTTTTTTGTTCTTAAATTTCCAATCCAAAAAAAGTTTTTTTTTTATTGCTAAAAATTAATGTTTTGTTCTAAATTCAAAAATATAAATCACTATATAGTAATATATAAATTACTAAGAGTAATTTAAACTGTTCACATTTTAATTTGTTGCCAGATGAGAGGTTTTGTAATTTTACTTGTTAACTGTCTGTTGCCAAATGCATTGGAAACTTTTTCCCCCTCTGAAATTGCTCAACCATTATCATTTACTACCTGCATCCACCGAGATCTGCTACTGAGCTTTAGCATTTGAAATGACTGTTGTATAGTTAAATAAGACTGAAGTAAGATTATTTCCTTACATTTTTTTAAATGTCACTTAGAACCTTCTTCCTCAACATTTTACAATTGTGCCAATGCTAATCTTGTTTCATCTTTGGTGAAAAATCGCTGAAATTCGTTCCCGCTTAGTTTAAACATTTGATCATTGCTCCTTTTGGCACCAAGTTACAGATATAAACTTGAAGTGAGGGAAATTACCTTATTGCTATATTGGGTAAAATTTTGACTTTTACAAGGCAAAGCTGTGAGCTATGTTCAGTTAAGTAAAAACTGATAGTAAAAACTGATTGCTGTCTTTCATAGCAAATTTATTTTTCTCTATGAAAATTTTTTACAAATTTGCTCAATGTTATAGGATTAAAGCTTGTTTTTACTTATTTACTATAGTACTTGTTTATTAATCACTTTCCCTTATTTTCTAAAATGATAAGTTTTTAAAAAATAAAATTTAAGTATAAAGCTAGCAGATGCAACAAATAGAAATTATGTCAACTACTAATAGCTTTTTCCATATAATATCCTATACATTATCATCACAATATAAAAAACTGTAATGTAAAATACTTACGAAACAGACAGTTCTCGTTTTGCCAAATGTGTTGATGATAGTTCTCTAATTACATATTCTTAATTACATATTCTGGATTTCTTTAGTACAAATCTTTCTTATTCATTTTTTTTCTCTATAAGTGTCAATGTAAACTTTTTAAGCATGAAAGAAATATAGCCTTAACAGTTAAAGTATTGAAATGATCTTTTATCCATTTTCTTTTTAATATTTAGAAGCTATGAATGGTCAATAGCATTAGAGAATATTCTCTGTATTGCAATTTTGCACTCATTTCATATCAAGAAATTTAATTTTATTAAAAATTATTTATATTTGGGGTTATTTTCATAAAAATAAAATTTTAAGAATCAATGTTTTATAATTTTTATTTTTAATTAACTTTTTTTCTTATGTAATATAGTGCTTAATATTTTTTAAGATTGTTAAATATATTTTTTACCTTTGAAGGACATATCTTCTGAAGAAAGGTTCCATGTAGAGCTTCATTTTAGTCCTGGTGTTGTTTGTTGTGTACAAAAAAACTTACCTCCGGGTCCAGGCTTCCGACCTCAGTCTCGAAGTGGGCCAGTATGTATAAATCAAACTTTCTTTTATTTCTGATGATACAATTATGTTTAAACTCTTATTATTTGAATTTCCTATATTTCTGGATCATTTTTAATTAAAATCTTTTAATTTATATCTGTATAACTTTTATCGTACTTTCTTGACAACAATTCTAACTTTTTTCTTTCACAAACCATCTACAACAAGCTCTAAAAATATTGCCTCTTGAACTATGGTTGTTCCAAAATAAGCTTAATAAACATTACTTTACCTTTTTTAAGGAATTCAATCTATTAAAATACTAAAAGTTTATTAACGTAAATAAAACATTTATATCTGAATTAAGTGAATAATTAAATGAGCAATAAGCTTAGTTATTAAGGAAATATTAATATTAACTAGATAAACATTATGAGGAATAAACTCACAAAAAAGCCTCTGCATTTGAAGTGTTCAATATTTTGCATTGTTTAATATTTTGCAGTGCTTAATGACAATTGTTTTATAGTAGGCTGTAATTGAGAAAATAATTTAATATGCAATAATTAATTAAATTAAATGTTATTAAAAATTATTAATTTTATGTGCTAAAGTTAGCACAAAAGAATGTTTTGCGAACATGTTCCTAGCTCAATAAACTAAGTAGTTTTAATAAATTTCATATTAACTTGTTCATTATTGAAGTTTTTGTGCTTTATTATTGACATTTTGTTTATTCATTAAGATATTTTATTAAAGATAACCACTAAAATATTCTTATTTGGTCAGATTTTGCTATTGTGTGTATAAAACTATGTATCTTATGGGTTACAATAAGCTTTCAAAGTTTAGATAACTGACACACTATGGCTACAAAATAATTTATTACCCCCATAATTTATTTATATGTTTTATTTTATTAAAAAAAATTATTTTATTTGTTATTTTAAACAAAATATAATTTTAAAAAATTATTCTTTATTTTATTAGTTTTTTATCACTTATGAAATATACGTAAGTAAAAAAAACTACTTTTATTTTTATTAAATAACTCTATAAATATATGCATATTATAACATAAATTAAATTTATGGCCTTTCTATGCAACTGAAAATTACATATGGCCTTTTTTGTTACATATTGTTTTGTTCTTTTTTTTTCTTTTCTTTTCTTTTTGCATCAATAGTTCGTAAGTTTTGAAAAATTTGAAAGCTAAATATTTATTGTCTATTTTTAAAATCATTTTCTGATTGTTAATTTCTAAATTGAAAGTACATTTAGATCATTTACCAATATGCTTTTTGGTTTAAAAATGTTATTATGAAAATATTTTGCTTGTTCTAGAAACATATGAGGCTAATTTTAACATTAAAATAGGCATGTTAATGCTAAGAAATTAAAATATGTTTAGAACTTAATCACTAATTTTAAAATTATAAATTTTTATGAAAAGTGTCCATAATTTATTTGTTTAGGTTTATCATTTTGTAATTTTATTAACGATAACTTCAAGCCTCTATAAGTAGAACATTTGTAATTAATTGGTTAATTTCCTTTTTACTAATAATCAAAAACAATAGATTTTTCTTATTAAAAAAATATCTAATTAGTAAAACTTAATCAAAGTTTCTCATTTTTATTCTACATTTTTGTACGTATAGTGCAGACCTTATTTTAAATAATAACTAAGTTTTTATAATAATTATCAATAATTTTTCATCCCGCTTTTTAGAAGGAAAGGCTTAATTGCCCCATGATAATGATGAGTGGGGAGAAACACACGCCAGGCTGCAGCTATGACTGTGAGAAACATGCCCGAATTGATGAAGAAGATGATGATCTCACTTTAGAAGAAGAAAATTATCAAGATATTGGAAGTGATCCAGTATGCTCTTCTCATTTTTGGTTAAACACTTATACTGCAAAAAACTGAAACTTGATTTAATTGTATATTATACATAAAATATTTCTTAATATATAATTGGTTTGTCAAATGGAAATATATGTTATGAAAAAACTAAATTTTAAAATATATATAAATATATCTTGCCTTGCTTTTTCTGAAGTTTATTTCTTAAACTTTTTAACAATTTTTACCTCACTTTTTTAAATATTTCTTAAAAGTTTTGTTTCTTCATTTTTTAATAAAAATAAGACTTAATTCTTATATGTTATATACTCACTTACAATAGTATATTTTGAGTGAATTAAGTTTTACGAAGGTATCATTTTTTGATAAGTAATCAGTATTCGGTTATCAGTTGTTTTTTTGAAACAAAGACTAATCTGTAACATTATTTTCTGAGTTTTCGTTTTCTGTGACATATATATTTATAACAAGGGAATAAGATTATAATTTAACATTTTAGTTAATTTCATCTGAAACAAATTTTGAATGGGGCTTATTTTTCAAATGTTTCATTATCATAATTTTTTTAATGTTTTCTGTAGTTGAAACTTTATTTCTCTATTATATTAGTTTTGTCATTTCGTTGTTTGACTTAGATTTCAAAACTGCCGAGTTCAAAATATTTCCAAAGATTTTGTGTATTCATCTTTATAATTTTAAATTAAGGGTTTTATTTTTAATCCCTGAATAACAAATATAGGAATACTTTCTCTTTGTGCTAACATAAAACGAAATATGTAATTAAGTTAGCTAGCAAATATGGTTTTTAATTGTAAAAGCATGTCTTTTGCTAAAATAAATTTGAATAAAAGAAATAAAATTTTGAGTGTTTTTAACACAATATAAGAATTTTAATAGTGAGAGAAAAAATTCTTTTCAACCTATATTGTGATTACCAATATTGTGATTGCTTTAGTTTTCTTGTATGAAAATTAAATCTTCAGTTTTATAAGAAATTTTATGTATGTAATTCATCTTTAAAAGAATTCTTGTTTAAATTTTAGAGCTCTAAATAATGTAACAAAGGTTTCATTACTTTTTTTTTCTTTAAATAAAATGCAACTTACCTTTAAACATAAAGTATACTTATAAAAACAAATATTCAATACAACTTTCTGTGTGTCTGCAATTTTTTAATGACTTTAAAATTCATTTTAAACTATAAAATTTGAAATGCATGTAATATTTTTCTTCTTCTTTTAAGTCTTGTTTGTAATTGATTATTATGATTTCTTTCACAAATAATTAGATTTTTCATCATTTGAAGTCACTTTTTCAATTATTTTCTCTAGAGTATTTCAAAATAGAAAAACTTAGTGGAATTTATGAAGTTTTAAATTAAATATATCTTACCTCTTTGCTTCATTTTAAATCTTAAGATAACTGAAATAGCACCAACGTAATCTCTTAGAAAGCAATTTTGCTATTTTCATTGTTATCAGAGACAAAACTAGAGTATCCTTAGAAGCCTTATGTGCACGATAAGGCAATAAGAAAATGATATCGCTCTTTCATAAATACAAAGATGATTTAAAATACAAATAAATTATTATATGCATAAAAAAATAGTTTTTTTAACTAATGCTATAAACTTCAAAATAAGAACTTTTACATTTTTGAATTCAATTTGCAAAATTTTGAAGTAAAACGTAATAATATTCCCAAAGTAATTACACTTGAAAAAATTATTAAAATATATAATTGTTAACGAATAATTTTAACTTATTTTATAATTGTTTTATTAATTTAGCATTCATATTTCCTTGATATGCAACAAAAAAAAATTTGCTTCAAAAAGTTGCTCCATGTCCTTATTTTGTTAAGTTTGTTTTATTCTATTCAGTAAATTATGAAACAAAATTTTAGTGTGGGTGAACTATCTCGGTAAATGACTTAATAGTTTTTAGAATATTGTGCCAGTTGAGCAGTTATTTATTTGTGAATTACTGTTATCTTTATTAGAATCATTTACCTGGTTCTGGATAACTTGTCTGGATAAGATTCTGGATTACTTGTATATACTTGAAAATGCTGAGCAAAAAATCTGTTTTAAAGTATACCTTTATTTTAAAATTTCTTAATTATAACAGTTTCAACACAAAGGAGCAGGAAGAACAATAAACAATAATCATTTAATAATAAACAATAAACATTAACAATGAATATTTTAAAAGAAACAATAAAAAGTCAAAAGGGGAGCAAACGACTATTTCATTTAAAGTTTGATAGTTTAAGTATTCTTGTTCTTGCTTCCCAATATAAATTGGTGATCTCTCCATTATCCTTTGACCTTCTTTCTAGACCTTATTTATTTTAAAGTTTAATTGATTTTTTTAATCATTAAAAACTATATCCACCACTTTGCAAAATAAATTTATAATTCATTAGTATAAAAATATTTTCAAGACTTCCATTCAAATTTTTGAAAATAATATGTTGATACTCCTCCTTATAAGCTTTTCAAATAAAATCTAGGTTTAAATACTCAGCTTTTAAAAAGCCATACAAAAACATAACTGATTAATAAAGCATAAATATTATTTATTATGAAATATAAATGTGAAAATATTACTATTGAATTCATTAAAAATAAAGTACTTAATGAACACCCACTAAAATTACCATTTAAAAAAATGATATTTTATATTTTAATATCCTTATCATTATTTGTACCTGTGTTCCTCAACCAACTGGTATTTTCCAAGAAAAATGAAAAGAAAAAAATGAAAATTAAATTTTACGACATAGAAAAACATGTTGCAGTATAAAATATTTGAAAACTTCGTTATCCACTATAATAACTTGTTTCAAAATGATAAATCTTGAAAATGAATATTTGCTATGTAACTTAATTTCAATTTTCATATTTAGTTTCACTTTTTTCATTTTTTTAAGGGAGTATTCTGAATTTGGCATATTTTATCTGATAACAAGATTATGCAGTTAAAGTGTTATTTTATTTCGTTTACAAGAAGAAAAAAAGTTCTCCCTTTCTTATTTCTAGTATATGTTTCCAAGTTTCAGGAGAACAACAAATTTTAAAACAACATATTTTTAACAATTTAAAACAAGTCACTGTCAAATTCTTTAATTAAATCACTGAAAAAAGAAACAAAGTCCTTAAGAGTTTTTGTTATCTTAGATAAAATTTGAGAATGGTTTGAATGTTTTTCTTTATTGGTAAACATATTTTTTATACATTCTATCCCTAAATAAAGTTTTTTTCATGTTATTAATAGGATTCACCTACTATTCTTGAAGAAAATGAAGTGAAGGATGAAAAGAAGATAAATTCTAGTCGATCTAAACCATCTGAACCTATTCCTATTCAAAAAACAACCACTAAAGTTACTACTAGTTAGTATAACTTTTAATTTTAATCTTCATTTTTTTACCTGTTGACTCACAGATTATGGGCTAGAAAGGCTTTTCAAAATAATATTAGTATGATATGTGTCCAATTTCTGTATTATTTTTATGCAATATTATTAATTTACCTAAATAAGGTACCTTGAGCAATCTGAGTTTCTGAAAAGGCCAATAAAACTATTTTTGATATCTTTGTTTTAAATGTTGAGACTGAGTTCATTTAAGGTAGAAACTGTGTGCTTTTTTGCAAGATAGATTTAATTAGTTACCAGGTTTTTTATTCAAATGTTGTAGCAAAGTTGCATAGGGAGAAAAAAAAATTATGCTTTCTGTCTGAAGATTTTATGAGTAAAAGTTTAATATTATTGCTGGGTTTCAATCAAGTCATTGTTTGAAATGAACTAAAGCGGTGATTTACTCATGACCACCCAATGCTATTTATCAATAGCATTAAATTCCCACAGCTAACTCTAATTCTGTGAAAGTTGAGTCAGACTAGCATGTTCTCTCATCCTGCTATTTTGTGTTCTTCTATTAATAGGATTTTACTGTATTTTATTGTACAGTTTGTACAGTTTTATACAGTTTTACTGTACAGTTGTATTGTACAGTTTATTGAAACTATTTTAAATATTTGACCCTCATTGAGGACAGGAGTGATACATATCAGTTTCCCTTTTATGTTAACATTATTTTATTTAAATTATTATTTTATTTAAATTATTATTTTATTTAAATTATTATTTTATTTATTAACAATGAGTTCTCTAGTTTTTTTAATTTTATAAAAAAACCTTTTGTGTTTGGCTGCATACATAAAGAAATATACCTTCTTGAACCTAAATGATTACTTAAGCAGACAAAGCTAAGGAACTTTTTTGTTGTTTCTTCTACTGTTATCACTGCATGCACTTCAAACTACTAAATCTAGTTTGTCATTCTGTCAACAGATTCTAAATGTGTTTCAAAGAATTGTATGTTATTTACTTAGCATAATTATTCTTTTTTTCAGGTCTTCCACATAAGCCTTGTGTGATAATGAAAAGCAGCAGCGACTCATCTCGCCCTAGAAGTCTTGATAGTGAGAGTAAACAAACAAAAGCAGACAAAGGTAAAATATTATGTATAATTAAAAATCTTAATATAATTTTAATTTCTTTATTAACTTACCTTCTAGAGATAGTTGACTCACTTCAGTGTCCTATGACCCAGATGCAAATTGGCTTCTTGAGTTTGATTTTGTATTGACTATTATGCTGATATTAATAGTCTCTATGCCAAATAGCTAATAATCACTGTAAATTAATTTTGAAACTTTTAATTGATTTACATATAGCAAGAAAGACACTACCTATTTTTATACCCTTCTCACATTAGTTGAAGATTATATAATGTATAAAAAAATATGTTGTTTTTTTATATTATACCAACATGTTTTAAAGCTCTAAAATATGTTGGTATTTTCACACATTCCATTTCGTATTTCATAATGAAAAAAAAAATCACTTTTATGTACTAGTGAATTTTGATGACAAGTACAAAGCACCTAATACAAACCAGGTTTTAAAAAAAATAGTTGCAAATACTTTTTGCATAGCTTATATATGAAATAATGTGTTTGTAAAATGTGTTACAAGAAATTTTAAAATATTTTATTACTTTAAAAATTTCGTATTTTTACGACTTATGTATCAAGGTTTCACTCTTGTGTATTTTGAAGCATCGTAAATCCTTGTTTTCTTATATGTATATTATTATTTCTATTTTGTAGAATTTGAATTAATAAGATTTCTTTTAAAATATTAAAATTAAATAAACTAAGTTTTCATAGCCCTGATTGGTAACTTACATAATATAATAATCACTGTTTTATCTTCAAAGGGTGTATTAAAAAACCATTTTTCAACTTTTATGAAATCGCTTCACTTTTGGATCATAGGCAATCTTTACAAAGAATCAGATAAAAATTATAGAGTTGTAATTCTCGTGTAATTCAAAGGCAATCTTCTAATGTATTATATTTCATTTTACTATGCCCATAAAAACCAGTTAAAAATTTTACCAGTATTAAAATTTTACTAATGCCTATAATTATAGTAGGAAGTTGTAAAAAATTGAGATTATGAATTCTATAATGAACCAATCAATGTTTTTAGAAAATAAATTTTTTTCTCAATGTACTGTTTGAGTGTTTTTTAAAGGCTTTGGGTTTTATTTATTTTTTTTCACATTTAGAGAAATGTCAGCTGAATTAAAGTTTTATTTTTTATCTTTGGTATATTAATCAGTATTCAGTAAATTTTATTTGTTGTATGTCTTCATTTTATAGACAGTCCTCATACTCAGAGCTTAGAAGATGTATCATCTGTAAATACAAAATTACAAGAACGTCGTGGTATGTCATTTAATAAGTTGATTTTATTTCTTTTATGAATCTTGAAAATCTTACAACATCTTTGAAATTATACTTGAATGATTTGTTAAAATGAAAATAAAAGTACTGTATCAATTAAAATACTAAGTAGATTGAGCAATATTTGCATTTCATGTAATATGGATACCTATTACTATTCTGTAAAATTAAGGGCATTTTATGCATAAAAAAAGAAGTTATGTGAATAGAAGAGATGCTCAACCATCTTTGGATAACAAGCTACAATACCTGTTAAGTTCAATATAAATGAAGTAAAGCTGTAACCTTGTAAGGAGTGTATTTAGATTTTATTTGAAAGATTTCGTATATAAGTAATATTTTTTTTAGGTGTAGTTAATTAAAAAAAAAAAACTTATTATAAATAACTTAGTCTAAATATGTACATAGTTACCTGGGAAATTATTACAAGTTTATAGGTATGTAAAATAAGAAAAAAAAACATGTTACCAGCAAACTTTTGTTTTTGTTAAACTTAGTTTTTTTTATTGTTCAAAAAAAAAAAAATTGTTACTAAATTTGCTAATAAAATATTAAACTTTTTCAGTTTTGGAAAATTTTCTTTTCTCAATTTATTTCTATTACTTATTATTACAGAACTTGTCTGAAAAAATATTTGACTAATTTTTTCCACTTTTTTTAATCATATTTTTTAAGATAATTTAGTATCCAATTTTAAAGGCTCTATGGTCCACAGGTTATATATATATATGTCTTATGCATAGTAACTCAAAAGCATAAACAAGAAATAAGTGACTGATAACTTAAATATGTCAAAATGACTAAACTTGATATTTCTATTACAAATCTAATTTTAAAATAATTAAAATATCTCAATCAATGTTTTTTTCTGATTATCAATTTTTAAGCTAAAAAACTTCTATATAAAGACTGGCAAAAAGGGAGGGGAGACTATATTATATTAATTTCATGTCAATTGGGTACTTACACTTCAAGAAAAAGAAGATCACAAATACCCACACATGTGACCTATGACGTCAGCATCGTTTATAAAAAAAGTGGTGTGCTAAAGTTCAGCTAAGTTTCTCAAAATAAGTTAGATTGTTAATTAATATAAAGTTACTTAAATGCAGCGTATTGCACATCAAATTTATTGAAATATAATTCTTTCTCATCTACGTCTTTAACTTAACTTAGATTTATTATTTGTTGATGCATTTTATTGTAACTGTGATATATCTTCATTTTGTGTACCTGGCAACTTTGATGCATTATTAGCTTATGTTCTGCATTGCTTCATGCCTGTCTTTGTTAAGTAAGAATATAAAATGAAAGAACTGAAATCTTTGTGTAAGAATATAGAATGTGTCACTTAAGAGAATTGATAACTGACAGGCTTAGCTTACTCGAAATAAAATAGAAAGAACAGATGCTAATGTAAACAAATGCCACATTTCTACAACCAATCAGGATTGAAATACTCCCACTACGTCCCTTGCAGATATTCCATTATATTAAAAATCTGGCAATCATATCAATATTAACATGAAAACTTTCAACTGTTGAGAGTCTTCTTAGTGAATATTTAGTTATATAGAGTAAAAAATTATTCATGTTTATTCTATTAGTGAAAAAGAACAAATTTGAAGGGGGGGGGGACATTTTATTTTTAGAACTATTTTTTATTTCTTTTGCTAAATCAGTTTAAATACAATTTACAATATTTAAAATTTATTAATCATTATTTACGAATTACTTAAATTCATATATTGTTTTTATTAACTATACATTAAAGTATATTTATTAGATTGTATTTTTATTACCATGTTTATAGAGCATCTGTCATATTATTGCAATGTTAGCCTGATAATTTCCTAATAAAAATATTCAAAACATTTATCTTTGCAAAAGTTATACAAAGATTGTGCAAATTTTTCTCTTAAAATAAGAGAATCATATAATTTGTTATTATAATTTCTTAATTCGTTACAATTTTATATTGACCTACTATAAAATCAGAATGTAATTTTGAAAAGAAAAATATTTGGTGCTTTTTTAGAGAGCTTTCAGCATAGACATTCAATTCCAGGGCAGCTGAGTTCATACCTGAGAATGTGTAGCGCTGCAGACCTTCCCAAAGTATATGGTAAATATTTTTGCTCCACTTCTCGACTTCACTGCTTTTCAGGTAAATATTTCCAGGAAAGAAACATGCTCTTTTATTTGATTTTGTAATTTTGATAACTTGTTTTCATTTGTAATTAAACTAAACTTATTTTAATGTATCTATAATTCACCTAATTAGTAGATTGATTTGACTGCTCTGCATGTGATAATGTTTTAAAGGGCGAAGAGATCAATTACTTTTTCTCTTGCAATTAAAAAAAAAGTAAAAGATTTCAGACTTCGGACTCTTGATTTTCTCCTATTTTATGATATATTTTTTCTTTTTGGAATTTCTTTGTTAAAAACGAACAACTTAACTTTTTTTTATGTTTTTTCCTCTTCAGTTTTTATATTATTGTTTCATTATTATACTTCATGTACACAATATTAGTGACCTTTAAAAGTTAGGAATCTCCTGTATCTCCTCCTGCTCTGCTTTAATAAATGTTTATTCAAATCTAATTCTGATTGTATTATTTATTAATGATTATAATCGTATTCTGATTTATATGAAATTTTCTTGTGTGGGGCCGAAAATTGTCCATTTACTTTTTTTCTATTTCATCTATATAATCAAAAACAAAATTGACAAGCTAAAAATAATACTAATTTTCCTTTTCTTTTTTTTTTTGTCAAAAAAAAAATTTAAATTTTTTTATTACTAAAATATAAATTTCAAGTATCATCATTACTCCGCCTTGGATATTTGGCCTACTTGCCTCTCTGAAAGTCCCTTATACATTAAATTTAACTTTCATATGATTTGTAAAATCAATTATTGAACCAAAAAAAGATATTTTTCTGTCTAAAACATTTTTTATTAATTAAAAAAAACTACTACAGGTTAAAATACTTTCATTAACTACAGGCATCGGGTGATTGCAAATTCCCTTTATTTTCTTGAAAAGGAGTGGTATGTGTCCTGGATGATTTCAGATAAATGTTTCCAACAAAAAATTGTGTAAAAGTACTATGAGCAATTAACTTAACCCTTTAACTGATTTGCTACTTGGGCTGATTCTAGCGTTAGTACAGAAAATTTTTCTGCTAAGCGCAGTATATCTCTAATGATTAGCAAATGGGGAAATCAGTTTTCCATGAGGAAAATAACTTATCGTATTCCTAACCGAGTTCAAAAAATACAGTTAATGTCAAAGGATTAATCTTGAAATCTAAGTAAAACAATCATATTTAGTCAATCAAATAGGCATATCTATATTTAGTTAATCTTAACTTATTTAGTTAATCAAAAATTTATGAATTTAAAAGAAGAAATTCACTTTTATTACTTGAATTTTTCATGTACTCTATTTTTGGCAAAATAAATAAAATGGCGAAAAAAATAAATAAATATGAAGAAAATAAATAACTATGAAAAACCTTGAAATTTTTATAGAGAAAAAATTTCAAAAATGTGTGAAGCGTTGAGAGATAGAATCGGAAAATGTAAAAAAAAAAATTCATAATTTATTAATTTTTTATGTTTTATGAAAATATGATGTATATTATTAAGTTTTAAATGCTAAGAACTATGCTCTATTTTACTACGATTGAAATCAGACTTAAACTTTTGCAATAATCTAGAACTTAATTATTCTAACAGACTTGTAAATAAAAAAAACTCTGTTTTTCTCATCCTTCAGTTAAACCAGCTATGGGAAAGGATGTATTGAGTAAAAAAATTCAATAAAATTCCGCCTGTTAATTTTTGCAAAAACATAAAGTGATTAAATATATTATAAAAATACTTTTAAATGTTTTTTTGTGTTAATGAAATGTACTCAGGATTGTGTTTAAGAATATTTTATGACAGTTAAAATTACTTGTAATGTTCATTTCAGAACTATTATATTGTGTGTTTCGGTAAAAATTAAATTTGACCTATTTGGACATGATTTACAATTCGAGTATCATCATATCTTAAGTTTCTGCATTATGGTTTATCAGAAATTTCTTTCAAACCAGAATAAACACTTATCCTTGGATCATTATCCAGTGTATATATTATAATCCGAAATTTTTATTTAATATTATGCTTTAAGATAATACTAAATTTTTCTTTTGGTTTAGAAATGTAAAACAATTATTAGTTTAATTTAGAATATCACATTTCATTGACAAAATCAGATATTTGGATTTAATTTAAAAATTGTCTGCCACTTGTTGTTGTATGTATATATATAAAATTGCTTTTCATTTTATATCTTTTGATTACATGAGACATAATATTTTTAATTAAATCAGTAAAGATTTGATCAATTTTTCAGAATTTAAATGTATTTTGCATTATTTGTCCCATATCTAATTTTCTGTTTTGTTGAAAAAGAAAATTTTTTCAAAGAATCTATCATACTTTTAAATTTTAAGTAATCCAAGAGAAATAATTCCTTTGCACATACATCATTATTTATCTTTTTTGATGCAGATATAGTATGAATTGTACTCTGGATATATTCTGGTCAGTTAGTGCGGTTGGTGACATTTTTGAAATGTCAACAGCATCTTCAAAATCGGTATAATAGGTAGATTTCATATCTAATTAACAGAACTGTATAATTTTACTTTACAAATAGCAGCTGTATATATGTTTTGCATCGAGCCTATTAAACTGTTCAGTTTTGTAATTTGTAGTACAAATAAGCTTATTGAAAGGAGAGTGCATGCTTTTTTCATTTTAAATTATTAAAAAATTGTGTTCAAAAATCTTGCTTTTTATTAAGCTATGAGTTTTATGATTTCTTTTAACATAGATGGTAGAAATTGTTAAAAATCAAAATGGTTTATAAATACTAATATTTCGTCATCGAAAATGGTTTTTATTTAAATAATTTATATTTGAGAAGCATACAACTTTGTTTTTCTTTCTAACGCATGTTATGATTTTTATAGGATTTTGCAGTTTGTATGTCTGGCCTTATGATTGAAAATGTTTATAGAAATTTATTTTTATTTAGGTTCAACGAATAGTTTGTTTAGTACTGCTGTTATAAGTGGATCCTCTAGTGCCCCAGAACTTAAAAATGCAGTCCCACCTTCATCTACGGGTAATGAATTTGAAATAAATTATTATTATTTTATTTATTTACTGTAGTATGAGAGGAGGTGAGAGCTAGGATAATTTTTAATTTAAAATTCCACATGCAAATTTTCATTAATTTATACCCATGTATACTCCTGGGAATAATTGTGTTTTATTAATGTAATTTTATTCTCAATCCATTCAAGGATCTTTCAATCCATCAAGGTTCTCTCTTATCATTATACTAAATTAATTTAAACGTATATAGACTATCTAATAATCATTGGTGTGGCTCTAGGTACTGATAAAATTTATGAAATTTCTGTCTACTGTTATTGTTACAATTTTTATTTCACTACCTCTAGAAAAAAAACTTTTTAAGAAAGTTTCGAGTGTTGACAGATAAAAAATAAATTTCATAGCAACATCAACAAACAATCATATTTCTGAAGTTCAAATAATGATAAAATCAAGTTTACTAACAGCTAGGGATTTGCTATAACCATAATGAAAAAACGTGTACTGTTTGTAGAAAAGTATATATAAGGATGCAATTCATTTGCTTCAATTAAAAAATTATGTTATTTTGTTGCTTATGTTTTCAAAGCACATTCATTTTTTCCACCAATATATTCTTGATTTAATAAATATTTAAAAAAATCAATTAGAATGAAAAGTTAGAAGCCAAGAACAAGCAAAAATGAAATTCTAAAGACATTTATGTTAGCACAAAAACAGCACTTCATGAAGGGACACACTGGAGCCTTTCTGTAGTCAGTGGTTAAACCAAAAGCTGACTGCGCCTTGAGGCCCCATAATGGAAAAACTAAATGAGAAAATGCAAATATTTAGTTTTTCCATTATGGGGCCTCGGGGACACAGTCAGTTTTTGGTTTAACCACTGACTTCAGAAAGGCTCCAGTCTGATGGTCAATGAGTGATGTTGCCAAGAATATGGATTCTTTAAATTTTAAATTGTTCATAAGTTTGCAAAATCTCTTTATTTATTACCATCATTCAAAACTCAATTGCCAATACTACTCCCAATTTAAATTTTGTCTCAAGTTGCTTTGGTATTAAAAAAATTATTTTACCAAATTTGATTTTTTGTTTATTGATAGTATTTCTATCAGAAATACTTTTTTTCTTGAATTACTTAAAGGAAAACTGGTTATTAAATCTTTTTCAATAGATGGTTATTGCAATGTGCCTACTATTCGCCCCCTGGAGACTCTTCATAATGCTCTGTCTCTAAAGCAGTTGGATAGTTTCCTGGAACGCATGACCAGTGCCTCTTTTCGTATGTCTCTTCAGACCATGTGTAAATTACCCACATCTTCATCAGCCTCATCTGGCAACTCATCCACATCTCAACCATCTGCCTTACCTATTGTATCTCCTTCTAATAGTAAGTACATCCTAATATTCAGGGAGATTTCATAATGTCTTTAGAAGGCAAGGTTTTTTTCCTTTTAAGAAAAAAAACTAATATTTTTAATAGTTTAATCGGTATATGAATTTTATTCCATGGAAATCCCTATACAATTTTCAACAAACGCTTTCGTCATCGTTTCTTAAAAAATACAGAGGCTAAAGAGGCTCTCACAACTTTTTAATGTAGAGAGAGTTTTGTTTCATAGCAACTTAAACTTTCGAATTTTTCAGGCTTAAAGTATATATTCCGATTCATTTTAAGCATAAATGTCGGAAGATTTATTTTAATATTTCCATAATTATTACCGATAAATTCCATTTCATATGAAATAAAATTTTTTCACTACTTAATAAAAATGGAGCCTGCATTTTTTTGGCATGTTTCATCGCTCTAAAATACTGCATTAAGAAAGTAATATTACAATAAAGACTGAAAGGTTAAAAGAAAAGAAAGCTGATGACAAGATTATATCTTTTCATTATTTTGTTTTCGGCTTTTTAACTTTTTTTTAATGATGAAAACGAAAACAAAATTTTTTAATTATTATTTTTAGTTATTTTTCTTCTTCTCTTTTTCATAAATCTTTATTAAATTTTTTTCCAATTTTTCTCTGCATTTTAACTTATATATTTACATAACCCTAAAAAGCCTTGGGCCCATTTAAAAATTTCTTTCACCCTATATCTATGAAAAGCAGTTCAGTTATCTGAAGTTTATGTTGATAATTTCATGTTTTCTTAATGATAAAAACTAAACAAAAATTCTTAAAATTATTATTTTTAGTTATTTTTCTTCTTCTCTTTTTTATAAATCTTTATTACATTTTTTTCCAATTTTTCTCTACATTTTAACTTATATATTTATATATCCCTAAAAAGCCTTGGGCCTGTTTAAAAAATTTTTTCACCCTATATCTATGAAAAGCAGTTCAGTTATCTGAAATTTATGTTTATTTAATGATAAAAACAAAATTTAAAAATTATTATTTTTAGTTATTTTTTTTCTTCTTTTTTTCATAAATCTTTATTACATTTTTTTCCAATTTTCTCTACATTTTAATTTATATATCCCTGAAAAGCCTTGTGCTTCTCAAAAATTTCTTTCACCCAGTATCTATGAAAAGCAGTTCAATTATCTGAAGTTTATATTGATAATTTCATGTTAAAAAAAAGTGTAATTACTGTAATTGAAACATTCTTAAATCAATATTACTCATTGCCAGATATTCGGATCTTTTTATTGATATAAGTACATAGTAATAAAGTTAAATACAACTTCAGCCAGATTCTTGGCAATAAATTTCTTTAGTTTTGTCTGGATATTGAAATTTTAACCAAGTACCCAATACTTATGTAATGTAGATCTTAGTTAAAGAACAGATCTTAACTAAAAACTTGAATAAACAACCTTTAATTATATATACAAATTTTTATCATTTGAAAACAGACATTGTGTTTCATGTTGTTAAAAAATAGTTTTTCAAAAGTAATACAGTCGACTCGTGTTATAACGACCCTGTGATAGAACGACCAACATGATATAACGACCCTGTGAAGGAGTCCCAATTCACATCCATAAAAGATAACGTTATTTTACTCTTGCTATAACGACCGTAAAAAAGGTCAACTCCTAATATAACGACCCTCTCTGAATTTGAATACCGATCTTTTCTAACTTCCTATTGAAAAGTGGGGTTGAAGGGTTGACCTTGAACAAGCACACATATGTTAAGTCCTCTTAACATGTAACTTCAACAAATTAATGCACATCAAAAAATTAATGTCTTCGTCTAATGAAGCCTCGTTTATGTTCCTCGGTTTACTCTTCTTTATAATACTGCAAATTATGTACATAAAAAAAAAATTCGTTATATATACCGCAAATTATGTACATAAAAAAATTAATTCATTAGAAACTAGATTTTTTTTTTTTGTCATACAATGTTTTTTAATCTGTACTTTAAAATAAAATTCTTAATTGTTAACAGTTGTAATTCAATTGTTAAAGTGTCATTATGTTTTATTAATGTATGCGTCCTATCCTTTTTTGGTTTATAACATGTATACCACAAATAGTATATGCATGCATTATGACGTTTAAAGCCATTATGTGACCGATTTTCAAAGGAAATTTGCTCATTTTGATATAGCGACCATTTGATATAACGACCAGATTGGGGCAGTCCCGATGGGGTCGTTATAACGCGAGTCAACAGTATTAAAAAATAAATCATTACAAAAATGAGTAAAATATACATAAGACTAGTTATGATGTATTGAAACATTCTTAAACATTTCTTTTTTACATAACACATCTGAAACTCTTTATAAATCTAAAATGTTTCATTGGTCTGAAATTTATTAAATATTCATTATTATTTTATTTTTATTACCAAAATATAAATAAATAAATATTATTTTACATTAGTATGAGTTTATTTGTTTATAATGTTAGTATTTTATTACTTTACAAAATTATAATACCAGTTTAAAATTGTATTACATTTTTCAGTTCTAGTCCGAATTTAAAATTTTTAAGTAAATTGTTGTCAAAGCACATAAAAATTTGGAAAATGTGTACGACCTACATATTTGAAACACTTTTTAAATCTTCTATAAACTTATAATTGATTTTAGGAAATAGCCTTCTTTTTTATGATTATAAACTTAGATTATTTAAAATAAATAAATTTATTTATTATTTAGTTTTCTTATTTTATTCTTATGTAGTAAAGGATTTAATTTTTTATTATTTGTAAGTTTTTTACAAATTGGTATTCAATTTTTTGTAAGTTCATCCCTTATATGAATGCTTAGATTAAATTTTATTATCTTGTTATTATGGAAGATTAAATTTGTTACGACTTTTGAAGATTAAATTTTTTTTTCTGAGGTTTGATGGTTAGCGAAATATAATAAATTTTAGTTTTTACTTCCTTTATACAAATATTGTGGGAAAAAAAATAAGGCTACCAAAGATTTTTAAAGACTATAAAGAATATCATGTTTTATCAATTAAGAATTTATTTTTAAATAGATTTTAAAATTTCGAACCTATCTAGAATGCGATTATTGCAATTATTTAAAAAAAAAGTTATGATTTTTAAATGCTGATTTTTTATCAATTAAGAGTCCATTTTAAAGCAAATTTTTATAGTTTTAACTCTTACTAAATCGAAATATTGTAGTTAAATGTTTAAAGAAATAAAAAGTTTTAAAAGCTCACTTGTTAAAACACATTTAATTTTTTATTTCTATAAGTAAATTTTAATATTTCTAATAATTTGGAATGCTATTTTTGCCCTTCAACCAAGACATGGGTTTTAAAGGGCCATATGTTTTAACACTTTGAAATTTATTTTAAAGGCTTTCTCATTATTTGTCAGAGTATTTTGTTAAAATAATTTAAAACAAATTAATTGCTACGTTACCTGTAAAAGTGGTCACAAAACTTTTGATGTGTGAGCATAAAGAAATTCTAATCTCTGATGTAATAAAAGTATGTAAGAAGAGAATAATAGTATGAAGAGCTGTTTACTACATGTTTTAGATAATATATCTCAATAGCCTAATTGCCAGCTGATAGCGTTTTGATAACATTTAATGTTAGTGATAGTTGCCTAGTGTATGAGTCACACAGTATTTGTTATCATCTGGACACATCAGTGGTTTAACTTCTTTTATTGACTTGTAAACAAATATATTTTCGAATAGAAAAGTAAACAATGAAACACTTATATTTAAAACTATTTTTTTAGCTTAAATTGCTTTTTTTTAGATTGTAAGTTTTATTCTTAATTCAATTATTCTGTATTTAAGGGTAAAATTTGATTTAACTTTTGCCAATTGAGGTGTTATTATTTTTTTATATAATCATTTAGTGGTTGTAGTATTTTCATTTCATTAAATTTAATCAGTTTATTGTATTATCTTCTAAATATAGTTTACCTAAAGAGAAAGAATTTATTAAAGACATTAACCCATATCCTAAAGATAAAAATTGAAAGGTGTCCTAAAATAAAGCATTATATACTAAATAAATTAATATTTGACTTACCTATCCTCTAACCAAGTAATTAAAATATTATATTAACAAAACAAAAAAAAAAAACACCTGCTTAAATTTATATTAGAATTTTATTTAATGATTAAATTATTTTTATCCGATTACTATAAAAATGATAATATATCTTGATCATTTTTTTACTGTAATGATTTATATTGGTCTTTTTTTTAAATAATGATTTAAATAAGCCAGTATTTAAATCATTAACAACCTGATAGTTATCACTGTTACACTCAAGTGAAATTTGCGATTTGTTTAACTGATTTCTTCAAATATACTATTTCCATTTGGTTTTTTAATAAATTTGTTTTAACACTTGAAATTTTTAATCAAAATGAGCCAAGTTCGAGTCAACAATGGTATTTTTGTGCATTCATGTTTATAACGACCTGATATTATAATGTCTGTTTTCATTTAAATAGACCACTATGCATTGGTTGTAGCAGGGATCTTTTTATAATTTATTTGGTATATTCTATCCTGACAATTTCATTTACTTGGGTTTTGCAATCAACAACAGGAACAATATTACAAGGAAGAATCATTATAGCCAATAGATGTTTTAATGGAATTTGAAAATATATAAAATTTAATGTAGTTCATAGAAAAACTAAAGTTTTATTATGTAAATCTCATTTAAGATCAATTTTAACATATCTTGTATGGATGAGGTTATGTTAGGTACCACCTGTAAGAGAAAGGTCTTGAGAAGTATTTTTGGAGGAATTTAAAAAAAAAATGATGTCTGGCTTAGAACAAATTTAGGGCTTTATCACTCATATAATGAACCTGACATTATTAAACGGCAAAAAATAAAATGGGCAGGCCACGTTATCAGAATGGATGAAGACCGCATGACAAAAAAAAAGTTTTAAATGCCAGACCAGTTGGCTAACGAAAAAAAAGGCAGACCGTATTTGAGATGGATAGATGGCCTAAAAAAAGACCTTTTGGTCTTAAGAACTGAAAACGCTAGCAGGAAAAAACTTCTTGAGAAGGCCAAGGCCCACCCTGGGCTATCAAGCTATTGATGATATTCTATCCTGGCAATTTATTTGTGCTTCTGTAAATAATTTGTGTTCTATTATGCATATTTAATACCAACATAAAACATATTTTTTTAATTTTTTAGGTATTTTATGGAGCGGCCCCCCATCTTTTGTATCAAGTAGTGGACCGTCATCTCCAAATTCATCAACTCTTGATATTTGGGCTCGATGGCGCCAAATGACCGAAGTGGACTCTGTTCTAGATTTCTCAGGTCCTGGAAGTCGTAGTAGCCTCAGCAATCCCCCTTCCCCACATGATCCTTGCTACTACAACAACAGTCTATGACAAATTTTAAGTCGTAGACAAACATCTCTGTAGACTGAGCTCTTAAGATGTATTTGAATCTCAAATTGATTATCCTATTACTGGGATCTAAATTATTTTTTAATGATTTAGCCTAGTTGCTCTTTTATTTTCAGAAATTACTAGCACACGGGTGATGTTTCTGATCACATATTGAATATGTGAATAATCGGTCAGATTTATTGTTTTGAAAAATTTACATAAATTACATTTGAAATATAATATTTCAAATTCAATTTATTTATTTGTCATTTTTATACAAAAATACTGATGCTCTCATTACTTATTTAGTGGAGATTTATGTGATCGAGAAAAATTTTAACTAATTCTTGAAAATTATTCCGTTATAATCTTATCTTCTGTAAAACAGATAGTTCCTGTAAAAAGTGAACCAAAAAAAGAATTAAGATTGTGTTTGTTGTAAGTCATTATAGCTGTATTAATTTATTTAAAGCAATCTACATAAACTACAGATTGCTAAAGCAGTATTATTTTTCTGATCAGTGAGTTTTAGCATTTATTTTTAGAGATATAATTCACTTTCATGTTTTTTAGTGTATTAAAAAAAAAGCCTTTTCTTTTTGTTTGGAACACGATGTAGGGATTTATGTATTATCTCTTTGGTGGTTTAATTTTTAGAAAAAATTATTCAAATTTATCTTTGTTACAAGTATTTATCATTAGTTTTATGTGATTTAGACAATGATAGGTTACCTACTATATATAATTGGTATAGAAAACTATGTTATTATTCAGTCAGTAGTATTTTTCCGCTTTGATATTTTTTATGAAAATATGCAATGATTTAAGAACTATTCATACTAAAACTCTTTAGTAAAAGTAAGAACTGTTAGCTTTTTTCCTTATATCACAATTAATTTTTAATTCATTAGTTTTTACATCATATTTAAACATGGATGGGAAAAAAAGATATTTTTTTATGGATTCTTTTGTAAACCCAAAAATTTTATCTAAAGTTTGATTTTATTTAATTTCAGAAGGGTTATTTCTATTATTACATGCAGAGAAAACTAAATTTAAATAATAATAGCTTTTAGTCAATTTAATTCTCTAAGTTTAATCCAAATAAAAAAAAATTTAAAATTTTATCAAAAAAGCTGCTATATTTATAAGAAACAAATAAGCATTTTCTTCATTCTAAGACAAGGAATTTGTTGAGAAATCACAAACTTTTCTACTATCAGCAGGTGTTAGTGATAATGTATTTTTATGTCATGATAAGGGTTGCATGTGTGTCGACCAATTGCCTAAATTCAGTTTCAAAAAAAGAATCATATGTTTAACTAGTTGGTGTAAATTGATAAAGTAAGCCATTTTTAAGCGTTTTCTTGTTAAGTTTTCTACAGTGCATAAAATAAGAAATGGAACAACTTTTGATAAATGATTGGATTTTCATCGCCCGAGAAGCAATCATAATGAGCCAAAGGACTAACGTTAAATAGAGAGAAATATTTGTGCAGCATTTTAAGTAATGAAATTAGGGGAACGCCAATTTTTCATAAAATAAAATAATTGTGTCTGACTTTGTAATTTAAATATCATCTGCATTAATTAAATAGTGTGCTTATTTAATAGCTTAGCCACTATAACCATTAAAATAGAATCTTTGTACATGGAAATCTGAAAACTGGATCAAAAGTTATTAGTTTTTTTTTTTTTTTTGTACACTGTACATTGCAGCTTTTATTTTCAATAAATACTTACTCAGGTTTAACGAGCAAAATGTCTTGGTCTCTACATTCTAATTTTAACAATCGTCGCCTTATTGACAGTTTGCAGTACAACTAATATTTCGGCAAAACCAACCAGATTTACCAAAACAACTTATTTCTAAATCTAAAATACAATAAAGCTGTCTTTTTTTTCTCCCCTCCTAGCTACTTTGGCATATATGTATGTAATACATAGCATGAAACGAAACAGGCAATTGAGAACAAAAAAGAACAGTCATTTTTCAGCTATTATCATTGTATTTATTGTCATTATCTTTTTATTGTAATTATACTTAATGTTTATAAGTATAATTAGTAAGTAATATTAGTTCACTAAGCATTTACCATTAAATTTTTTGTACAGATTTCTTAATCAAATTTGAACTGAGAGTTTTGTAAATAATTATATTGCAGTTATTAATCTAGTCCTACTTTGATAAACTAATTTCTAAACCAATTTACCACTGATTATAAAATGTCATTTTTACTGTGCATTTTTATCTTATATTTACCTCATTTCACTTATTTGTAATTCTAATATAAACATGCATCTAAAATGTTCCTTATTCAAGATATTTTTTTGTTACATGTTAATTCTGCATGAAAAGTATTAAAATTACTTGAATGCATTATAATAGATGTGTTTTTGTACTTGTATAATATCTGAAATCCTTGTTGTTCACAAATTTTGATTTAATGATATTCAATGAGCTTATGTAGTTAATGATGATGATTATTGAATATGTTCTGTAGTCCGAAATTATTATTTGCAATAGAAAAATTGGTTTATTTATAATGCTATGGAAGATTTGTGTACTTACTATATGTTGCCTAGTAGTCAACATATTGTTTAGATGATATGAAAATATATCATTTACATTGAGTATTAAAACTGGGATAGCAGATCTTGTCCTAATGTGATAAAAATAAAATGTTTAAGAAAGTCTAAATTTCACAGAGCAATTTACTTAATGAAAAAGAAATTCTTTGACACAGGGTTGAAAAAAAATTGTTCTGTGAAAGGGTGTCTTTTGAAATATGACGTAATGTTTACACATAAATCCTGATAGAATTTCATTTTATAAATATTTTTAAAGATTAAGTGTGTCGCTTTGAAAGAATTAAAATACATTAACAATTGAGCAATTAATAGTAGAAAAATATATAACATTATCAAGGCCAAAATAAATTAAACTGAGAAGTAATTATTCTTCGCAATGTTATAATATAATTATAATATTAAATTAATATTAATTAGTTTACAGTTGTTTTTGATGCTCGTCAGAAATTCAAATTCATAATTATCAGGGTTGTTGATTTAATAAATTTTTCTAAAAAGATTTGATTTAAACAATTTTTACATGCATATTATTTTTGGTTTCCTAAAAATATTATATCTTTTATAGAAATATATATCGAAGAAAATTTAATTAACACAAATAGTAATTTTCAAATAATATGTACTAAATAAAAATAATGAATCATATATTCATAAAATTTATTAATGGAAGTAAGGAAAAGCTAAATATTTTTAAATAAAACACCTTTTTTGCAGCAGTTTCATTTTCAATATTTAATCATTTACTTCATTAAAAACTTTAATTTTAGAATGAAATTTACAATATCTTCCAAAAAAATCATATCTATAACATTGTAAAAGAATATTTTACTCCTCAAGAAGTAATTACAAAAACTAGATAGAATTAATATCTATGATTCACTAACTTAACATAAAAAAGAGTTGTATTAATTTGAATCATAAATCACTTTAATGGAAATGAGATAATTGTGATAAGACAAACTGTAACGTTAAAGTTATTCAAAGATACTTAAACAGAAAGAAATCACTTATTAAAAGTTATTTTTCAGATAAATAATAAAATTTAATGGATTTGCTGTTAAATTTTCACAAATTGTCTCTTGTATGGTTAATGAATGTAGTGTATATTTTATAATTCTAAAATATAACAAATAAAAGATTTTTTTTTAAATCTTTGTTATTAATTAAATAATCACAATATTCTAGACCTTGACAATAATTAACAATGCTGTGAAAAGAGGCAAAATAATTACTAACGTAAATATTACAGGCTAAGTTGCAAGTAGTCCTGGAGCTTCTCTGGTTGCAACCTCCCCCTCCCCTTTATGCAAACACTTTCAAAGTCCTCTCTGAACTTATACTACACAATACTTAATTTGCAATTTTAAAAAAAATTCAATTAAATAAAGCAAAATTTTCAATTTTTAATCAACAATTACAAATTTATATCCACCATCTACAGAATATTCACCAACATTAGTTACACATCATTACAGAAAACAATCACGAGTTGGATGCCAAAAGCAGTGAAATAATGAAGCAATGTAGTATATATATATATATAATCTAGAAATAGATTATTTATGCCATCTTCAAGGTATTCAAATTACAGCATTCTGTTGTAAAAGATAATTTTAAATAATACATTTCCTAAGTTAACAAACAATAAAATTTCATTTGCCTAAAGATGAATGACCAAGCTTTATAAAAGCATTACAAAATTGTTTCACTATTTTGCTATTGAACAGATAAGTTCATCTAAAAATATGTTATTTGTCTTCTTACTTTAAAAAAAAAATACTAAAAAGAAAAGGTTTACAAGTTAAAAAAATGTGTGCTAAATATATACTAAAAAGTAGGATGCCTTAAAAAAAATCAGCGAATTATGCTCTGAAAGTTTTTCATATTCTTTAGAAGTTGGTGACCCTAAAAGCATTTTTTAAAAATTAATTTGTTAACACAAAAGACAAAGATAATTAAATAATAGTTACTCAATATTTATTCTGCGATTTTTTAAAAACTGTATTTAAATGCAACAAAATTTACAGTTTTTAATCGATAATTAGAAATTTATGTCAAACATCTACACAATATTCACCAATATTAGTTCCACAACATTATAAAAAACAATATTGAGTTTGATGCCAAAAACAATGAATTATTTTATTCAAACAGCCATAGGAAACAAGAAAAACAATGATGGAGGAAATTGACTGTATGCATAAAATTGAATGACATGAAGGTGCAAAACAGTTGACGTAAATCCATAAATGAGAATAAATATCATTCATTACCACAAAAAAAATAATAATAATAATTACTCAATACTTATTTTGTTCAGATAAAACAAAATTTTTAATTTTTCATTAATATAAACTTATGTCCAACATCTACACAATATTCACCAGAATTGGTTACATTACAAAAAACAATATTGAATTTGATGCTGAAAACGACAATGAGGAAATTGAACGTATGCATAAAATTGAACATGACAGGAAAAAGGTGTTTAACAGTCGGCATGAATCCATAAATGACAATGAAATCAATATTCATTTTAAAAACCCTATCCTTACCATTCTCATCAAGTTGAAGCACTTCCAGATCTTTTGGACACTGCACTACTGCTGGATGAAGAAGAGGAAGATCTTTTACCCTTTCCTTTAGCACCTCTACGAGCATTTCTTCTTTTTCGACTAGCACTTCTTGAACTAGAAGAGTTTCTGCTGGAGCTGCTACCAGAACTACTGCTTGAACGCCGATTTCTTCTCCTTCTACGTATTGGTGATCTACTGCGACTATGCCTGGTCCTCCCTGCAGCTCTAGCTCTACCGCGGTAACTAGGACTTTTACTATAACGGCCTCGATAAGCTCCTCTACGATCAGGTGAACGAGGAGGAGGTCTACCGCCAGAAGAACGATGCCTCAATGGTCTTTCCTCTCTAGTTCTAGATCGGGATCTTCGCAACCGAGATTCCGGAGATCTGCTGTATCGCCTTCTAACTCTATTTCTGCTTAGAGACGTTGACCTGCGATTGGATCTAGACCTGGATCGAGATTTAGAATGTCGGTCGGATCTAGTACGCCGAGAAAGAGGTGAACGAGTCTTTCTTGGAGGAGAATGTGATTTTGATCGTCTATTAATGGGTGAACGTATTCTCTTAGATGTCTTTCTATCAGGAGAGGCTTTAGTAGATGAGCGAGGTCCTGGTGAACTACTTGATTTTGGAGATTTTACATCAGGGCTTGGGCTTCTTGATCTTGAAGACTTGTGTATTGGTCTAGTAGTGGATTTTTCCTTGTGTTCTTTGCTTTCATTAGAAAATACTTTTCTTTCTCTGAAAAATAATGAAATATTATATGCATAAAACTAACATAATGCTTCTTATTGCTTTTACATATTGAAATAAGACAATTAAATTTATAAATAACAAATGATATTTTTTGCTAAGCCTTGAGGAAGTCTTAAAATACTATTGAAAAATAAGCTATATTTATATTGCGAATATCTATTTGAAAAAGAAGTGGAAATTTAATTGAAAATATAACGATCTTATGGAGTAATCGTAGTGAAACAATTTTTATACCTGCTTTTAAAATTTAGAAATTTTATATATATATATATTTAATCAAATATTTATCAAACTTTATACCAAAGCATCCAGGTAAATACTATAGCTAATGTTCCATATAAATTATTTTTCACAATTTAAATTAATTCCAAATAACTTTTGGTATGTAGGGGGAAAGAATTTTACTAATAAACTTTATAAAGTAAAAGAGAAACAACAAAATAAAAACTTATAATTTTTAAGTGCTCAATGTAGTGAAATATTTTTAAAATAGGTAAAAGTTTAGGCATAAAACAAATAATCGTAAAATTTGTGAAATTTAATTAAAATAATATTTTAAAATAAATGCATCTTACCCTAGCTGTCTTTCTCCTGCATTATTTTCCTAGAAAACGAAAACAAAAATTTTTATTAAAAAAAAAAGTCCATTTTATTGAATTGACAGAATAAAACATTTTGAACTATTTTACATAAAATGCAAAGTGAATAAAAAGGCATAAAATTTGCTTCCTTAAAAATGTACAGTTAAAAAAAAATTGCACAAAGTCAAACATAATGTATGCCTAAAACAAATGGCTCTAGCACTTCTAATGCCAAACTAATGAACTGCAACAAAAAGTAACAATTTTAATCTTTTAATAGGCAAGTTTTTCTTGAATAAGAAGGTAAAAGTATGTTTATAAAATTTACAATAAAAAAGCATTAACATACTTGCTTAGAACCGAAATTAAAATTTTGAAGGAAAGGGATAGAAAAATAAAGTTTCTGTCAAAATAAACCCAGTATTTACGAGTTATGAATTAGCATTTGCTATTGTTCTATGAACTCGCGATATCACGAACATCAATCTTCGTTAGGACTGCAGGATTGTTAAATCAAACATCGACCGATTACTCTTCGCATAGTCAAGCTACATTAATGAGACAATGCCAAACAAACAGAACAATAACAATTTATAGTAAGGTTTGCTACCTTTTTTACTTTAACTTTCAACATCAATAGTAAAAAACCTTTTCTCTTAGATATAAAATAAAAATTCACAGATTTTTGAATTTAAACATTAAGATGCCGATGTTCTAAAATGGAACATATGATGTTTGATTTCATGAGCAATTAAAGTCCAAAAAATATTTTTTCATAAATTTAAAATTTTCATCATGAAGTATTTTTTGCATTTAGATTGGTTCCATTTAATTAATGATTTGATTTTTTATGAATTTTAGAAATTTGATATAATTTTTATCCAGCTTGTAATATAATTTAACAAAAATCCAATTTTTATAATACAAGCTACACTCACAAGCTTTTGAGATAACCTGTTGGACATCAAATTCAAAATTTTATTTTAAATTTAGAATAATAATTTAAAACCAAATGCTTCATTTTTGGAACACTGGCATTTCAAAGATTCTATTTTTAGATTTCAAGATAAAAAATTTTACTTTCATGATAAATTTGCGACTGAGAAAGTTAAAAAAAATTTGTCTGTTTTGTCTCATTTACAAGTTTTGCTTGTTCTTTGCACTATGTCCAAGAGATGCATAACAATAAAACAAACAATGACTTTGACAGAAAATTTTTTCGCTTTTGGATGACTTACATCCAGATCTTGATAAACCAGGAGTTTTAATTGATATGCAAAACATAGATGAAAATAAATAAGAGCCTGTTATTCCGTTCTATGTATGTTAAAATCAAATCCTATAGTCAGGAGCAAATAAAAAACAATGTGAAAGCCCAATTATATAATAGATTTAGAAAAAGAATTTTGATGAGCCACCAGAATTATTAGACCAGAAAACAATTTAGTAAAAATATCATAAACACATGAATTATGCTCCACTGCTTTAAAAAAGTTGAAACCATTAATATATTTCTCATAATTAGATTTTACATTTTCATAATATTCTAAGTGGATATCATTTTGTTCCGACCGAAAATATGACAGTTGAAATAATCTTGACCACCGTTAGTATAAAATGCCCCTGTCAAACAGAAATGTAAAAAAAAAAGTTTTTAATTTTTTTTCTTTTTTTACTACTTGAAATTGTCTTCAGATTCTCTTTAGTAGTGAATTTATCAAATTTCAAGTTATTTGCTTTTATAATTTGGCATTTAAATGGTTAACAAGATGAATTATGTGATAAATAACAAACAAAATTTAATTTATAAATGAAATAACACTTGAATATAATTTAAAAACTATGCACAAAAGAAATTTTTTGTTCTAGTTGTATTTTTTCAAGCAGCAGAGAAAATGAGTGTGTTAATTTCATTACAAGTTTTACAATTAATATCTTGTTAACAAATTATCAATAGCCTCTCTTTAGGCTGTACAACACATTTTAGATATTTTTTAACTAATCATTCCTCGTATTATACTTCTAATACAATAAAATATATTTTTCAACCAGAACTAAAAAATTATACTGCCTGACATACTGAGACCATGTGAGAATATCAATTTTCACATGGTTCACCTTTACCCCAATATACCTAGTAAGGCGAGTAAATATTTTATCTGAAACAATGTAACATATCTCCCAGTACTTCTATCTACCAATGAAAGATGATTCAAATTAAAACCCTAAAATGATATAGTTTGTCTTTTGAGACAAGAAATAATTTAATTTGAATAAACATTAATGGAGTAGAACTTTCAAGCTTTGTTCCATTGGCCACAATCAAATCTTTTGGTTGTTTTAGTGAAAGGGAGTTGGCATGGTATATCAAAAACTATACAAGAAAAAGAGTCAATAATCCGCAGATTTAATGACTGTTCACAACTTATTAAAATAAAACAATCAGTAAACGGATTGATTTCCTATCTGAAAATCGAGTGCAATACTTCATATTTTTAGGTAATGAAAAATTATGTAAAATGAAAGGCTTTGGGGAAAAAAATATTCGCCACTCAGATGGAAGAGGTTCCCCAGCCTCTTTTAAAGAAGAAAAATATATATTTACATTTAAATCTTCTCTATTACAACATTGTAAGAAAACGTTTGTAAAAGAAACCAAAATAACAGTTGATTTAAAACTTGCAATATTTTCTAGTAAAAGAGCTTTTATATCAGGCATATTTAGGAGTTCAGCATGATTATTTTTATGGAGAAAAAAGAAAGAAATTGTGATGTTGAAGGAAGGTTTTTTTATTTAAAATATTCGCTCTTCAGTAGCCTGTGAGTGAGACACCTACTGTAGATGGACTTAGGGTCAAATGCCTGTCACTGACTAATGATGACAAAAGTTGTATGTATAACAAAAATAGATACGATTCTGAAAAAAAAAGGTGGGGTTAATGAAGAAAATCTTTCTTCCAATACTTATTCAGCAAAAATTCATTCTGCTGAGGGGAAAATAAAGAGGCAGTTCGATTTTTAAGTTATCAATACTAAATAAAATAAAAAGATGATACAAGAAGATAAGAAGTCTAGTTTTTCTTGTCTAGTGAAAGTAATTTTTTTTCTAAAAATTAGGTAGATTTTCTAAAAATTGCGTGTTCATAAGTTCTGAACAAATATATATATATAAAAACAAAGAGTGATCAAATGAAAAGGTACGAAACAACGAAAAAACGTAACAGTTAAATATTTGCATATTCCGCCATGGGAGAACGTAGCGAGACATCTCGGGAAGCGATTGGAATCTCTGACTGAGATCGGAGCATGCGCTAGNAAGATTTAAAGGACTATCAAGGCTCTTATCAAAAGCCGCGTCCAAATGATGCGACCAAAAGAACCATTAACTCCGATGTGTACTGTGAGACACTCTGACGCCTACACAGGTTCATCAAGAACAAAAGACCAGGGCTGCTCACGGGGGATGTGGTTCTGCCCCATGATAACGCGTGTCCACACGTCTCCAGAGTCACACACATGGCGCTAGCCAAGTTCAAGTGGGAGACGTTGGACCATCCGCCCTACAGTCCGGACATATCGCCCAGCGATTTCCATGTGTTTGGTCCACTGAAGAAACATCTGAAAGGGAAGCGCTTTAATTCGGATGACATACTCAAGGACGCTGAGTGAGTCTCGTCACGGTCACAGGAATTCTGGGAACATGGAATCCTGAGGCTTGTTCATCAGTGGGATCGTTGTACTCAGGCCTGTATATGGTGTATATTTTGAATAAAGTCTACATTTGTACCCACCGTGTCGTTTCGTACCTTTTCATTTGATCACCCCTTGTATATATATATATCAGGACAAATATGAACATAATTTGTATCAGGACAAGTAGGAATTCAGCTTAAAGGTAGGAAAAGAAATGTAACAAAATGTTAAACACTCTAAATAGCAGTGAATAATGCAGAGTTTGAAAATTTACAATTGAATAAAAATATAAGACAAAAACATCTTTACTTACAGGTTGATTAGAATTTTCATCATCAGCAACAAAAGTTGTTCCAGTTCCAGGGGGTTCTTCATCAGGAAGTGGAACAACATCGGCAAGACTTCCATCAAAGACACCAAAAACGGCAGGAAGAGCATCATTCACTGGTAATCTCTTTTCCTGTTGGCCTTCATCATTATTAGCCAAGGGATAATCCTGTACATCCCACCTTCCTCTATCCCTAGGTGGCTTTTCTGTATTGATAGATTGAGATGACACTAACTGTATTGCACGAGTTTCTTCAAGCGATAAATTATCAGATAGGGAAACAGACTGATTAAAAGAACTTTCCTCATTTGATATATCATGCATGTCATCTGAATCATCTGGTAAGCGAGGTTCATTCTTAATCCCTTTTTCTGCACTAGAAGCAACATCCAAATTAGATACATTATCAAATGCATGGTTAGTGACACGTTTAGAAGATTTCTTCATGTAACCTACTTCTTGAATTTCACTATCTAGAGAACTTTTTTGAGAAATTTGAGGGAGAGTCTCATTAACATTTGGACTATCTTCTGAGCTGTCATCGTGCTGGGAATAATGGAACAAATCAGTTTTCAAAGGTTTTATTTTAGGCTGTTTCACAGAATCAGATTCATTATTTGCAGTGGCATTACTTTCCACAATTTTGTTTAAGTTTTGTTTACCACGACCATCATCTGAACTGGATTCTAAGTCTTTATTGTGCTTCATCAATTCATCAGTAAGAGATGGAATTCTTTTCTTTTTAGATTGTTTCACTTTGTCAGCATCAGAACAGGATTCATTGTCCTTATTGTATTTCATCAGCTGATCAGTAAGGGATGGAGCTGTTTTCTTTTTTGCTTGAGCATCGCCATCGTCAGAACTGAAATCCACATTTTTATTATATCGCATCAAATCATCGGCAAGAGAAGAAAATACCTTCGTTTTATCTTGCGGTTTCTTGGCTTTTGCAGGCTTTTTGATGGCACTGCTTTTGCTAGGAGTTTTTTGTTCATCTTCTGCAGTATCCATATCTTTGCAGTATCGAAATAAATCATCTGTTAGAGATTTGAAACGTTTAGATTTATCAGCATCATCTGTCTTTTTGTCACTAGACTTAGGCACATTTATATGATAAGCTGCAGAGCTTCTTTTTGGTGAATAACGATTGCTTTTAAAATCACGTTCCCTAGATCGCCGAGGAGGGGACCATTCAGATCGGTTCTTGCCAATACTTTTGTTATTAGATCTATCTCGATCTCTTGCACGTTCTTCACTACCCTTAGAAATACTAGATTTAACAACAACTTTACTTCTTATAGGAGAGCTACGAGACTGATCTCGATCTGAATTACTTTCATGTCGTCTTCTGGGAAATTCAAAATCATCATTCTCTCGCCATCCACGAGACCTTACATCTCTTTTCGGAGAGAGACCAGGACTGCTATAAATTTATGAAAAAGATAATTAGACTCAAAAATCTTGAAATAAACATATAAAATCCATGTCCTGTTAATTTCATTTTTAAGGTGAATACTGTTAACTAGTCAAAGATAATTAAAACTTTACAAAGCACAAATCAATTCTCGACCAGGGTAATAAAATCTCCCAGTTTGAAATAATATTCAGATAAAGAAATGTACAAAAAAAAAGATTTGCAAAACTGAATGAAACTGCCTCCATACTTTATTAATTCTTTTGACAAATAAAGGCTTGTAATTCATTACGTTTTTTAATAATTCAAACAAGTAATGCATACAAATTTTGACAGTTGTTTCAATTTTTATATATAAAGTAATTCAGTGCCTCATATAAAATATAAAAATGCTTGTTGTCACACCAGAATTGGGACTTTTTCCATCGTACTATTATTTAATACTTGACATAAGTTACTATACATAAACAATTAACTGCTCAATTCTGTAATGTTTGGCAACTGTTTGGCGATCGTTCAGGCGCACTTGGCGCATTGTGTCACCCCNAACTGCTCAATTCCATCTTAAGAAACATGTCAACAGTTATATTTAAAGACAGTGATATTTTTAAACAAATATTTTTATATCATTGCCAATATGGTATGTATTACAAAATAAGTTATTAGTTAATTTTTTTTTAAACAACTTTATTGTGGAGTTTTATTTTAATAAATAAAAATATTCCTTTATGCTTATCAAAAGAATTATTGAATAAATCACATGGAATAAGAAAAATGCAAAAATCTATTTAACATTAAAAAAAACTGTTGAAAAATTTAAACTAATTTATAAAAATGTATTTATGAACTTAAAAATTTATTTAAAATGATTTAACATTTTAAAAGAATACTAAAATGTCCATGAAATGTAGCAAATAAAGTTGCAGCACATTTTGAAATTCCTATGTGCATGAGGAGGGTCAAGGGAATGTGCAAATCAAACTTTAAAAAAAAATCTATAAAATTACAAGATGAATTATAAAGTTTAACTAATTTATGAAATTAGATAAATTGAACAAATTACACTGCATCAGAAAATATCCTTCATTAAAATTTATGTTGAAATATAAGTATTTTTGCAAATATTTTTAGGAGCTCAAGAATTTTATTTCATAAGATTTCTCATTATATTATGTAACTAGTTTAGGAAACTTAAATTTTTTATAATATATACATATAGAAAATCCTATGGACAACAGATACTACATCTCAATGAATCTAAGATTTAAAACTTTAAATTAAATCAATTAAAATTTGATTGACTCATATATTTCAACTAAGTTTTACATTTTAGGCTTTAGAGGCATTTTATTCAAAATATTTCATTTCATTAACTATTTTAAATTTAGTTCAAAACATACATAAAAAAAATCAGTCATAAATTCAATAAGAAAATTTTATGTTTCTTTAACGATTGATTATGATTTCATTGTAGAACACCATCTTTCAGAAATTTGTGCACATTTTTGTTTTAGATATTAATTTTTAATTGCAGATACAAAATATATCTATCTGTTTATTTTATTATGCTAGTTAATTAATTAATAACCAGTATGAGTTATTAACATACATCTGTCAAAAAATAAAGAAAAATTCTTCACATGATTTTTTTTTAATTATTGAAGGCTTATAAACACATGGTGAGAATAAGTAATGAGAAAAAAGAACATATAAAATGAATTTAAAAGCATTGCTAACACTGTAAACACATCAAAATTTTAAACATAGGACAGGGGGGATAGAGTAAAAAATTTTCATATATTTTTCCAAAATGTTTAATAAAACCTTATTTTGAACATTTTTAATTATTATTATTATTAAAATGTTAATTTTTATTTTCATTTTCAATAGAATATAAGCTAAATTGAATGCATAATTTTTTAATAATCCTAAATTATTTTTTTTTAAAAAGATGTTCCGTCTACACTAGCCTCAATGATATGGAGCAAATGTGGACAAGTTATAAATTGATTACATAATTTATTTTTACTCATAAAGAAGCACGTAAAATCGAAATAGAATTAATTTAACAAAAAAAGCACAATTTTGTGTAAATATTAAAAACAATGTTCATTTTAATTAATGGTAAGCGCCATACATATTAATTTAAAACTAAGGACAGAATTACAATCCAAATATGTAAAAATCTGTTTAAAAGATAAAACACCACTTTTAGAAATTATTTTTACTATTATTTAATTTATTTCTAAAGAAAAAGATTAAATAAATGGAATTTGGCTTTAATTAAAAAAATTTTGCAAATTTAAATTAATGCTTTTATTACTGCAAAAGCATGCTTTTGTTCCAGCTTCTGTGCTAAAATTAAAACAAAATGTCAATTTCTTTAAAACTTGTTTTTTAACATTGAAAAATAATAATCAATTGCAATCAATAGCAATTCTCACTTTGTGATTACAAGCAGGGTTTGTTGATCACGATTTGAATCAAATGATTTTTTTTTAAAAAATCATTGATTTAAATCAACAGATTTTTTATATATATATATATTGATTTAAAAAGTTAAAAAACAGTGTTTCAAATTATTAATACTTTTATTATTTATTTTCTTAGTTTTAAAATTTATTTTAAATAAATTGCCGCAATAGTTTTAAAATTTATTATTGCTGCATTAATTCTTTCTTGGTGTGCGTTAAATTCCAACACATTTTTAAAAATCTTTTGATTCTTGAGATTGAAAGTACAGATTAAAGTAAACATTTAATTATTTTTTCTCATAACATGTTTACAGTATCTTTGACATCATAAGATTTTCTATAAAAAAATTTTGTGAAAGAAAATTTCAATGAGTGCATAGATTTTTTTTTAGCTTAACTTATCTATTTTGATATAGGATTTTAAAAAAATGAATATTTTAATATAAAAATACATAGATTAAATATTGATTTATTTTTTGATGAATGACTACATTTATAAACACAATCTGTTACATTTATTTTGTCATTTTAAAAATCAAGAGAAAAAAAAAGAAATCACAATTTTAAACTAAAATTATGGTTTGGTAATTGCAACTTCTTCGTTTTAATAGTTCAAGTATTCTTTAAATTCTCTATTTTATCTAGTCTTTAAATTTCAATCATGCATTTGTTTCAAAATGGTTGCTATGCATTCAAAGCTATGTATTATAATGAAAAATTGTTTTAGGTAGTTAGAGCTTCTAAAATATTCTTATAATATAGTTTTAATATTAATTGAATTTTGGTTAAACATTTATAAAGTTTTTTTTTAGTCATAAATCAAAGTTCTTACAGAGTATTTGAACATAAATAAAAAAAATCTAATTTAAATTTTAAAAAATCTGATTTTTTTTTTTTTAAATCAAAAAAATCATGAACCTTGTTTACAAGTATAAAAATAATAATCTATACTAAATGTTGGTAAATACATCACTGAAAACGCTACTAGAATATTGAAAAACTTTGTGTAGAGAGCGAGTTATCTCTTTCCTAGCGCTCAGCGGATATTCCTTCATGAAGAAAGAGTTTAATATCAACTGAACAATATGACATATTCATCATTTAATGAAATTTAGACGGAAATGGAAGTTTACATTTTCCATCCACTGGAAGTTTACATTTCCGGGCACTTTTTAGCAATCGAAATAAACAAAAAAAATTTTCATTTATTAAAATAAATTATTTTAACACTTACAATTTTTTAATAAAAAGTATTAGTAAAAGAATTTTTTTTAAAATTTATTTTTGCTGCTTTTCGGATAGATTCTAGACTATAAATACTAATAAAAATGAATATTAATAGTGTCTGAAAAAAGCATCTCCTGATGAAATTTGTATTGTTTTAAATTTAAGATGTTTTCATTAAAAATCTTCAATTCAGTTAATTGTTTTAGTTTTTTTTTGTTATTTAAGTGGATTAATCTACTTTTGGAATTTTATTTTTTAATGTTACTTTTATCGATTACCTATGCAGCTATTTTTTCACAAAATAATGGGTAGGGGAAAAAAATTTATTTTTCATCATGAAAATTTTTTGTTGTTGTTTTTATAGCTTCTTTTTTTTTCATAAATATATTTTATCATACTAAACATTATTTAGTTTTTTAAATGTTATTCAACCAATAAGAAAATGTTACATAAAATTATCATTATTGTCTATTCATAATTTTTTTTTATCGAATAACTCATGTTTGAATGTTGATTTACTATAAAGACCTATTATCCTGAAAAGTCTTATCTTCTAGACTTGCCAAAGTTCCGACAATATTAGATATAAGACTACAGGGTTCCCACTCTATGATGAGATTGAAATTCAAGGANGAAGTGGAGTACGCCTATAATTAAAAAAAATGAATACTAAAATCAGTAAAAAGCACATTCATGAATATTTAACATAATATCCTTAATAATTCAAAATACCATCATAAAAAACATGTGAACCAAATGTAAACAAAAGAGTACAACGATATTCAGAAGTTTTGTGAAGTTATTAAAATTTTTGGGTAATTTCGACTGATTAATACTAGAATTATTCCAGCTCTTTACGTAAGCCCTATTTCCATATTAGCCCCTTTCTTCCCTATACATACATTGTAATTGTATCCAAATTACAATTCAAATGAAGCACATTTTAATTACAAAATAGAAACCACTAATAAAATTTACCTTCTATTTCTTTCTCTCCGATTTTGCAGAGTTGCCCTAGCATCTTTTCCTTCTTTTTTTGACGAAAGCCTAAAGTTATTTTTCAAAAAATCAATAAATAACTAAAGATTTGAAGGAAGAAAAAAAACATAACAAGCACGATTCAAAAGATTCTGCATGATTAATGCATATCAATTAAAATGCAAGTTAAAAAATAATAAATTAAAATACATCAGTGGTCCATCTCAACCTATTTTGATCCATTCTCTTTTTCCAAAAAATATAAACATATATTTCCCATATTTATTCATATATTACTAAACATATTAAGTTTTAAAAAAAATAATAAACGCAAACTTATAATTTAAGCCAAAAAAATATAATAATAATAAATCAAATACATCAATAGTTAGAAAAAAATATTATGACACACTAACATCTACTTTTTTATTCAATGGGACACCTGTGATTATTTCTTCTTTGTTAATTCTTTAATACTTAAAGTAGCGTAGCCTTTTTTAAAGTCCAATTCATTTCATTGTTTGTATTTGTAAAAGAGTTTAAAAGCATATTTCATAAAGACAGACACGCAAAAGTGAAAACAAGCTCCTCTAGCAACTTTTGGATAAAATGTGCACATTTAAAACTAAAATTCTGAAACAATTTTTCCTCAAAAATATTTTTAGCTTGAAAATTTGTTTTCAAAAAAATAATCTTAGAAAGCACTAAGGTCACCCTCAACAGGCAAATTAAATGGATTTGGCACTAAATCTAACATTTTATTAAGAATTCCTGAAAGAATATACTTAATTTCTTTTCTAAAAATGCAACGGTATCCGTAGCAAGAAAAGAGTTTGATAAAAATTTCTCCCTTAAAACTAAGAAATTCAATCCGTTGGGTTTAACTGTTCTACATTGTATACTATTCTCAATATAGCATTTATAGCATAATAGTTGAAAACTTCAGCTAAATTTTAAAATTTAGGTAGTGAATTTCATTTAGTGTAATACACCAAAAAACACATAAATCTTCAAAAGTATTAGTTATGTACCTCATAAAACACATAAGTCTTATTATTATTAGTCATAACACTTATTATATAAAATGAAACAACTTCATTTTTGTTTAATGTTAAAAAACTTGGTAAGTTATAATAAAACATCAACTAATTTATTGATGATAAAGAAAAAAAAGTATTATACAGAAAAACAAATTATTTATAAAAACAGAATAAACAAAATAACATAAAAAAATAACCTAAAAATAAGTCATAAAAAAAAACAATAAATTTTATTTTAAAAAACTATATTCTAGAATATTTATCTAAAAAAAGTTATTAAGTTTAAACAATAGTTTTGCCCTTATCTATAAAATTATTTCAAAATTTTAAATTTGTATGCACGCTAACAGCAATTTAGAAAAGCCAGAATAATTTACATTTATTATATCCATTTATCCGAGTACTGAAAATAAGATATTTCAATATTAATAGGATTCAACTACAATATGCTTTGATAATATTTGAGAAATGTTTTTTTTTTAAAATTTAAATAGTATATTTAAAAATTTATATCAGTACTTAGTAAACAACAATCAACTGCTCCACAGCTAGACAGCTACAAGAAAAAATTGTTAAATACATTTTTAAAGTTAATAAATTCTATAAAATATATAATTATTGAATGATAAACTTTTTTAAAAAAGTTTCACTGGCTTTTCATACATTTTTGTAACATACATAAAACACTGTTTAATAAATTTTAATAGATTGTCCTCACAATTTCAGAATAATGACCAAAATTATATTAAATTTCCAATAATTTAGTTATTTTTAACATCATTAATGGCACAAAAAGTAGAAGCATTATTTAACAATATAAAACACTTATTCTAAAAATCTTATGAGTTTAGAATCATGATGAAGAGCAGATGACAAAAAAAATCAAAGACTTACTTAATTTTTCAATTGTTTCGTAGACTTGTTGCAATAGTTAAGAGGTAGAAAGAGACTGATTCAAGCCCTAAAGGTATACAATGGGCAGTGCAATAGGTAAATTCTTTTATACCTCTTACCTGGTATCTATACAGTTATATATTTAACATTTATGTTGAATAATCAATATATTGAATTTATAATTATTAAAAGTTTTATAAGCCCAAGCCTTATAAGCCATTTTCAATCATTCATTTGTGCCCCGTTTTCCACTCGCTTAAACAAAAGAAAAACTTTGTACTAATAGATTTTGCTTTTAAAAGAAAGGCACAAAATATACTTTTACATGCAAAGTAATTAATATTTTGAAACATGCTAACAGACTACAAAAGTTTACAGGTGATTTATTAATGATAAAATAAATAGGGATATAAGTCAACTGTATAAAAACCCCATTCCTTCTCATCTCAACTATATATATATTTTTAAAATAATGTTGCTACTATTTATTACTATGATTTTCTACTAATGATATACTGATCATAACTTACAATTATCGTCTGCACTTATTAATTAGCACATTTGAGGTCACCCCCTTGAGCTATTACGATTGAAAGCTAAAACGTGAAAAATCTGATCATTAGATCAAAAGTTATTCAGGGTGGCCATTTTTTAGCTCACTGTACATCTTGTTACTAGTTCTTGATGTGTATGATCAATTGCAGGAGTTTCAGAATTCAGTATAATAGAAAACATTTTTGAGTATCTTGAACAGAGTCTTGTTTATTTATTTTTATGGGCTGCTTTAAAAGAATATTTCAAAAGCTCTTCGCATTTTTTGCTGCATAACTGCTCAAAATTTAACTTTTATAAATCAAAATTTATTACAGAGTATAAGATCTCTTGACAGTAACTAATCCAACACAATAATGATGATGCAAATTCATACATATTCATTAAGTAAATTTATAAATTTATTCGCAAGAAAAGCAAAATGAATAACTCGAACTTTGCACAAATTATCTCTGCAGAGAAATGCATCCTACTTACAATCACTGAGCAAAATAACTCAAACACAAGCAAAGCAAACAAACCAAAATTAAATTACACGAAGCATAAAACTCTACTTTTTATAAAGCGGAAGTGGAGTACTTTGGTTGAGGAATAAAATTCCAAAAAGTGGATTTTTTTAAAGTGGCATATTCTATGCAATGGTTATACTGGAGGAAAATCTGAAAGTAATTAATTTCACCATTGCAACATACACAGAAACATGATAATAAGTATGAATATTTTTGAACCTGAAAAATATTTTAACGAATTCTTTGTTTTTCTTTTTTAGCCATCTATTAATGAGTAACAAATTTAATCTTAAACATTTAATATTTGCTAAAAATTAAGTATAAATAGTAAGATAACAAATAAAGTACCACCCTTTGATCGATGAAAATCATTTGCTCTGCCTTTCCTGCAACTTATTCCAGACTAATTTAATGAAGTGACTTTCTACTGCTACTTTGATTTCTGTTTATATTAAATTTCTTGATGTTCTTTGAGTATATTATTATGATTAGTACTGTTTTAATCTCTAATTAACTGAAATAATCTTTAGATCTTTATAATTATTAGATAATCTTTAGAGAAAAGATAAATCTTTACAAAAAATAGTCATTTGCTTCAGAAATTCTATACAGCAGCCTTTCTATACAAAAGTCAGAGCAAAGAACATATATACAGTACAGAACCCGTTATCCGGAAATCAGAAAACCGGAACGAAATTCAATGAGTTTTTCCGTCCGTTTTTTAAAAAAAAAATTTTTTTTCCTCATAAGATTTTAGGATTTTTCTTTCTTTTTTGAAAGATGTTTACCATACCATCATTTTAGAAATAATCATTACTGTATTACTTCATCGTTTTTTCTTCTTTTTAAGATTTCCTAATAATTTTTTTTTTTTTAGTTGGGTTTAACAATTAAAAAAAAAAGGCTTTTTGTAGCAATTCAGAAAACCTGAAAAATCAGTTATCCGGAATAGCGATGGCCCCGATCGTTCCGGATAATCGGTTCCCTACTGTATTTGTCACGAGCCCTTAGCTTTTGACTATCTTAAATGTTAATATATTAAATATACTCCCTTAAATATTAAAAATAATGAAATAATTAGCTAGGATATATTTAAAAGTAAAAAAGCAGATTCTCTTAGACTTACCCAAGCCTACTTTGAAGAGGAGTTATTATTTTAGGAGCATCATCTTCAATTTCTTCGTCTTCTGACCTGAAAAAATTATTAAATGGGAATTTCCTAATTAGAAAAGAATGTTCCTCTTTAAAACAAATATTATCATCAGTGTCTAAAAAGTACAGAAAACAAAAACTCTGCACATTTATACAATTTTAGGAAATTTAGAAAAACCTAGTAAAACAGTGCTATCATTATAAACATAGAAAAGCTTAGGTTTCATGTCTACTATCTAAGAATGTTTTACAAAATGCAATTTTCATAAGGTATAAACTTACATTTCAATAAGAAATTTTTTTAATCATACAAAAAGAAAAAAATTTCAATTTTCATTTTGTAGACTGATATATAAAGAAAAGAGGGCTAAAATAATAAAAGACATTATAAGAAAAATAGGAAATAAATATAACACAAATGAATCATAATTTCAACTTTAGTCTTTAAAAGCAAATTAAGAATCTCTTACTCTGATTCTTTTGGAGTAGCTTGTTTTAGGGGCAAGACATCTTTAATATTCTTTAGTCTTGATTGTGCCATTTTCCAGTGCGGTGGCGTTTCACTACCAGAACGACTTGTTGATCGGGATGGTGTTCGGTATCTCTAACAAATAAATAATAAACAAAAATTTGTATTTTCTTTCTACTACAACATTTTCCCACGATAATAAGCACCTTTTAAGTACTTTTTAAGCACTATATACATTAACAAAATGTAAAATAATTTTCCAAGACTTTACATGACCATGATAAAACAACTAGTTTTTGACAAAGAACTCTTTTCTTGATTATATTAGCCACCACGATCGAGAGATTTCTCGGTTCAATTTTAGAGGGTGGAAAATGAAGCCTGAAATTAAGAATATCTTGCAGAATACAGCAGATTTGCACACGAGAGTGCTAGAATGTCACCGAATTCAGTTCAGTAGACGCACATGCGAACTCGCAAGTATTTAATCAAACATGTATATTGATTGGCGCTTTTATACGCTATGGACCGATGGTAGGCCAAAATCTACTGTGGTTGAATGAATTGTGAAAACATTGAATACAACAATGTGAAAAGCACGCTTTTGCATAATATGTGGCGAAAATCGACATGGTAAAGAAAAAAAATCTCCTTTACAAAAACGGAAAATTATGCACTTTTTAAAAACACCTAATGAAAAAAAGCACCTTTAAGGACTTTTTAAATAATGAAAATCGGAAATAAGCACCTTTAAGCATTTTTTAAAAATGCTAAGTACCGTGTACAAGACACATGCAATAAAAATAATTATTTAATACTTGCAATGAAATACCAGGAATTAACTTTTTGCACTCTTACAAAATTATCTCGATGGCAAAATTTTTTTTAACCAATTTCAATAGTAACTGAAATCTGAATAAAGCTTTTTATAAAATATTTATGATATTTTATATTTATGATCCCTAAATTATATTTTAAAAATTGCAAAAAAATTGAGAGATATGAGATTGCAAAAAAAGTTGAGGAAATATAGGTTAAACAAAAAATTAGAACTTATGTTCATACTGTCTTAAAATAATAAAAAAATACTGTTTGAATAAATAAGATTTAAATATTACATAAAATAAAACTATTAATGAAAATTGAAAAAAAAATTACCTATGTCAGTTTAGTTATAATACTGATAGTTTTACAAAGTAAATTAAGGATCTAATAATGAGTGATCTAATAATTGATTCAAATGATGGGTGACTTTAAAAGTTCTAATTTACCAGGAACTGATCTCAATCTTTATCAATCGATGGATTTAGAACACAGTTCTAATAGCTTTTAGACATTTTGAAAAGAACATAAAAGAAAATTTTCAGCAGTACAGTTATTTTAACACATTTTAGAAAAAATAATAAATAACTGGAAAATGATAAAAAAAATAAGCGTAAAATGAGAAAAAACAAATACAAAAACTAAAAAGAACAGATCTGGGAAAGAACTTATGTTTGCTTATATAAATGTAACTAGATTGACTGAGCTGACGGAAATCTAGAAATTATGTAACCTCAACTTAGCGCTTACAATGTAAAATATTACATTTTTTAAATATTTAAAAAAAAATCTCTGTATTTAAATTTTATGATAATGATTTATAGCAATATTTAGTGAGACAAAATAGGATAGTAAAGTAACTGAGAAATTGTTCAGAAAAAAATTTTTTTTTTGTGAAAGATATTTAATTTGTATAAATTCTAAAATAAAACAAGATTAAGTAAAGAAGAATAAAAAGACTAGTTACCATAAAGCCCCTTCCTTTTATTTTTCGACCAGAACGAGATCTTGATGGGCGCATGTAATTAACTGAGTCTCTTTGATTTGGTCTAAAACAAAATTTTCATCAAATCAAAATTGGCATTTATCTTATATAATTAGAAATCACATCTTAAAGGCCTAAAATAAAAAAACTAGTAAACCAATTCAAAGCTAAAACAAATGTTTTGTTAAAGTAAATAACAAAGAAATTTGACTTTTTACATTAAATATGCAATTTCAACTTATAAAATAAATAAAAAACATAATCAATAATAACTATAAAAATGCACATCATTATAATGTAAATTTTCTTAACTAAATATGTCAAATAAATAAAAAATATGTTAAAATAATAAAATATGTTCAAAATAAAAAAAAAATGGCATTGTTTTTTTTTTCAAAAACAAAAAAAAATCAAAATTTGTGTAGTCTGTTCAATTAAAAAAAGAACAATAAGGATCTAAAATTCAGTTTCACTTATTTAAAAGAAAATTCTCATTTAACTTCTGATATCCATAATCAACTGGTGGTTGATTTTTCACTAAACAAGTAATGAAATAAACTAAAATTAGTTATATCTAGTACATAACTTAAGCTTCCTTGTTAATAAATTCTAGACAAACTTCCTCAACATAAAATCTCTTGTATCAAAAATTTCGTGTTACTTGGTTTTGACAATGCAACAAGAATAAACAACAAGCAAAATCTATGATGGCTAATTTAAATCATGACTTTAAATAAATCTTCACACTAATTATTATAACAGCCTTGATTATGTCGCTTAATTATGAAGAAAAAAATCTAAAAATTCTGATTTAAATAAAAATCATGATTTTTTCTTAACTTTAGCTTTTCTCCCTCTTATCTAAATTTTATCAGAGAAACAAAGCACTTGCAATAGCATATAATCGTTTAAACATTCATTTTTATGTTATTTTATATAAAAGTAATTCTAAGCAAAATTTTAAAAAAAATGGAATTTATAAAAAAAAAATACCTTCTATTGCTATCCCCTAAAGGAGAAGTTCGTCTTAATAAAAAGTTATTTGCAGGGACTTCGGGTATTTCTTCAGGATCAACCATACAGCCAGTATCTTCTGATTCTTTGAAAGGAGCACTGCAAATTAAAAAAAAAAAAAAAAAGAAAACTTAGTTTCACATTATTTAATTTATTAATTATATAACTATCAAAGCAAAATCCACAGTCANGGCAAAGAGGAAAGATTTTTTGATTTGCAGAAAATGTGAGACTTTTTAGGTGTCCACTGGCCAGTCGAGATAAGCAGGTATTTAATTTATTAATTATATAACTATCAAAGCAAAATCCACAGTCACTATCCAAAATAAAAAAATTCTCAAAGTTAATTTAATTTTCATAAGATGTGGAATGCATATTTTGTTGGAATAATTTCTTGTTATTTTATCGCCCATTTTTTGAATTATATTGCTGCATAGTAAAATTATACCACTGATTAATAATTTAAATAATTTATAACTAGAACAACAGCTTTGAACAGTCAGGAAATGCTTGAGCTTGAACCTAAGTTATTTATCACAAAACAGTAAGCAAACATAAAAGCAAAATATAATTAAAAGAAAACAATACAGGATATCAAACTAGATTCGTTTTAAGTGGGCCTTTGTTTATAAAATTTAATTTTTAATATTTGTTTTTGAACGAAAAATTATTTAGCATTGAACTAATAAATCTAAATTTTATCTGTAAATAATAACGTAAAACTAAAATAAATTGAACAACTCTAAGTGTCTTCATTTAACGCATCTTAATGTTTATTTAATGACTTCAGTTTTTCATATTACATGCAAAACAACAACAATAAACTAAAGTTACAAAAAATTAGATCAGAAAGATGCTGATGCAGTAATTATTTTAAAGAAAAAAATGAAATATTCCAACATATTTAATGTAAAATTTTATTTCTTCAGAATTAATAGTGGCTTCAAGTTCTTTAGCAGAAAATTTCCTTAAAAAAAGACATTTATATATGTTTGACACATCAAAAATTTACATTTAAATAATGCTTGAATTAACATGCTTTAAAAATGATCTCATGAACAAATGCTTCAAATATTTGTATTTTTATAAGAAATATAAATAATGCGGAAAAATAAAAACCACAGTTTTTTTTATAATGAATTTTATATTGAAATTTTTAAAAAAATAAATAAATAGACATTATACAAAAAAATTAAATTCCAACATTTGATCTCAAAATATGTAAACAATGATTCCGAAATACATTAGAAACTATGGGTCCTTAGGACTTCTATATTTCCAGGACCCTTTTTATTAAAAGCAAGTCCCTATTTAAAATATGAATGATTTATATATTTTTAATTATATATTTATAAATATTTATAATTATTCAGTCTATTGATAGACAAACAAAGAATTTTTAAACAAAAGAGTTGTATTTGAACTATCAAGGCTTAGCATTCAATTAGGACTGATAAAATGCCTGCATCAAATAACAGCAACTATGTAATTTCATACTCAGATTTATTCCAATTTTCACCTTCAGCTATTGTTAACAAAGAAAAATAACTTTCTTACATACACATATATAAATTTTAGTTACAGCCCGAAGTATAGGTAATCTTTCTTGATAGTTATCATTTTTCTTTATTATAGATACTTTGCTTTGATCAAAATATGTTTATTTCTACTTAGTAAATAAATTTTTTTTTATTTACATTATAGAGAATTCATGCTTTATTTTATGAACAACTTGAGAAAAATTGTGCCACTTTATAAGAGCTGTAAAGATTGTGAATCAGTACATAACAATTATTTCTGAATCAGCTTATATAAAACAGGGTAATATATTAATTCAAGAAGAATTAATTATACTGCACTGAATTTTACTCACTTCGAACTTTTCAATTCTTTTTTCTCTTTTTTGTGTTTCTTATGCTTTTCTTTCTTCTTTTTTCTGGACCTTCTCTCTTCACTTTCTGCCTCAGAGGCAGAACTTTCAACGGATCTTCGACGTTTTTCTATACATGAAATTGAGTAGAATTAGAAAGATACCAAGAAATACTTTTTAGCAAACAATGATCCAGTAAAGAGTTTTGCTCAAGTAAAGAATTTTTTATTTAAATTTTATGTTTCTAATGTTATAAAGTTTTTTTATATTTTAATTCTTGCATTTCAATTCTTTTCAAATTTTAAACTTGAAATGTACAACATAGCAACTAATTATATTGTTAACCTGCTATTTTTAAGAATCACAGAACCATGCTTTAAGTTAGTTCACAGAAAGTCAAGGTGGCATGTCAAATATAAAAAAGTAAACTTTTTTGTTAACATTCTTTAATCATATGACTATGCTTTTTCCCCCTAGAAATATGGAAGAGTTTTTATTAAATAAAGAAAAAAATATAACTCTCAGTCAATCTATTATTTACCTACTGAGTGTAAGCAACATAGATTTATCATGGAGACAATTTTAAGTATGATTTAAATAAAAGCAAATGGCATTAATTACTCTAAGTCCAACACAAATATTATTTATCGATTCGAGTATTTTAATATTTGATTTATATTATAGGAACAGTAAGAAACAAAAATTTTCATTAAGAGTCATTTTTAACCTATTAATGCCCAGCCATTAAAAGTGGTTTATAAAAAAGCATAATATGAAAAGTAGCGACATGCATTTGTTTTCATACCAAGCGAATAGTTTTACCTGTTAACCACCACCTTAGCTTTCAAAAAGAAATATGATTTGACTTCAAATCTAAATATTTATATTTTAGTGGTCGAGTGAACAATCCTATTTTTGTAAAATAAATCATTTTAACAAAGCACCTGTTTTACCTTTTAAAAAAAAAAGGAACTGTTCTTTTAAAAGGATGCTAAGCGCAAATGAGCGCAGCCACCCCTGAAAATACTGCCTTATTATTCAGTTTCCATTTTGAAAACAATTAATTCACTGCATAAATAATAATTACACACTGATAAAATTATCTGTGTTTATAGGTGTAATTCAGATGAGTATTACAAATATTTACTTTGATACGATTATTCTCAACAGGTTAAATTGAAGTGGTTACTGGTTAAACCTCCAAAAAAAAGGTGTCTTTTTGGGGGAGATATTAATAAATTGATTTTAAATCTTAAAACTCATTTTTTAACAACTACCTGTTTTTGAAAAAAATGCACATTTAAATGTTCATATTCTCATAATTTTCAGTTTAAATTAAAGAAAAAACCTTTTGAGTTCCTTATGAATTAAAATTTTTTGTTAAGTTTACTTTACTTGAAAATAAAATATGCACAGAAATTGCTTTTTAGCACGCCTTTAATTAGTTTCATAAATTACAAATTTTTCTCTTGTTTTGATAATGGGCGAAAGATATTTAAAAAATTTTAAGAAAAAACTTCAGTCATTACGTAATATTACACATATGGATAAAATTTTACTGTGTTGAAATATATCTGAATCTGAAATATATATATATTTACATACAGTTGTAATAAACAGGCTATGTATTGGCCGTGACTGTCTCTCCCACAGACACTTTTCATTTGAATAACAAATGCAAAGTTATTCAATTTGCCCTGAATGATTAACTGATGAACAAAATTTTGACCCAGTGCTTTAAATATAAACTTAAAGGCCTAACTTGAAGTGCACACCAACTCTCTTTGCTTACTCATTGCACCTTAATGCATTTTAATCCAGTTTAGTATAAACGATGGCATTCGTCTTTATATAATACATTTCTAAAAATATAATAAAAATTTTAATCTTTTTATTATAAAAATTAATAAACAGATTAACATTTCAATGCCATTTAAAAATTATGTTCGCAATATGTTATTCTTTGAATTTCTATAAATACACAATTCTGAATTTCAGTGTTTGGAGACAGAAGTTTTAGGTTTTTCATTCTGACGCAAATTTTTAAATGGATAAAAACCGAAGAAAAAAAAAGTATAGGAACAAAGTAAGTAGATGTGAAAGCAGTACTTCAAAGTTAAAACAAAAAGTAAGGTTGAATCAATCAACTAAGGTAGCATAAAGGTGGGACATTCTGAAAATTTAACATATATATTAGACACAGTAGTGAATTTAAAAAAACTTTATTTTAAAAAGACATGCAAGCATAACTGATTTTCTAGGGTGAATTTGTTTCCTTTAAAATTACACATTAAAGCATGTGACATAATTTTAAATCTGACTTTCCTAATCTAACTGTTTTACTTGGAGTTCATCCACACCAAAATATTATACTTTATCTTAAATTAGTTAATATAATCCTTTATCAAGTGATTAGCATGATATAGTCCTTAATGGCTTTTGTGTTTTATCTACTTAGCTCTTCTATATATGACTGCCGTTGGAAATATACTAAGAAATAAAAACTTTGAAAAAAATTTTTATATTCTTTATGTAACAATTAATTAATAACTATAAACAAAGTTACCTTTTTGTTTAGCCTTTCGGACAAGTTCACCACAGTTTTTAATTTTGACTTCCTTTGTGGGCCTGCAACTTTGATCAGTCTTTATGTTTTCAATATCCGATACAACATCGAGACCATCAATGACACGCCCAAACACAGTGTGCTTGCTAAAAAGGAAAAAAAATTAAGACAGTCTATACATAGAAAAAGAATTTGCTAAATCAAGAGCAGTTTCGAAACCAATTTAAAGACTGAATCAATTTTTAGTAGTTTAAAGACTATCTAAATATTATATTATTTTGGAGTTACTATATAAAATTAAAAACATAAGGGATTGACATTCTTTTGAAGCTTTCATTCCAAAGTTTTAAAGTCAAAATACTACTCTAATTTTTTTTTTGAAAAAAATTTAAAACTATCCATTTGATGCATAAATAAATATAAAATTTCTTTATAAAAAATAATCTTTATTATAGAAACACACAGTACATAACTTAAGAAGTTTAAAATTATACATAGCATCACATAAATTTATTTGAAAATAATAATTTATTTTCTACAGAATATAATTTTTTCATTTACTGAAAAATGAAAGCTTTGCAGATGATAAAAATTAAGTTTTTACAATGGAAATCATTTAAAAGTTCATTAAAAGCAATTATATTCCCAACAGTTTTGATTAAAAATAATACTTATAATAATTAAGAACTTAGAAAGATGTTTAATCAATTTTAGTAAGCAACTCTGATGAAAAAATAAGCAGCTAAACTTTAAAAAAAACAAAAACATTAGAGACCTATTTGAATACCTATGGATACTTTTCACAACATATCTATCCCTAAGAACACAACTATATCAAAACTTACAGAGTGAGACCAAATTGCACAAGTTGTCAGGCATGAATATGTTCTTTCAATCTTACAATCATAAATCAATAAAAGGTGAAATAAATTGTTTAAACACTCAAAATAAACTAAATTATCTCAGTATCTAACTTTTCATGAACATAGCCAGGCAGAGTCGATTGAAAATCATTTTAGAAAATATAAGAGACTATAATACTTACTCATTTAAATGAGGAGCAGGCTGTGTAGTGCTAAAAAAGAAAGCAGAGAATTCAGCTTGAATATACTTTACTATTAAATAAAAGAAAACAAACGCATGCGATAAATAGTAAAATATTTATTTTTACAAATAAAGTTAACCAAGACTAAATCCTTTAAAGATACATCAAAATTTGGAAATTGGTTCAATTTTCTATATTTTTTTTTACAATAAACAGAAGCAGGGTTGGCTTTTTGCCAGCAGAAACTGGTTTTTGCCATGCAAGTGGCAGAAACTGGTTTTACCCAGTAAAAACCGGCAGAAACTAAAAAAAACTTCTATATTAGTTCTAGTAATTGCTTAATGCATTTTGTTTAAGTAAACTGAAAAATGTAACTCCATGCAACTGTAACAAACTTTTTAATTCATTGCTTGTAAATATATATTATTTTGCTTACATTAAATATAAAGAGTGCAGTATATCAAATTGAGAAAAGAAATTGTTTAGGTTCAGAAACTGCATCAACACTTGTCTTTTGTTATAGATTACTGCAAAGTGCAAACAATGTAATATTTGATCTCGAATGGTGATAATTTTATAAAACAATTGAACTTTGTTTAACATTTAATTGTTTTTTCTATGAATTATCCATTGTATGTCAATCTCAGTATTTACTTTTATGTCATTTTCTGAATTTCTGCCACAAATGTGGCAGAAAGGGGTTTCTGCCATGCCAGTTCTACCAGTGGTTTTAACCACCTCGGCAGAAACTTGTCAACCTTGAACAGAAGTAAAATTAACTAGATTTTTAGATAGATTTTCACAAAGCTTTTTAAATAAAAAGCATCAATTCATTCTTTAGCATCAATTCATGTTTCAGAACATAAAAATATATGTCTTAAGATATGCATAGATGTTTATGCCATTTCACATTTCTTTAGTTAAAATAAATCTTGATTTATATGTAATTGTTAAAATGTAAATTCTAATTTAATCACTTTGTAATATAATGAAGTAAGTAGTTGCATAAAAAATTATTTTAATGCCCATTTTTAAACTCATAATAAACTAATTTATAGATATATTTTTAATTAAAAATAAAATTCAAAAATAAAGATTAAAAACACATAACTTACATGAAAAACTGTGAACCATTTGTGTCTTTTCCACGATTGCTCATACTGAGCAAAAAAGGTTTATCATGTGGGATGTCAAAATTTTCATCTAAAAATAAAAGATGAGAATATCAAATCATTCAATGAATATTAAAACGAATTTTATTCATAAATATAAAATTTTTCCTGTGTATTATATAATAAATCATTTAATACACAATAAATTTTCGCTGTTTGCTTAATCTATTCAATTAATAAAAAGTTGCTTAATTCTAAACTATTTCATTTTGCGATAATATGAAAAGGATGTCAGATGATGACATTAATGCTTGTAATATAAAGGATTTAAATTGTAGTTAAAAAATAAATTAATAGGATAGTTAAAAAGAATTAAAAAAATACTGACCTTTGAATTGACCACCATAAATAGATTCGCCACCAGTGCCATTACCTAAAATTTACAATTTAAATAATTTTAGAGGACCTGTGAATAATAAGAGCAAAAGACCATGCTACTTTTATACTTTTTTTAAATGCAGATTTTAGTTAAAACAATATCAAAAATGTAACTAAAAATATGAAGAAAAATTATATTAATTTAATTAAATTACCAGAAACAAAATCTCCTCCTTGTATCATAAAATTTTTCACAACTCTGTGAAATGGAGCTCCTTTGTAATGGAGAGGTTTCTCTGTGTTCTTACCAACACCTTTCTCACCTATGGTAAACAAATAAAAAGAAAAATTCAGCCAAAGATACATACACAATTCTACAATAATTGAAATGACACTTTCAGTTTTTGGTCTCTTTTCATTAAATTGTATCCTCTATGAATTTCTCAAGAAATATAAGAGGATAGTTTTACAGCTAAGGAGGTGTTTAGCTCATGCAATTCCTCATACTTATCAATAAAGTTGAAACTTTTCAGAAATCTGAAGGACTGGCAATAAATTACAAATGAAAAAAGTATATTGAATGTATTATGTCAGAAAATACAGCAACAAACTTGTAATTTGCATTTATTACTTCGATTATTATATGCAATAACTGCATAAAATTTCGTAAGTCTAGCATAAATATTTATGGCGAAGGACATTTTTATAAAAGAAAATATATATTTTCAAGTCCAATATAAGACATAACCAGGGTTCATATAGAGATCAGAAGAAGAAATACAAGGAGTATCCAAGGAGTCCAAAATTTTACGGACTTATCAAAAATTTAAAAACTTTGTTTAAAAGAAAACTAGAAAAAAAAATTTAATTAAAAAGCAATTATTATAAGGAACTTGCAAAAATTTATATTTTGCATATTTTTTCTCTAACCCTTTTGAAATAAATTTTGACTTTGTCAAACTTCTTCAAGAAAAATAAATAAAGTTATCACTTTTACACATAAATACATTTTTCAGTTTCAAATATTGTAATAAATCTTGTTAAAGTACAGATGTTAAAGATTAACATAAAAATATAACAATCTTATATTTTTAAATTTGAATAAACAAAAAAATCTAAGGCATTTTATACAAAAAAATATACATATAAAAAAAAAAAATCACAGTGAATTATTAAGTTTGCTTGTAACATGTAAAATTAAAATTATTTGCTGTTATTTTTTTCTTCGAACTCTTGCAATTCAATTTTTTTCTTCTTTTAAAGTTTTTCTTAAACTATTAGATTTTGGCAGCTAAGTCATCATTTAGTTTCTCGGCTTGAACAGCAAATTCATCAGCAGACTTTGTAAGTTCATCTATGCAACGTAATAATCTAAGGAGTTTCTAAGGACTAATTTGGAAATCTAAGTAGTTCCAAGTAGTCCTTGGGAACTTTTTTATTTCCAAGGAGTATAAGGAGTCTGTATGCACCCTGGACATAACAATGTTTTTTTTTTATAAAAATTTTACTTTCATAAATTTTTATGGTTTACGAGATTTTATGCTATTATTGCATATAATAACCAAAGTAATAAACACAACTTATTGCTATATTTTCTGATATATGATGTTCAGTAACACTTTTTCTCGTTCAAAATTTACTGCCAATTCCTTAAACCACTGAAAGCTTTAAATTTTATTGATAAGCAAGAGAAATCGCATGACCAAAACTCTTTTAAAGTTACAAAATAATCCGCTAAGTATTTCTTGAGAAATTTAAAAAAGTGTTGAAAACCTGAAAGTGTTCCTTCAATTGTTGTAGGGTAAAGTATTTCAAATGAAAGCAACAGAAGTAGAAAATACAAGGTCTCAATGAATCAATCAATTCATTATAGATTATTTTTCAGAATATTATTATAACACATTAATTATTTCAAACTAAGCAAAGTGCTTTTTACCTGTACACAATGCTCTAAAATTTTCACAAGTGATGGGGCAGACATCAAAAAATAACTCCACAATGATTCTTCCGACTGAAAAATACAAGATAGTCTCTTCAAAAAAGCAGAAAGTATTGGTAATACTAAACAAACATTAAGTCAATTATGATACAAAATTTGCAGCAGTTAAATAAATGGAAAACATTTGTTGAACTTTTTACAGAAGAATAAAAGCAAAGTTAAATTTTAATTAATTTGGCAAAATAGCTCTTAGATATGTGGCCTTATTTTAAATACTAAAAAAAAAAACTGAGCATCTATACTTGAAATAACATGACTTTAATATTCTTGAATGATCCCTTGAGAAAGTTCTGAAGTTAATGGAAATAAAAAATCAAATAGGTATTACTGGGTGAGTAAGTTTTTAACGCATGTTAATTTTTAACCTCATGACAAAAACCTAGATCTTTGGTGACATTGTATTTTTATTTCAAGTAATTAAAAATTAAAATAAAAAAATGTACCTGAAATTTTAAAGCAATTAATTTAACAATATTTTTATAAAAGATGCTTGACAAAAAAATGACTTGAGATTATTGATAAAAACATAACAATGTAACTAATGATTACATTAGAATTTCATAAATCTTAAAAAAAAAAATATAATAATAATAATATTTTTATACAAACATTCTACTTTTATTATTTTGTTTCATTATACAAATTACATTAATTATAATCATTAATTATAATATTATCAAAACATTTCAAGCATTACACTGTAAAACGTCTAGTTAGATGACTTTTATTTATATATAAAGGAAGGGGGAATAAGGTAACTTAGTTCTAAAATTCTTTTGCAAAATCTTAGCCGTGGGAAAAACTTGGCTACTGTAGAAATCAGCTAGGTAACAAAAACAGTGCAAAACTAGTCACTATCTTGTGCTTTGACACAACCCTGATTAATAAGAATTTAGTTTTATTTACAATTATGATTTGCAGTAATGTGAGTATTCAATTAAATAAAAGTTTTAAAATTCGATAAAACAGAAGTGGTTTTTCAATTAGTTTATCTTTAGTTACAAATTTTGACGAATATTTCAATATTACATAACACAGTGATCATAGTATTTTAAAAAATGTAGATGCTGAGTGGATATCAATAACAAAATAAATTCTGTATAATACACAAATTTTTTAAACATATTTTAAATATTTTATCAGTGCAAAATTTTGATTTTTAGTTTTCTTGCAAATCAAGACTTTAAAAAAGACTTTGCAAAACAAAATCTTAGTATCACAACTTTTCATAATTTATATTTGATAGTATATTAAAAATTATATAAATATATATGTACATAATAGCAAAATTGATTGTTAATCATGAAGTTAATTTCGTTAAGAAATTTATTGTCAGCTGAACCATGGCATAGCTTAAGGAAAAAACTTGGTTTTCGACTGTTTTAACTGGCAAAAACTCGGTCTTGTCAAAAATTAGCTTTTGATGTAAAAAACCAATCCCTAAGCAAAGAGCCGACTGCTTCCCTTTTGTACACCCGCACGGCACAGCCTCATAATTATAATATAATGTTTCACAATTTGCATTCAGAGCAAACGTCAGAGTGAGACATTTGCCCCGAGTCTCAAGTCAGTGATATTAATATAAACTATAGTAAATTTCCTTAGAAGAACTCTAATTATCCAGATTATGAATTATTTCGAGCCTTTTCTTTTCATCATCTTAACTAATTTAGTAACAATTGTCTAGACATCATTTGGTAATGCAAATTGAATCTGGTCCCAAAAACTACTTATTTATAATTTTTGAAATAGTTACATAAATAAATGTCTTAAAAGCAATTACAATATTTTCCAAATCACAATTATCATAATAAACTCAAATCTCATAAATTGACCTAAAAATTCAAGAAAACTGATTATCTTTGCATATGAACAAGTAGATAACAGAATAAATAATCAAGAAAACTTTAGATTTTTTTTGCAACATTAAGTAATGACAAACTAAACTTCTCTAAATCATTTATTCAAATTATTCTTTCATAAATAATTATATAAAGGAATGATTTAGAAACAGTTCTAAACTTGTTTTTAAGTAAAATTTTGTTCATAGTTATGTTAATATCTTAATAGGAACGAATTTACTGTGAAATTTAAAGTAATTTATTTACCATGCTCTCCATCAATTTCAATATCCAAAAAACATCGAGGATGATGATACTTGTCCACAGTCATATTTGATGATTTTAATTACCTATCTATATTCGTAATAAAAGAAAAATATGTCAGCTAATAAAATAACAGCTATTGTTTTATACAAATATGGGAAAATAAAGGACACAGAAGTAGATTTAAGATAAAAGATCAAACAAATTTCAATTTTTAACATTTTATATAGTTTAGGCGGATATATTTTAAATATTTGACTAATGTGCGAACTTGTACTGAAAATAATCCTAGAAAAAAATTGCTTTCAGTAGCTGCAATAAAATCAACTTTTATATCAATTAATAATAACTTAAATATTCCTAAGCTATTAAGAAGAATATCAATTTGTCACAAATGTTAAAAGTATAACTATATTTATAATATTTACGGATGAAAAAACATTTAAAATTTTGATTGTTAATAAAAATTTTAAACAGTTGTTCAACCTTTTCAGTGGAAAAATTATTATTTTTTTCATACTCTACTATTCTTGTACAACCTTTAATTTTTAAATAAATTATTGAAATACATTGAATCCGTTTTGCACAAGTTTAAGTTGAATATATATCTTTCTTTAAATAAAAATGGCAAAAAGATTTAAGTTTTCTGGCCCTGTAAACATATATTTCGCAATTTAAAGGTTATATAATTACATTGGTAACTTTTACCATTCTCCTACAAATGATTAAAATATAGTAATAAGGCTCATATAGCTTCTCAGCTTCATAATTAGAATACAATATGTTGCTTAACATTTTGTACTCAGGCCAAAGTCAGGGGGAAATGTTTGCCCAGGTTCTCACATCAATATTAAAAGAAAATAATTAAGTAGTAATAAAACATGCAAAATACTTAAAAATCAGTAATTACTCAGCATAAGTAATCATTAGGCAGCTTAGCATAATTTTATATTAAAAATTAATATAAAGGAAAAAAAACTGAATAAACATAAAAAAAAGAACAATGGAAGTTTTAATCATTAACAAGCACAAATCAAGAAATTTTTAAGCAATTGAAGTTATAACAATTTATTTCTCATGAAAAATATCATAAGTGGCAACAGATTTTATGATAAAAGTTCAAATATTGATTGTGAGAACTATTTTATCTGTTACATTCAAAATTGAGTTGTTTTTTTTTAGATCAGTTATTTTATTATTAAATAATTTTCACTAACTTTAAAAGTCAGCATATAGTATTACTAAAACACAAACATTATATGTGAAATTGAATGAAATAAATTCATTAAAAAAATTATCAGAAAAATAATAAGTATTCTTAGTTGTAGCCAAGTTAACTCTTTTGCGACGAGTTTTTTTTTACCACAGAAAAATTTTGGTAGCATAAACTATGAATAGGGCAGCACTATGTACGGTAGTGCCATCTATGTTCTGTGAATGAAAATACCTTCAAAAATATTGGCAGGACTGGTGGGAAAATCTCCCATTAGACAGAGAAACGTTTCTGTCCCAAAAGACATTTTTTGAAATTTGCTTGGGACGTACGTGTCCTGTTAGGTGCGAAAGGGCCAAGCTGTTGAAAATGAATAAACCCCTACTTCCGACCACTGTTTCACAATGATATGGGGCTATTTCCGTATTGTGATCCCTAGCGCCAGCTGCAATTGCCATAGTACCAAATAGCTTTCAAACTTGCAATTTAAAAAAAAAAACATGTAGAGTTTTGCCCAGGAGTGGATATGGGTACTTATGAATTAATGCCACCGCAGCTACAGATTTGGTGGTTTTTAAGTGCCGCTAATCCTAATATTTAAAATCAAAGTAGTCAATCGGATTTTGGTGGAAAATGGGCCGAAAGAGAGTTTAACATAGATTCAAAACAGTCTTTTTTTTTCACCTACGTTTACCAAAATAAAGTTTTAAGTCATGGGAATTGGTACATTTTCATTTTTTTAAATATTTCGCTCCTGAAAAAATAAAATTGCATCTTGTTCCGTTTTTGGCAAAATCCCAAAGACGCATTTTCTTAGCACTAAAAAATGGCATAAAAAATCAGGAAACAACAAGAAATCCAAAAGATAACTGCATGCGAACAACAGGATTACTCTTTATTGGCGCAACTTCTGCTGCGGTGGTGTTAGTACGTAAGTACCGTATGACTTACACCCTCTAAGTTGGTCTCCTTCCTTCTCCTTTTGTGATGTTTCTTTTTTTTTTTAAGTTTCTAATCAGCTGTTGCTTAGAAGTTGCCAAATATTGGTGAAAAAATATTTTATGACATGTTACGATAGAGAAATCCTTCCAAAATATGTTATGTGGCTGCTGGCAATCAGGAGATAGAATTGAAAAAAAACACAAAAAGAAGGAAACAGAATATTGATTTACATACTTTTAAAGAAAGCAAAGTTTAAAGCTAATTTCATGATACATACACAATAGATTATCTACGTCAAGTTGAGCTATAGAATACTATAAAGTTGAATGAATCAGATGGTATACAATTAGTCTACTATAACTCTGTTAATACAGTGGTTTTTTTATATAATATTTCGTTCATAATTATGGAATTACCATGGAAATTTTTATCAAATGTTTATTATTTAATATTTGTTCAGCAAACACATAGCTCTGCAGGGCTACTGCTTTTCAATTTTTGTTATTTATTAATCATTCTGTTCACGCATGGTGAATTAAAACCTATAACATCATGTTCAGCATTGAAATGTTGTAGAAAAATAGTGTTAAGAAATCATTGAAAACAATTACCATGGACTTAAAAGTACGCTTTTGCTTAAGGTTAGGACACGAAGGATTTAAAAGATTTACAGATAAAATAGTCAATTATAAAATGAAGAACCAGTATGAGGTAAGAAAAAGTTGTTTGTTTTCATCGATGATGATAAAATATCATTATAAACATTAAGCTTGACAATAAATATTAAGAAAACAGCTGATAAATAAAGAGGATATGATCTTTCAGACATTCTAAGTGATTTAAAACCGTTTATTACGAACTCAGAGATCCATACACCTTAATGAGTTAAGTAAGCACGAAAATATTTCAAGAACCGTAACTTTCGTTTCAAAACAACATCTGTAAAAAATTCAAGATCAAAGCATTTTTTCATGAGAGAAGTAAAATATCATTATTACATTTCAATAAGATGGAAGATGCCGACGAAGATATAAACTAGGCTAGAAACATCGGCCATAGTTAAAATTTTTATTAAACTACAACTTCAACTTTGTTTTGTTTTACTTAAAATCTGCAGTAAGGCGAGAAAAAATGTTTCTTCAGTGCTGATGCGCTTATATTTTTTCAGTGTTAATGTCTCTTTAAAGTTAAAAGGTTCAGAACTATTTTACTCAACTCGCTTTGTTTACATTTTCTGCTAGAGTACTTCTTGTTTTAAGGCAACTTGAGAAAATTAAAATTAAGTCTCTAATATGATCAGAAATATTTGTCACTTCATAATTATGCTTTTATAAATATTAAAATCATAAATCACCGGGCTAAAATGGCTGCAATTCGGCATACTTTACATAAAGAGGTATTTTTACCAAATGATGAACGATTGGTGGGCGTTGTTAATGTCGCAAAAGCAAACAAAAAGAAGAAAACCGCATTTTTGTGTCTTTCTGTAAATAATGAAAAACCTTCTTTAATTACTTTGTGTCAAGTAAAAAGATCTGAAAAAGAAGTATACAAGAAAAAAAATTCGTGGCAATTGCGGGAATTGAAGCTTGTTGACGGTAAAGATGAAAATAAACCAACTGCTGAATTTGATTTGCACTTTGAAAAAGTGTACAAATGGATCGCCAGCAGTGTTCAAGAAAAGAATGCATTCATTAAATGTCTTTGGAAATTTTGTAGCCATCTTCCGCGTCAAAAACCGACGTTCATTAATATTCCTAAAGACTTGTTACAAGAGCAAGTTACGTCTCCAAAAATCGGTACCGTTACTCCTCAAATCGGAGAAGAAGTTTCTGTACTAGATCCAGAAGATTATCAAGCGTTGACTACACGTGAAGAATCAGATCTTGAGTCTTTAATGGCTCAGTATGATTTTATCATTGGTAATGCTGAAGAGTTTACTGAGCAACTGGCCAGGGAACTATCTGAGTTGGATGCAGCCAATATCCGTTCAATTATGGCATCTGAGCTCAAAGTTCAAGGACTTATGAATATGTTACAAACATCGTATGATGAAGTGTGTGATCTTGAAGACAAATTAGATATTTATGATGATATTCTGAAAAACGTAAAAGACAGTGTTGTACAAATGGAAGAAAAAGATGCCCGAATGAAAATGCAGCATCGGAACAACATTAAACTTCTTAATGAGCTTGAAAATATGGTAAATAAACTTGACTTTTCTGAAAAACATCGCATTGCATTAGATGGAGATCTTAAAACTGCTGATGGTATAGCCAACTGCACTGCTGCTGCAAAGGCATTGCAAGAGGCTATTAATTCATATATTAGTCCTGGATTGATGAAAATGTCTGCATACTCTGAACAAAAATCTGAGCTAGATAGATTGCAGAATAAATTTGTGTTACGATTGAGTCATCATTTAAACAATCTATTCCATCACTTAGGCAATGAATGTGAAGAGAATTTAACCTTTCTGTCTCCTGAATTGACTCTACCTAAACATAGCACTTGTCACAAAGAATTACTTCCATACACAGAGTTAATGAATTGGGTTAAAGTAACCTCTCCCAGCAGTTATGCTCAATTATGTAGAGTTTATACAGCATCTCTTTCTAAACTCTATGACAAAGAAATAATGTTCTTATTTGATGTAGCAAAGGAAAAAATTGCCAGCCGAAATGGATTTGACAAGGACCGAAAGTATAAAACTCTCACTTCCAGCCAGGATCTAATACAAAAAACTTCCGTAAAAAACAAAACCACATCTCTGTTAGGAACAGATTCTGATTTATATGGTTCAGATTTGGATGTTGTGGAATATGAAGGATTTGACCGAATCTTTGAAAATCTTTTAAGTGCCTTAGAACCAACATGCCTTTCTGAACAGCAGTTTTGTATGCAGTTCTTCGGCTTGCAGTCAGAAATTGCAGCTTCTCAAAGCAGCCAAACATTGACGATACCAGTTCCGCAAGGTCTGAGTCCTACTCCGAGCAATAGCAGCTTAAGTCATGCTGGAAGTGAAGAAATGCTGTTGAGTGCCTTAAAGAAAGAAAAGCAAATCAATGAAGAACTTAGAAGAATGATGGGAGAACTGTTCTCATGTTTAGAACGTGAATTAGTGACCTTCATATCTGATTATGACAAAATTGATGGCTTTTATTCTATGTATGTATTGGTTCGATTAAGCCAGCATGTCATGTCTGCCCAGGATACTGGATCTTTTCTTAGCATGACATTCGCAAGTGTATTAGTGCAGGCTAAGCGAAACTTCGATAAATTCATGAATTCCCAGATCAAATCTATTGAGGAAGCAAAGGTTTCCAAGAAATCCAAGTGCGGCATTCTTCCTTTCATAGCCAACTTTGAAAAGTTTGCGCGCCAAGCAGAAAATATTTTCAAAGCTTCTGAGCGACGTACTGATTTGGACAGGTGGTATTCTAAGCTAGCTAAAACTATGTTTGAAGAAATTGTTAAAATTTCACTTGAACATCAAAAAACACCACAAGAAGTGATCCAGATGGAGAACTTTCACCACATTTTTACTGTGCTGTTTCAGCTTAAAATTCCTTGCCTTGAAGCTGAGCGAAAAGAAGCCAAACAGAGATACAATGATGCACTTCAAGCTTATGTCACTCAGTACTTTGGCAGACCTCTGGAGAAACTCAATCTTTTCTTTGAGGGAGTTCAAAACAAAGTTGCTCAAGGCGTTAAAGAAAATGAGATTGGATACCACCTTGCATTTAGTAAGCAAGAGTTGCGTAAAGTTATCAAAGAGTATCCTGGCAAAGAAGTCAAGAAGGGACTAGAAAATTTGTATAGGAAAGTTGAAAAACATTTGTGTGAGGAAGAAAATTTGTTGCAAGTTGTCTGGCATTCCATGCAAGACGAGTTTATCCGACAATATAAATATGTGGAATCTTTGATTGAGAGGTGCTATCCTGGTGCGAAAATCAATTTAGAATTTTCCATTAATGACATTTTAGAATTTTTCTCTGAAATAGCTCGCTCTCACTAATATTGCTAGTACATTTTTGTTAATGTTTCATAATTATATTTAAATTATTACTTGTTGAAATTGTAATTACATTTTGGACAAGATCACTCATTAAATTGTTAAGATTTGGTTTTCACTTTAAATTTAAGATAAGTGGACCAAAATTTATTATTGCAAAATATGTAACAATATATTTTTGTGAATGAGCTTCCTGTCTTGAAAATTTCCATTCATCTTTTGTAGTAACATATTATTTGCCATTAAATATTGTTAGTATTAATTTAATCTTAGAGTAGTTATTTATCTTTTTAAACAAATAAACAAAATGAAGAGGATACTAGCTTATATATTTAAACACTTTGCTTTTCTACTCACAAAAATATTCAAATTTTAACAAACTGATATTTTCTGAGTTCATAGTACTTTATATCAGAGTACTTTAAATAAATGATCAAAAACAAAGTGTTTTATTTATTTAATTTTTTTTTTCAAATTTAATTATTGAAAGGGTATCAATTTTTTTTTTGGGGGGGGGGGGGGTTTCAATCAAAAATATCTANGGGGGGGGGGGGATTTTAAACCTTTGTTTTAAAAGTATAAGTGATAAAATTTCCCCTGCTAAGTTACTAAATCTGAGTTTGTATAATTAATAACTTGCAACTTCTTTATTATGACATTTTCTTGCCTACTTAATGTGATAATATAAAACATTGAAAAGATGCCTAATATCTGCTTATTTTTATCATTTAACATTAATCAACAAAACTTGAAAAAAAAAATAACAAAACTTGAAAAAAAAAATTTTATTTCAAGTTTTTTTTATCGGAAAGGGGAGGATGAGTAAAAATGTTATCTAATAGTTTTTAAGTTTATTTATTTAAAAAAAATTCTATTATTCTCACACTTCCGAAAAACTCTTTTAAGTTGTGACAAATTATCTGAATCATTGTGTACGAATTAAAAGACATCATAGTTTAACAATTCAAATCAATGATTTGTTTTGTTTACATCGTCAAATGATTTAATCATCAGACTACTTTAATTAGTTGCAATCAGTGACATCTTAATCACGAATTCAAAAATTTATTTTTACTATATCCCTTGAAACTTGAACTTTCAAGGAAAAATTTCCATAAGTTAAAACCACTTATCTTATATTATTATCATATTCTGATAGATGCATTTTTCTATGTTTACAAAACTAAAATGAATTAACTGCTTTGTAACTTATGTCCTAACACATACACCTACTTAAATTCTGAAGTTTTTTTTGTTTGAAAGAATAGGTTGAGCTGGTTTAAAAAAGTGGAAAAAACTAAAAATGCCCAATACAATATTTAACTGTTAAAAGAATTATTTATATTTAAAACAAACAAAATTTTATATTGTACAAAAAAGTTTAAAAAAATTAATGAGCTATATCAGTTTGTAAATTCTTTATAAACTAAAATAATATGATAAGTGGGGTTTTTTTTAAAACTTTTTTCTCATTGTAACAGTTTCATACAGAATTTTAAAGTCTAAGTGTTTATTACAATAATTTATTATTCATATTTTTTTAAATAAATATGTGCACTTACATTATTTTTAGTTATTTTACTGAATTTTCTTATTAAAAATAAAATTTTCTAAAAAAAATAGTAAAATATTACCTACTTTTTTCTACTGGATACATTACAACTTTCAAAGAGAATTTTAGATATGAACCATAACTAAACAAAAACTAATTTTTAACCCTAAAATTATTTTTGTAAATCCTGAGAAAAATGCTGTGAAGACATCAAGGTGGGAATTTTTTTTTTTTTTAATTGTATGTAATCAATCATTGATATGAAAATAAAAATTCATTCCTTGTCAAGAAATTTTTATTGTATTAAAAATTCTTAAACGAACTTATACTGTGATTAAGTATGTAAAAATTATAGAGAAACAAACTTTTAGCATATTATCTAAGAGTTGTTTAGCGTATTCATACTTAACAACATTCAGTTATGAAAATTTTTGTATGATTATCAATATGTGATTCGTTGTACAATTTAATATAAAATTTGGTTGATATTTTAAATGTTCTAAATAAAAAATTTATGTTCTATACACCTTTTGGCAAAGCATTGAAAGAAATTAGTTATATTTTCTTAAGAATTTCATTAAATTTATTCCTTTCAATTATTTATTGACTTATGATTTATTGATTTTATGATTTATTGACTGACTTAAATTAATACTATTACTTAAACTTTATCGCTATTAAAAAATTTTACTTTTAAGAAAAAAATATTTGTTGCTCCTTTTTTTAAAAAAATGAGTTTCTTCCACTTCAGTTTGAAGAAAATTCTTCTGGGGCACTTCTTTTCACTGTGAAAGAAATTTGCCATTCCTTATTTTAAAAGTAGGTTGTACCAACATAACCTATTATTTTAATTAAAAGTAATAATAAAATTATCTATACCTGTTGAAGATATCTCAAAATTACATATATACATCAACTTTTGATTCATTACTTTTTAAGTCTTACATCCAATTATGTATTTGTATTGTGTTAAAATTAAAAAATTTGCAATTTTTTTTATTAATATTGATGTACTATATCATTAGCTAACATTGGAAAAGATGTGAACTATTTGTTTTAATATGGAATATAATGATTAAAAAAAAAATAATAACAGTTTCAGCTATGAAGTGATAAGGCTTAATATTGCCATGATGATTAATTCCAAAACTTGTGCAGTTATTTAACTTGTCTTTATTAAAAGACCTTCACCACAAGTGATGTACCAAAATGCTCGTTCAAATTCTACCATAGAATCTGTAGATGTCTTACAATTACACCAAATACCTGTGAGATAAGAATATTGAAGAGAATAGTTTTCGACAGAGCTGTGGAATGGAAAGGTAAAATATCTATAAAAAAATAAGATAAAATAAAAGGCTCCACACTTTTTTTTTTGAGACTCCAACTTATACTCAAAATTATGAGAAAATCGTAGAAGTGTTAATATGTTTTTGAATAACATGTTTATAATTTTTTTTATTTACTATAAGATGTAAAGATACTTTATACCACATAATATAACAGTGTAAGAAATAAATTTTAACATATATAATTATAACAAACATAGAAATTGTGCAAAATACATAATTGAATAAAAATTCAGGCATGGATAACTATTCCTCTTTAGAATTTTCTTTTACATGAAAATGTGTTATTTTCAAAATTTTTTTTTTATCTGGTTAGCTATTGATAGGGGTTTTTAAGGTTTAATTTTTTTTTTTTTTAATTTAATCACATTTTTCCTTTAGTAGTAATTCAAAAGTCAGATTTTATTTCAATAATTTTCTGCAATTTAATATAGACATTTAAACATTAAAAACATTTAAATGTAATTAAGTTTATGATGAGTATACTATAACTTAAATAATTATAATATTCATTTGAGTAATATTTTTTGTTTACATAATTATGAATATTTGTCTAAATAATTTTCGTAAAATGGAAAACTTTTTCCTTTTTTTCAATCTGTAGGAATTAACTTTTAACTACCTGGAAATAGAGTTTTATAAGTCTTTGACTCAACTGCCTTAGTTTTTGATTAAGTAAAATTACTTTTTCTAAAGTTTCACTAAAAATGAAATAAAAAAAGAAAATTTGCTAAACGCAAATAAATGTACAAATAAAAATTCAAACAAGCACTTTATTTGGTAGTTCATTTACACAAATAGTTGTTAGTTTTTACTCAAAGTCTACAAAAACATAATGTATTTTATAACTTTAAAAACGACACAGAAGTAAAGTAAGAGTCAAATGATGATATGTGGTTTAAAAAAAAACAATGCATGCTAAACTTAAAATACAACATATTTTTCCCTAGTAGGAATTTGAGATTCAAAATGGTAGAGTAGGTTTAGTAATTCATAAAATGTAAATAACAGATATAACTAACATTAAAACATGTTATTGACAACTGCATATTACAAATATCTAAAATATATATTAATTTAAATAACGTAATTATTTATCATAAAATATATTTTGAGCTGTTTGTATAAAAAGCAAATGCCTTTTTAATTTTATTATATACAAATTTTAAAAATAATTTTTAAAATGACATGGTCAGCTCTCAATATTTAGGTATATTTCTCTCCTCCAATAAGAAATATATATCACACATTAACTTTTCATTCAATAAAGTTCGATACTTCAAGTAGTGAGGGGAGAAATTTCTTTTTACAATCACAAGAGTTTTTAATTTCTGTAACCGTTTAAGTATTGAAGAAAATTAAATCAGAACATTTATCACAATGGTCATGTAAAACTCAATGAATTTATAACTATAAATTACATTAAAAACCTAACAAACAAAAAATCTATATTCAGACAGGCTTGTAGTTTCCTACTGGTTTCTTGAATACATTTCCAGTGATCATTCTGTGTTGTATTTCATTCCACAAAAGTTTTCGTTCTCTGGCAGACTTTTTTAGCAAACAATGGTTCTCCTGAGCACGACGAGAAAGGTACGGCAATACTTCATCTACTGGACCGTAGGGGACATATTTATATACAGAATAGCCAGACTGCCCTATATAAAAAAAAAAGAATTAAACATTGTTGGGGCATTTTTTTTCTTCAAAATACAGCACAAAAATGACATGACAAAACAAGTATATCTTTCAGCAGACAATTTTTCACTTCTCAGATATCAATATCAATTTTCTTAACTATTTTATTAACACAATTAGGCACTAAATCTATGGTAATATCTTCAAAAGTAAAATATACACTTAAGAACCATCTATGCTTAGTTCTTTGAGTTTAAGTAAGACATAAAAACATTTATTTGCTAGCGGCACATAAAAGGGAATAAATATTAAAAGGATGAATATATTTTTGAGTCTAGCAGTGATTAATGATAAAACTTATAAACAAATATGTATGTTTTGAAAAATTTTTTAATCTATCGGAAATCTGAAATAAAATTTTATGCCTATTTATCATACCAATTATATAATTATCGTGTGATTATATAATTTGTTTTTTAAACTTTAATAAAAGTTCAAAAGAGAATGAAATATTTATTTTATTTAACAAGTATACCAGTTTTTAAGAAAAATATAAGACAAAGAGAATAATTAAATTCAAATGGAGATAGGTTATGAGCATGTCGATGCACAAAGGATATTGTAGAATCGGATCAGATATACGACTTTTATTACGTATTTTGCTAGATCTAGTATGTATGAATGTTATATTAAAATTACATTTGCTAGACTAGTATTTCTTTTGTTTCTTCTCATTCTTGTCTGGCAAGTATTGAGGATTAGACATCTATTTTTGAGCGTTTAAAACATGTTGACTTTTATTTTTTTATTTGAAATCAGTGTAAAGTTTTTTTTAATTAAGTAGACCTAGTATTTTTAAACCACATTTGGGTCTTTGTTATCCAGATCTTGTCATACAAGGAAAAAGGAGGCCTCAAATGCTAAAATTATTCCCAACATAAGAGCCAAATTTTGAAATATATATATATTCTACATACCTAATGGAAAACTAACATGATCACACATGCCATATAGTTGTCCAAAGCAAATTACTTTATGTTCAGGTTTAATTCCAAGCTCATCCATTCTATAAAAGAATTTTTAATATAAAATAAAACATGCAAATAAAAACATGAAAAATAAAACATGCAAAAAAAATTTTGATTTAAGAAGAAAAAAAAAAGGATTTTTCAGAAATAACTTGGTATTTAGAAAACTGGACACAGGGATACAGTAATAAATATCGAAGAAAATATTAATGAAGACATGAATATCTAAAAAGAGAAGAAAATTTTTAGGTATTTTTGAGGAATTGTATATTTGAACTTCTTGAATTAATCCCAAGTTTTGAGATTCAAATTATTTAGATTAATTGTATTTAATGATGGTAAGAAACATCATTAAATACAATTATCATTTCACACATTTTGCTATGGTCATAGTTAAGCAAGGATTTTGATGACCTAAAAATGCTCTGAAAACATTAAAAAAATTCTCTTATAATGGACCCAGAATTCAAATCTAAAAGATTTATTCCCTGCCTTTATCTTAATAATTTGTGAATATGAATTAAAAATCAAGATACAAATTTCATTGAAACTTGAAATAAATGTTAAGCATGGGAAAAAGTAACACATGCGGGTAAACAAAATTGCTGAAGATATTGAGAGTTATGACTTATTGGAAAGGCATCATTTAAAAGACCTGGTACCAAAAAAAAAACTTGAAATGTAGTAGAATGCTAAAACCAAATGCCTCATAATCTATTAGAAAAATCTCTAAAATGCTTTAAATGAGAAAATCAATTTGAAAATGCCGATGTCATTTTAATCAGGGACTTACTAGTCTGAGAATGTATTTTATATACACTAATTTTTTCCTGTTAAGACTGTTCACACTAAGTGCAGACATCATTCTTACTTTTTATATTCTTTTTAAGATTATTTTACAATTCAAGAGTTCTTTTTAAATCTTTTTTAGAGCATTTTAGAACATAGCTATTATAATTTTGAGCAGAACTGAAGACTTGTGGCAATAGATAATCTGGCCACAAGTCTTTTAATTCTACTTGAAATTATAACAGCTCTTTCCAAAAATTTATAATCTTTGGTATGAGTAATAAACCACATTTTTAATACACAAAATTGACATTTATTCCATGAGACTAGTCTTTAGTATTGTATCTAAATTGGAATTTTTCAAATTACCAAAATTTCCAATTGACAACAATACAAAACACAGAAACATCTTATTGCTTACATGAAAATAAAGATATTTTTCACTAAAAATACTTTTAAAAAAATACTCATCAATACAATTTGAAGATGAGGCTTATTATATATGAAGTCCAACAATTTTGCACAGAAATTCATGTTTTAACAGTTATCTAAGGTAAATTAGAACAGCAATTACATCACTAAAATTCTTAAAACTAGCATCAATTAAATGATAAAAGGATTAGAATTGAAATAGGCATTTCAAAACGGTGAATTAGACTTGATGCAATTTAGATAGATTGATTACGTGAAATAAAGTGATAATAGTAAACAAAATTTGAGTTATATGAACAATTCAAAAATAATTTTGTAAAATAACATACTTTTTTACAGCAAATCTAACAGTGTCCTCATTATGTGATGCAACCATAATAGCTGTTTTTCTGTCACCTTTTGTTACAATGCGGCCCAACAACTCAGTGAGTGTCTTATGATACATCTCTGTAGTTGCTTCAAATGTAGGATTTATAGGATCTTCATAACCAATTTGCTGAGCTCTCAAACGTTCCTTATTAAAGAAAATGAAAATTATAAAGTAAATTCTTTTTCTGCACACATTATAAAACTCTAGGTATAGTTTTATTTAAGTTTCAAATTTTTTTGCAAAAAATAAAAAATCTCAATTATAAAGGTATAAATCAAACATCACAAAATTTAAAATATTCAACATTTTCAAATTTTGAATTGAAACAAGTTCTAAATAATTGAAAAATGATTTTGGCTGAATAAATAATTTTTATCTAACTTACACTATTCAGTATTTCGTTACTGAACAGTTAATTTTTATTAACAGTAAAGTTTTAAAGAATAAAAAATATAGTTGCTCTTATATAGTTAAAAAATATAGTAAAGAATAAAAATATAGTTATAATAACAAAATACTTCCTTATATATAATTTATTTGCAAAGAATATTGCAGAAGAACTTAAATTTGTACCTGGTCTTCCTTATTTTAGATATTGAAAAAGCTTACTAAGAAATTTTAAAAGTTTTCTGAATAATAGCATTACACTATTTCTTAGATATTTTCAAATTATTATTCAAAATTAATTCTTAAAAAATATGAATAAAGCTCTTTAAATTAAACAAAATTGAAACTAAAAAAAAAAAAAAAATTCACATAAAAAATTTAGCTTATTGATCGTATATGAATAATTTTGCACATAGTTTTTAAACATAAAATTAGTTAAAAGGCGCATTATAGATCTTGTCAGCAATTTGCTTGCTCGAATATACCAACGAAATTGCTGTTTGATTTTATTAACTAGTATCCTGTACATTACACATACATTTACATCACGATGTTCATTCTATCCCAAAGAAACCCTTTACAATTTTACTTCATGATTTACAAATAAATAGCTGCCACAATGATCTCGAAATTTGATCAACATTTAAAATAGATAAAATATTTTTCGTAACAACAGAATTAATATCCATGATAAATATTTCAAGGTAATTTCATACTTTTTAGGACCTTTAATTACATGTTTTCTTTTATAGCAAACATAAAAAAATAAATAAAATAGGAGTAAAAAGTAATTCGGAGAAATTAAAAAACTTTATTAATTGAAAAGGTAAGTGGATGAAGGTTTTTAAGGACATTTTAGTAAACAAGTATGTCACTTAGTACCTTTATCCATTGAGACCTTTGCAATGTTAGCATAAAAATTAAGAAAAAATATGAATGACTAAAGAGAAAATATCTGTCACATATGTAAATAAGACAAAAATAAGATCTTTCTCCAAAAAATTTGTTCTTTTTTTTTTCCTTCATCAAAATATCACTTATGCTCGTTTCTTACTAAGTTTTTCAATTACCATTTAAAACATGCTTTACTCAATTAATTAAACATTATAAATTAAAGATAAAATTGAAAACTTAAACTAAACATTAAAACTTTAAATTACTTGTTCCATATAAGCTCCTCTAACAAGTTTAGCACCAAAGTAAAATCCCTGACGATCAGCCAATTCTAAATCAAGAATAACACTGTTGTAGGACTCCTGCAAAGCACAATTAGAAAATCAAATTGATTACTCTGCTTCTTAAATGTTTCTATACTTAAAACTTTATTTCAGATCATTTAAAAATTGATGACTTTATTTAAAAATCAACAAATTGTTTTTTTTTAATGTGTAAAGCAAATTAATTAGCAAAAACAGATAGGTTAAAAATTTAACTTAAAGCACAAAAAAAAATTTGAATACTAGAAACAAAATTCCTTAACATCATTTTTCCATAATACTATTGTAACTGAAAAACTTTCATATGAAAGTGCTTTTTAAAATTATTTTTTACAATAAATTTAAAAAAATACCAATAGCAAATTTTTAAAATTGATGAAATTTGAAATTCTAAGTATATCGCAAAGTTTAATATAAATATTTAGAAAAAAATCCAGAAACAAAAATCACATAATTTTTTGCAATGTACCTTTAAATAACACTGATAAGTGTTGAATACAATGGCTTTTTCCTTGTTATATTTACGCATCAATTCCATAGTTATCCTATTGATAGCTGGTTGAAAATAAGATTGTTCTGCATCAATCATTACTCTAACATCTTTCTCACGAGCAATCTAGACATAAAAATTTGAACTTTAATTAAACATTTTCAAATTAACAATTGTAGTTTAATAATATTGCTATCAATTATTATCTTTCAAAATACAAAAATAGTAATAAGGATTAGTTTGTACATGCATACAAACATTAAATAGGATGAGTAAAGCAAGATGATGTGAAATGCAATATATAGTTCAATACTGACATACTACTGTTTCAGTTTTATAAAGAAGAACCATTCTCAGTGTCAAAACACAGAATGAAAGAGAGAAACACAAAAATGCAGAAGTACAAACAAGTTACATCTAGGGAAAAAAAGGTTGAACAATACCTTAGCAATATGGTGCACTCTTCTCATCATATTACGAAACATTTCTTCCTCTTCTTCAGTTAAAGCTGATATAAGAGGTTCCATTTTACCACTCTATAAAAGAAAAAGCTCTTTAACAAGTTAAAATATTTTTATGTATACTAAAATTTTTTATACATAAATGCATTATTCACTTTTTTTAAAATTTTGGCAAGATTGTTTTACATATATGACAGTAATACTAATACTTTCTTGTTCATTTTCTTCGTCACACAACTTAAGTTTTAATTTTTAGTCACTACAAACAATATTTCATTTAAAAAGAAAGAAATATTATAATACATATATATCAAATTAATATTTTATTTTGAAATGAAATACTTCAAATCTCATAAGATTTGTTAAAAATTTACTTAAATAAATAAATAAGCTGAAAAAGTAAAAAGTTGAATACTGTTTAAGAAGTTAATTATTCACTCATTTATTTATTTCATAAATATTCTCGCTAGATTGTTCAATAATAAAAAGAAACTACCTGGGCATTATTAATTCCAGAGTTGAGAAGCGTTTAGTTTTTAAGATACTATATATAAACATGTAAAATGTCTAAAAAGCTGTTTTAAAAAGTTTAAGACTTTTTAACAAAATATAAATGCAACAATTAAATTATTTAAGCAGAAAAACATTAATGAATAATGCAAGTAATTAAAAAAAAATAAAGCAATGCTTTATAGAAATTACCTTAATGTTAGGAACTTTAAATAGATCTGATATCACATAGTTCATGTCAACAAGGCCACTCCAACAAAAAAGATTCATTAATCTAAAAATAACAATTTTATAGAATTATTTAATATCAATAAAAAAATTTAAACATTATAATTCATTATCATAGTGTAATAATTTAGAATTAGTCATTTTTTTAAAGGTAATTTTTTTAAACCTAACACACTTTTGGAGTAATTCTAATAAAACAGTAAAAAAGCTATTTTAGTTACTTTTAACTTTTCCCCAATTTTTTTTTTACAATTTCCAAAACAAATATAAAAAAAGAAAAGAAATGAGGACAGATTTTTTTTTCTTTAGACCTTAATTTTTAAAGATTATTAATTTTTTCTTAATTTATTTTTCGTTAATTAAAAAATTATTATTAATTAATTTTTTTCTGTTAACAATAATCATAAAATACAAACAAGAGCCTATGAATTTCCATCTAACCGAATTCAATAACAAAAAATAACCCTTTCAATCCAAAAATTGCAAATTCAATCCAAAAAATTCTATTTTACGTAAAAAATAAAAAAAATTTGGAGGGAAACTAGTTTACAATAATCATGATTTTCAGTACATTCCTAAACAGTAAAAACATTTGCCTTATGCTTATGATGGGAAGTTTTTCTGTATCTTCTGTAAAATTTTTGAAATTGGATATAGTTTTGAAACCAGGCCTCATTTTAAAAATATAAATTTTTTTTAATTAGTTACCCCTTTTTATCATAGTCCATGTGTTCAAAAAACTCTTTCAGCTCCTTTTTTGTAGTATTTATATTGTGATCCTCCAATTTATGCTCTAGTATTTCAGGAGTGACATTAGCATATGCCATAGAACGCTCAACTCCAGTTATATTTTTGAAGTATTTCCTTGTTTGTGCAATTACTTCAGACAGTTGCATCTGTAAATTAAACAAACTATCACACGACTAGAAAAATATACATTGCACAAAAATATTAAATATATTCTTCAACCTATGAGCTTAAAATAAGTCTTAAATTATACAAATATGTGTTGCATATTGTGAATGGTGCTTGTTTAAAAATCAGGTCTCAGTATCCCGATAATCACCTGACTAACACACATGACTTTTTTTTTAAATCCTTATTGTACCTTTTAACCAGTGTTTAAAATACATGGTATGAATTATGGTGGCTTGTTTTGTTTTGTTTTTATTTTTAACAGAATTTTTTCAAGCGTTAACAAGTACCTTTCTACAAGATAATTTTAATAATAACAAAGATGTACGTTACAAATTTAAAGTAACAAAACACTGTGCTTGCAAAAAAAAAACTATATAATTTTTTAAATTGAACATGTAATATTTTTATTCTAATATTGTGGGCGATATACTCAATTTTGATGGGGGGGGGGAAACATCCTAAGTATCTTCCTTACTGCATTTTCCAAATCATCATCACATTGAAAAAAAAAAAAAATTCATAAAATTAGTAGCAATAACTACCTAAAAGCAGATTTAGGACAAAATCACACTAATCAGACTCTTCAAAAAGGAATTACTCAAATGAGTCTTGTGTTTCGAGATTTGATTGTTGTAATAAATAATATCATATGAAAAATATTGGGTTTAAAAACTATGTGGAAATCAAAAGCAATAACTGCCTAAAAAAATTTTTAGAATCATTGCCTTAAAAAGTAAATACTCAAATGCACGATTCAAACTTTTCATATCATCTGAAACATATCGGGATATTTAAAAACCACGTGAAAATAAATCAATATCAATAACTGCCAAAAATACATAGAATAAGGATACTATTTGTCTAAATTGAGCATGTCAAAAAGTGATTATTTAAATGTGATATTCCAACTTTAAAAGTAAATTTCTGCAGAAAAGAAAACTAAAAAATTTTATTTCTGAAACGAAAAAATTTTCTGCATGAACTCTAACATTCTGCGACAATGTCGATACAATTATGGCACAGGGGTACATGATATACCCCATATTAACAAAATAACAAAGCTATGAAATGAGATTGTTTAATCTGAGTAGCATATTCTCTTTATTTTTCTAAGTTTTAATTTTATTTTAAACCATCCCAACGTTGCTGATTATCATTCATTTTTTCCATTAATTTTAAACAATCTTTCAAATTGAGCATTAAAATAGGTTATGCTAGAGTACATGTTTTGCTCTTATATTACTAGAAGCCACCCTAGTTTTTACAAGTATAATTTTATGCATGTTAGAATAAAAAAGAATTCATTTTCTTATCTTCCGTGATAGTACAATCAAGAAATGTGGTTTTAATTTTTATTTAAGCTTCATTGGACACCATTCCCAAAGAAATGAAACCAGACATTGCAAGAATAAACTTCTCCTATTCAGGCAGAGTACAATGAGAAAAAAAGGACAGTAAAAGAATGAATAGGAGGATATTAAGCCGTGTGAAGAAAGAAGGAGAGAAAAAAGAAGCAAATCAAAAACAAGGAAGTGACAAAAGTAGAGAAGAGAGAAAAAGAAATATAAAAAAAAGCATAAGTCAAAAATGAAATACTTAAACAAGATTTCTAGGCAGCAAGCAAGATTTCAAAGCATTAAGAATAGTTTATTATTATTAGTATTTATTGTATTTTTTTTTTAAATTTAAAATATGGCTACATTTTATTAAAAAAATAATAAAGTAGCATTGAAAATAATCTTAATACTTTGAAATTGCAAAAAATCTACTAGAGTCCAAAGACAGTTTAGCAATTTTAGGATTTAAACACTTTTTGGTTCGAAACAGAATTTCAGTTTTAGCAAACTCTTTAATTGGGTTCTTTGATTTTGTCCAATATTAGATAAGTAATTTGAATTACAAGAAATACAATAGATTTCATATTTTCAAAGATCTGAAATTGGAAATTCTTCCTGAAATATGCAGAATTTTTCTGTGTATGATGTCTTTAACCATTTTAATAATTACTCACGTACTTACAAACAATTTCACAATAAAAATTTATAGAAACAAAAGTTTTAAAAAAAACTAATGATTAATTACAAGAAATACAAAAGATTTCATATTTTCAAAGATCTGAAATTGGAAATTCTTCTTGAAATATGCAGAATTTTTCTGTGTATGATGTCTTTAACCATTTTAATAATTACTCACGTACTTGCAAACAATTTAACCTTAAAAATTTATAGAAACAAAAGTTTTTAAAAAAAACTAATGATTAAAAAAAAAGAAAAACTTTAAAGAAAAAATCATATCTTCAATCTTTTTTAAAAATGAGAACTTATTCTTAGTATTAGTAACACAATCATCTAGTTTCAATGAGTTTTAAATAGACCTTAAAACTACTAATAATCATAATATGTAGAAAATGGGAGAGGCAAACTTAGGTATACCTATTATACAGTTGAAAATAATTAAAACTGAGATTAATTCATAATTATTATTAACAATTATCTTAAGCTAAAAACAAATCTGAATGCATTGTAATGCTTTAACCAACAACAAATTGCAAGCAAATCAATTCATCGTATAATTATGTATATTTACCATACACATAATTGTATTTATAAGAATAAATTTATTTAAATGGAATTTAGCAAAGCATATTATATTACACACAAGAAAAACCTACCAGAAGTTGAGGTCTTCCAAGTGCCGTCAATTTGATAGCAGCAAAACCTGTCGATTGAGTGGTACCTAAATAAAACAGATTTGATATGATCAAAATGAAAATTGTAACTAATTATCTTGCAAGACTTTTATAAAAATGTATAGTATACTATTAACTTTATTGTTTGTTGTATAAAATATAAAACTCTTAGATACGGACGAATCAGAATTTCTTTTAACAAAAATAAACTTGAAAAAACAATTAAAAATATATGAATGCCTGATTGAGAGATTACAAGATTGAGAGATAAGTTACAAGAAAGATTTTAAAAAAAGTGGCAAAAATCTGATAATGTGTAAAGTATACAATTTTTTTATATTTTGCAAACTATATACATTAAAAAATTCCATGCTAATTTAAATCTTTTATTAAATCTATTAAATTAGCATTTTGCATAGTAATTACAGCAAAACTATTTTCTGTTTTCCAAAAAGCTGGTTGCAACTAGCGCTATGTTGCTACTAGTTACGAAATTTAGAACTATTTTAACATTGTATTTTTTAACAATTTATTGATTTTCTAATGTAACAATACAGCAAGCAACACCTTTTACTTTTAAAATTCAGTTCTTATAAATTACATTTAAAATGGCTTCGTCACTTTGTAGAGGTTTTGAGCACCCTGTAAGTAATATGATTTAACGTTTGCAGTCATTGAAAACGTTATAATGTTACAATAACACCCCCACTTCACAAAGCTGGCAGAAGTCAAGAGTCTGTTTATTTGAAGGATGTCTAGTTATCTAGACTCAAAATCTAGTTATCTAGACTCATAAGTTTAAAATCTACTATTAATTAAATACAAATGAAATATTAATTAAATTAATTAAATATTATTTAAATATTAATATTAATTAAATATTAATATTAATTAAATATTAATATTAATTATATATTAATTAAAATATATTGAATTTAAAAGCTTTGAAGCATTTTAATTTCTTATTTAAAAATAGAAACAATCTGAATGACTGACACAAATGTGTAAAATTTCAATAAATAAAATAAAGCATCAATACATTTTAATAACAACCTTCACGGGCTTTCTAAAATTGAGCTTAATATGAACATTTTGAAAACTTAGAAACTACCATAAAAAGAAAATTACCAATGTAGAATAAAAGAGATTTTAAATTTGAGAATAATTACCTGCAACAGCATTAATACATTTAAGAAAAATCTCCATGTTTTTTTCACATTGAGCCTCATCCAGATAAAAATAAGTTCTAGCAACAGGACAGAATTTTCGTCTATCAGCAAACTCTTCATATGGCTGATACTGCTTCATTTCACCTTTAATATAAATTGAATTTTAATAAGTAATTAAAAGAATATCAGTTAATATCAAATATAAACTAAAAATATGCATATATGCATACGTTCATCTTCTTTTTACGCAAATATCAATATTTTTCACTATGAAATGGCAGAGGTCAATACAATTTCAATTAAAGTGACATTTCCAACAAAAAAAATATTATTTTATTTATTATATTTAGTTTCTGTTAGAAGTATAAAGGAAATGAGGTAATAAAAATAGTAAATTAACAAAAAGGATATAGTTGCACTAAAACTAATTTTAAAATAAGAACAATATTAAACTTATTATTTAAATGCTAGTAGTGTTTTGAACATTCCCTGCAAAAAATATGACATTTTTTTTAAAAAATAAAATGAACTAACTCTGTTATACTTAAAAAATTTAGCAAATTTTTTGAATCCTATTCAAAATTCTCTAAAAATAAATAATAGATAAATAAAAAGGTAAGATCAAAATAATAAACAGGAATGTAGTAAGAAAAGGTTTTAAGGATTATAATTTTTTTTTCGATTGCAATATTTGAGGTAATCTTCCATAATCTGTAAGAACAATAATTTTTGAAAATATGTGTATAAAATTGTAGTTATACACTTTCTTTGTATTATTCAACTTTTATTATGTCATTTCTGAAAATATGCATCATACTATATTCCATTAATTAAAAAATAATATATGAACTTAAAATAAACATTTTCAATTAGTTTTGGTTTTTGGAAGCAAAGTACAAGCTTTATAGTAGGCCAAAGAAAAAAATTGGAACAGTTTTTTAAAAAAACTGGACAGTTAATAGAAGCAATGAATCTTGCAGTTAAGTCTATATGCCTGTGCAATGCATATAATTAGTGGAAAATCCCAATGTTAGAACAATCTGATTTTGCTATTTTTCTAGCTTCATTAATGAAAATAAAAAGATGTTGAATCTAAATCTATCGATTCTTCAAATCGATTATTTTAAAATCTGCATTAGTACTCGTAGAAAATGGGGTATTTGAGCATATGCAAAAATTAAAACAGAAATCTAAAAATCAGGGCAAATACAGACAAAATAGTATAGCTTATCAAGACAACTACAAACACTGCAAAATAGCAAAGAATTCTCAACTAATTAAAGTGATAGATAAATTTATTCTACGTACCAAGTTTTCCATCTTCAGATGCTGATGACAAGCAACCACTAAAAGTAATTCAAATACTTATTAAACAATATATTATAAACTTTAAATAAAAATTATAAAATTAAAATTATGCCAAAGCAAAATTACACAATTCGTTAAAACAACTTTTAAATGATGTTTATTAAACAATTTTACGTGATTTTTTTTAACACAGATATTATTTATGCAACTTGAAAAAAAAAATGGAATATGAAGAGAAAAAAAAGTTTTAAAAAATATGGTGTGAATTGGAACCAGACTGATTTGTGGAACAAAACAAATTCAGTCTTAAGATATTTATAAATTTGAAACAAATTAAGCCTAATGAAAAAATATATATTTGATTATTATACCTCATTTCAGCTTCCCTAGCTTGCTGCTCACTTAAATCCTCTTCAGCACTGTAATCCAAGATGCTTTTTACACCAAACGAGCGCATTCTTTGAATAACAGGTTGTATTTCTCGTTCATTTTCCCCAGCAACAAAATGTCCATAAAAGGAATTTTTCATCAATGAATTGAACAGTGACCGGCCAAGTATGCGTTTTCCAAACTTAAGCAGCTGAAATAGGGGGAAAAATTAAACTTTTTACAAAGTCTATTATAACAAGTCAAAAGGCTTGGAGCAATGTAATATTGAAAAGCCAAATTTTTTCCTAAAGAAATGGTTCAAATGAAATGGTTTCCTAATATTAAGTATTTCCATAGTTTCAGGAAATAGATAACACAATACACAGAAACATCATTGCAATAGAAATTGTGGAGTCTTTCACCCAAGATGTTCTTAAATCCTCTCTTGAACAAGTAGCATATCCTTTTGAGACACGGTATCTAATATATTGAACATCATTTGGTATAATTTTATCACTAGAGAAATAATGATATAAGGTTTTTTTCCGCACGCATGCCTTTAGAAAGCAATTGTCTATGAAAAAATATAATTGGTTTTACCTTCATTAGTTGTAATGAAATTGAATTAGTTGAATTACAATTCCTTTCACCCTGTGTGCTTGCAGTGAGAATTCATGAAAGGTACGAAATTCGATTTAAGGAACTTTTTGGACAGTTTTATGGAAAATAAATAGTTTATTATTTGAGTCATTGTGGATTTTGTTTCATGTCCAAATGTGAAGAAATACAAAATTGAAATATCATTAAGTACTAAAAATTAAAATACATAACTTCAATTAATGGAATTTTTTTAAAAATAAATTTATTGTATTTATGAATTTATTTTCTTTTAAACTTCATTTTTCCAAGTACATTTTTTGCGGTTTCAGGAGGCTAATACTAAAAGCTCAATAATTCATAAATTTAAAAAAAATTCTGTTTTTGTAACAACTTTAATAAAATATAATTAAAACAAATAAATAAAACGAGATATCTTTATAACTTTGGAACAACACCTAAGAATATAATCAATAAATAAATAATTTAAACTTTTTAAATTTATTTTTCAGGAAGTATTTTTTTATATCTATAAAATATCGTACATATTAAAATTTGCGGATAAATTAAAACAGACACCTATTTTTTTTTTTTTTTTTTTTTTTTTTTTTTTTTTTTTTTTTTTTTTTTTTTTTTGCTGGAACAAATCATATATATCGATAATAGATAGTTTTATAATCTGTTAAAAAATAATACATATTTTAGTGCTATTCTCACGATAAAAATTTAAAAGTTCATATTTTCTTTTTATAACGTTTACCTGCAGAGGAAATATATTACCTATAATAAGTTAATTGTTTTTCTTTAGAAGAAAAAAAGGATTTTTAAATGAAAATTATGGATTAGAATTAAGGGAAAGAAGATACAAAGTATGATTTTTAAAACAACATTTTGTATTATTTTCTACTAATGTTTTTATATCTTCTAAAGTTTTTGATATTGTATGCAATCTATCCTTCTTCCATGATGTTTTTATTTCTAATACATATTTAAACTTCTCAAACTTACTAAAATGCAGCACAATCTCCATTTAAGATATTAAAATAAGACACTTTAATCGTAAAAAGTTTAAAAACTCAATTTTTTACTTTACAAGCATCACAAGTCAGTAGACTTTAGTGCTAAATAATTATTTGATACAAGCATGTAAAGATTATAGAATAAATCTATTTTTTTTTCTTTTAAACAAAATGTATGAAATTAGTAACGATGAAAAATAAAAGAAAAAATACATTTTTAACACTTTTAAAATGAGAAAAGTTGTGAAAATAAAAACCAACGTAAAATTACGCGAGTTTATAAATATCATCATTATAAAGTTTAGCTTTCACGCCATGAATGTAATTTAGAGCGTAAAAAGTGAGTTTAATGAGTTAACCTGTCAACTTCTTTATTTACAAAAACGTAACTCAAAACATAATCACATTTTTATGGGCAGTAAAGGTTTCGCCATATAAAAGTAGAACAGATAGTAAAAGCTCCATAACTTTTCAATAAAACCAATACTAGCATAATCATTTTTTCCCCCTTCAAAAATTAAGTTTTATAATGAATACTCTCAACTAACAGTTATCGGTTTTTTTAACAAATCAACAGTTTTTATTTTAAGTTTTATATGCAAATATTAAATGAATATTAAATATATTTACTATTATAAATATAAAACTAACAAGTCTATATTTTTATTTATTTTTTTATTTATTTATTTTTTTTAATGAATAGCGCAAAAATTGCATATAAGAAAATGGGCGTAGCATGAAATGAGAGTTCGGAAAAATGATTAATTCTCAAAAAGCGCATTTATAAAAAAAAATAAAAAAATAAAAAAAAATTGCTTAATATGCCCGTTTGGCTTAACTAAAAATGAGCAATTAAGAAAATGAACATAGCAAGAAATTTGTGTTTGAAAAAAATAAAGAACTTAAAATGAATGATAATAGCTCGATGAATGATAATATCGAATGAATGATAATTTAAGAAAATGATAATAGCTCGAAATGCGCTTTTGAAAATTTAACTTAGTAAAACTCAAAATAATAATACTAACATTTAATAAATAATCATATGAACGTCTAAGTATTTGTATCATGCCTCTTCAAAAATTAAACAAAAAGGGATCAATTTTTCATGTATGATTTTTTGACAAGTTTTCCTTGCATGTTATTGTTGCACAAAATCTCATCCAGGCACAGGGCCCAAAACTAATCACAATCAGGTCCTGAATTTAAATACACTATCTGTGCATAGTTTAACATTTTATGAAGTCTTAAAGGAAATGGAATTTTCATTGAAATCTAATATTATCAGAGAATAAACTATTTGATGGTTAATCCGACAATGATCACACTAAAATAAAATCACTATGCAATTGGAGAAAAAAAATAATAATACAAGATTTAAGAACTATCAAGAAAGCAGTAGAATTATTTGGCAGGAATTCTAGATATTCAACAGATGAACTCACAAAATCAGCCGACGTTTTTCATTTAAACAGACGACTATTTTATGATTTAGAACAGAGAAAGGCGTGATTGATGAAATAAATGTGTCATCACCCGAGTTAAAGAATGTTCATGTAAGTGAACATACACTGGGAAAAAGAAAAAGAAAAACTGAAGGAAATAAATCAGGAATACTAAACAATTAACCTTATCTAAAGGTTATTTAAGGCGATATATTATCGTATATTTTGCTCTCTTAGTTAAAATAACATACAATTAATAGAATTATTTAACTGAAATAAAAAAATTTCACATTGGAAGTCTTATTGCTAAAATGTTTTAAAGAGAATGCAACTAATTCCAAAAGTAGAGTAAGCTGGATATAAAGGCACAGTGAAATTAAATGTGATAATGATTAGGCTGTCAATAAAAGGGTGGTTTTTCTTTTTAAAATATACACTAACTAATAATGTTCTAATTGTTCTTTTTTTTTTTTTTGAGTTTTAATTTTTTACTATCGCTTTAATTTTACTTTAAATCATATATGTAACACATAGATTAAAATAATTGAAAAAATTATACTTTACTTTAAATTTTATATAATTCTAGGTGAGCCTAAATTTTTTAACAGTCGCCCTGAATACTTTCTTAAATGTCCGAGAATATAATAAAATGTATTGTTTAAAATCACAAAAGTCGGAGTCGGTCATACTGCACAAAATTTACCAACATTTATTACACTAGGCAAAATTGAAACCAAAAATTGCGTTACTGAACTGAAAAACTGAAATAAAATGGTGTTACAATTTAAGTTTAGCAAACAAATAAAGAAAAACGGAGAAATAAAAATCACAGAGGTACCTACGAATCCCGGAACCAGAGTTCGACCAAAGGGATCCGTAAGAAAAAGATTAGATCCAGTTTCATTAAATTGGAGAAATAGCATTTTATAATTTTTAGAACTTCTACAGATTTTCTCATAAAATTTTTAACCAGTAAAAATATGCAGTTAATAAATTTGAACAGGTCATTTAATATTGTACAATTTTTTAAGTTCAAGATTTCTCGACTTTTATATATTTTTTTTTTACTTTTAAACAGGGTTGGAGTTTTTGCCGGCAAAAAGGGGTTTTTGCCAGGACATTGGCAAAAACCTGGTAAAAACCGGCAAAAACTGGTAAAAACCGGCAAAAACCAAATTATCTAAATTGCTGATTAAATATTATTACAAAATACTTGAAACAAATTTAAATCAATCATAAGGAGGTAATTGTTCTCNGGCAAAATCTTGCCAACCCTGCTTTTAAATTAAATTTAATGTTTGAAAACTGAAAACTAATGCGAAAACTAATTTGGATTATAAAATCTGTGTTTGATTTTAATAAATATTCCAATAAAATATTTTGTTTTTGCATAAATTACGGGGGGAAAAATATTCTCCTCAGAAATCTAAAACTAAACAAATGCATAATACCAAATTGCACTTCAAAAAAGTGAAAAAGCTGATTAATTATGCCAAAAAATTCTAGAAAAACGTTCGCTATTTGTTCCCTATTTTGATCGTGCAACTACCTTCTATTTTACATGTTCCGAAAGATATTGAGGATTGTAAAGTAAATAGCTACGAGTTGATTTCATCAAGTCATAGTAATTATGTTAATGTTAAGGGAAACACAAAATGCACGTGAAGCTACAGAAATTAAGATTTTTTTCCTGCTCTTAATGTAAATGTTTGAAGAAATAGAAAGCCTGTTCCTCAACGCTATTTTTTATGAATTTGATTCCAAATAGTTGCACAGTCAGCAAAAGTAATTAGAGCGAATGTCATACAGTAAAGACGCGTAAAGGGCATTTACTAATGGAAAAGAAATAAGTCTAGTTCTCTAGGAATTAATAACTAGAAATAAGTCTAGTTATTAATTCCTTCCACGTATCTTCATAAATGAAGTTGAACGACTTTTTTGTTAATATTTTCTATGACTTGAAAATTCAATAAGAAAAATTAGCTTACAAAAAACAAGTTTGGATTTTTATTTTTAACTTCACTGCGGTCAAGAGTTGCAAGACTAAAGTTTCAATTCATTCCATTATTACAATTTTTATATTCAGAATTATGAAGAGAATTATACAAAGTTTAAAATCTGGCATTCTATAATAGACTGTAGAAAACTTAGCGACGACATATAGCATGAAAGAAAGTATAAAATATTTCACTCATTATCAAGGCCACATTATCTAGGCATTCTATAGAACGGCAAAGTAAGAAATACGTCAGACATTCCATAGAATATCGGCGTTTGATACTTAGGCCAGTAACAAATACAATTGCGCATATCAGTCACGATAACACAAACACCAATTCATGATTTTTGATTATTTTAATTTCAGATGAAGAAAAAAAAAATATTGCATATGTAACTCATTTTAATTTTTGTTTTGAATGTGGGTTTTGATGACCCAGGGTCCAACTTGAGCATCGCCAGATTAAACTGGTATATCGATCAGAAGGTCAGCATTGCAATTTATATTTCTTAATGAAATTCAATTAAATATTATCGATGATTTAATCCCCACTTTTTTTCTTCTTTTTTTCATTGAAAAGAACTACGTTTTCAAAAAATTTATATTTTTCACTAAACAGTTGTAACTAACTGATCAAATAAATATTGCATTACACCTTACAACTAGAGGACTAAAATAAGTCCATTGATTGTTCAGAAATGAGGCAGACAATAAATTGCGATGAATTATTTTCATAATTTTAATCACCGATTTCAAAAAATAATGTATTTTTAACTTGAAAATATTAATTTCTCCCTCTAACGCATGTACACTTGGAAAAAAACTTTCTCATTCTTTTCACATTCCCGACAATCCTTTTTCTTTTCTTTTTTTCTTTTCCCGACTAACATTTTTCATAAGTAGGGCGCCGTCCAGAGAAGGACGAAACTGAAAAGATCATACGATCTCATCAAGTTCAAGGACTTGACTGTTAGTTTATCGCTTACATCCACTAAAAATTGAATAAGTGATTTCAAAAAAGTTTAATAAATTAATCAGATAAATTAACGCAAAATTCGAGTGTTTTCATGAAAGATCATTAATGTTTTAAAGCTTTAAGTGCACTGAAACATTAATCTACATGTTGGTAACAAATTAGAGAAGAAAATAAACTACAAATGCTGTATAAAATTTATATCCATAAGGTTTCATAACTATTATACGTAGGTTTAATTCTCATAACTTAATCATGTAGTATGCAATAATTTGTTTGCAAATTGACGCGTTAATCGAATTTCGAATTTTTCAACTTAGTCTGATAGTTTCTTTAACGGAGTTTAATTTCAAATAAAGAACCTGTGAATTTTAATGAAAGATTTCCTTGCAATTTAATTTTAATGAAAATTATTTTTTACAAATACTATTTTATAAATTTTTTAAAGGAAATTATAATTTGTATATTCAAACTACTTAATACTGAAATACTGTACTCGTTATTTTACAATAAATGTTTAAAAATATGGGGCAAATATTTTAATACAATAAAAAATATTAGGAAAATAATAATTTTTGCTTGGTTCTTTTTTTTGAATTGAAGCTGTTCTTAAATAATCGATAAATTATTCTCAATATTCGAACGCCGCCGACCGAAGTTAATCTGTCGGGGTCACAAAGTTCCCATAACAAATCAATATTTCTGGAGGAGCTGAATTGGAGATCGATCGTTCTCTGGTTCATGTCAAAATTACGATGAATGAATGAAGTATGGATGGGTGCTTCGCGTAAAACGGACTGTGACGTGTGTGTGGCTGAAGTCGTATTCTCGGCCATAGATGGCGCCACTGAAAACAAGTAAAGCACCCTCTGCTTTAAAATCGCTTAGATTCCCCAGAGCAGGCTTGCTAGTATTGGCAAGCGACATTATAGTAACATAACATGCAAGTGCAATTTTAATATAATAATTAATTAGGGGTAAATACTTCAGTGGTATTTTATAAAAATAAAAAAATAAAAAATAGGAATATATTGAACAATTCTTATTGTGTAGGAAAAAATAAGATTAATTTACAACAATAAGTATAAAAATTAAATTAAATTTAATATTGGGATTAAAGGTTAGTAAGGTTTACTTAAAAATATTATCTTAAAATCAAGCAAGTATGTAACAAAAATTATTATTAGCAACTGCATTTATATTGTACATTCACCTTACGTAGGTACTATGTTTAATAACTATAATTTTTTCAAACAAAAGAATTTTTTTAAAGAAAGTGATGATTTATTTAAATTTATAACAGAAAAATATTTTAAATTGAGATTTTGTACAAAAATCTATTAATATAATTATATAAACTCAAGAATTAATAAGTATATTATTATTTCACTTATTGATTTATTTATTTTTAAAAGCTCAGCCTCTAGGCAAATTTCTAAAAATGCATAATACTTAACTGGAAAAAATTAACATTATCATAAATAGTACAAAACATATCATTAATATAAATTAATTTACTTAATTTTTTAATAATTTAAAAAAATTAATTATTACAATAAAATAAATCATAATTACGCATAACATGAAAAATATTTTAAAAAAAGGTATATTGTTGTTTTTTTTAATTGCACATTTTGAATAAAAAATTTAAAATTAAGATTAAAAAAAAAAAAAAAGACCGTAAATAGCCGAATTTAATTAATTTAAATTTTCAACAATTTTACAAATTAAATTAATACAATAAAAAAAGCCATGAGTAAATGTAATAAAAGTTAATTATTCTTAAAAATCATGAATTTAATTTTTAAAAAAAATTTTAAAAAATCTCGAAATTTGAGGAAAAATATACATTTAACATCGCATTTCGCACACAAATTTTATTATTTTTTTTTAATTAAATGAAAACTAATAAAAATAATAATGCGGAATCAACTTAAATCAGAATCTTACCTTTTGGTTATTCTCCACCAAGAAATCGTAAGTAGATAATTTGAGAACCATGAGAGCTCGGACCAGTTCCCACGTGGTTTTACTCTTGTAAGCATCTTTGGCATTTTCAAACGTCAAATCTAGAACATCTTTTTGGTACTCCGTAGTATCATTTGAAGTTGTTGACGTTTCAGGAGTTACCACTGTAGCTGCTGTAGACTTCCAGCAAACTTGACCACTTCGTATATCATTTCTCAAAATCGAATAAGCAATCGAAAGATATTTAGGGTTCGATTTAGGTATTATAGAAACCACGCCGCANTCATTCACATTACGTAATATGTTTAATAACTGTAATTTTTTAGAACAAAATAATTGTTTTAAAGAAAGTGATGGTTAAAATTTATAACAGAAAAATAATTTAAATTGAGATTCTGTATAAAAATCTATTAATATAATTATATAAACTCAAGAATTAATAAGTAAATTATTGTTTTATTTATTGATTGATTTATTTTTTTAAGCTCAACAAATTTCTAAAAATACATACTTAACTGGAAAAAATTAACAATATCATAAATACAAAACATATCATTAATATAAATTAATCTACTTAATTTTTTAACAATTTTAAAAAATTAATTATTACAATAAAATAAATCATAATTACGCATAACATAAAAAATATATCAAGTAAAGGTATATTGTTTTTTTTTTGTTTTTTTTTTAATTGCACATTCTGAATAAAAATTTAAAATTTAGATTTAAAACAACAACAACAAAAAAGACCGTAAATAACCGAATTTAATTGATTTAAATTTTCAACAATTTTACAAATTAAATTATTACAATAAAAAAAGCCATGAGTATATGTTTCAGAGTCAATTATTCTTAAAAATCATTAATTTAAATTTTAAAAAATTTCTTAAAAAAATAACAAAAATCTTGAAATTTGAGGAAAAATATACATTTAACATCGCATTTCGCACACAAAAATTCTTAATTTTTTTATTAAATGAAAACTAATTTAAAAAAAATAATAATGTCGAATCAATTTAAATCAGAATATTACCTTTTGGTTATTCTCCACCAAGAAATCGTAAGTTGATAACTTGAGAACCATGAGAGCTCGGACCAGTTCCCACGTGGTTTTACTCTTGTAAGCATCTTTGGCATTTTCAAACGTCAAATCTAGAACATCTTTTTGGTACTCCGTAGTATCATTTGAAGTTGTTGACGTTTCAGGAGTTACCACTGTAGCTGCTGTAGACTTCCAACAAACTTGACCACTTCGTATATCATTTCTCAAAATCGAATAAGCAATCGAAAGATATTTAGGGTTCGATTTAGGTATTATAGAAACCACGCCGCATGTCGCCATCTCAGACTACAGATTTGAAGAGGAGTGTTGTAAAAAAGAGCGAAATCGGAAACGGATGCGCGTTGTTTTAAATGCTCAATCACTATTTGCCCGAAAACTCGTACACAAAGACACACCTCTTTGAAGTTGATGCTTTATTTCTACACCCTTTCAGGCTGTTGCGTTCCAATTCTGCGGTCTGGGTTATCGTGCGTCACAGGTTGGGGAAAATAATTTTCACCTGTCAACTTGAAAGCAATGGGAATAAATGTAATTCAAATCTATCAGCTGTTTCGGAATAAGATATCTCTTAATTGTTTGAGTGGAAAAGAGATCGAGTTGGAAGTTATATAGTCTGAGTGATGAATTTTATCAGGAGTTCGGCTAAGGGGAGGGCGATGGAAAATTATAATGGAAAAAAGTTTGCTTGCGTCAATAACGGGACTTTGGCAAGATTCCCACAATGTAATGACGAAACAAGAAATTTCAACTGTCTTGGCAAATGTTGAGTGCAATTGTTTTAACATTTGTGTTTTATCTTAGTAAACAAACAATTTCATCTAAATTTTGCTATTTACTTTTTAAATTTTAATTTTTTTTTTTTTTTTTTTAATTTTAANTTTTTTTTTTTTTTTTTTTTTTTTTTTTTTTTTTTTTTTTTTTTTTTAAAGTTTCTTGTAAATGATATATTTAAAATTAAACTAATATTTATAAACATTATTCAAAAATTGTTAATTAAAAAAATGTAAACGATGTAATTGTTGCGATAACTTTATTTTTCTTATTTTTTCTTGAGTAATTTTTGTTAAGGCTAAATTTATTTAAAATTCATAAAATTAAGCATGAATTAATCAATTTTTGCTTATTTTTCCCCATTAGTATAATTATAATATTAACGTTCATTATAAATATTTATTTTAAATTATAAAGTACAAAGTTTTTTAGATGTAAACTTAATTTTAAAATACAGAATTACTAAGAATCAACAATTAAAAAAAAATATCGTTTTCTTTTTAATAAAAAATCGTACTTACGAAATTATCCAATATTTTTCGAACGTTGAAATAGGAATGACTTAAAAAAATACGTAAATTCAAGAGAGGATCGAGATCAAGAATCTCAATCTGTCAAAGGAAAAAAAAAAATACATGTTTTTATTCGGAGCAATTACTTTTTTTTCTTCTAATTTCGAAGTTAGACTAGTGGTTAATATTAACTAATTCATATCTATGAAATTTTAAAAAAAAAAGAAAGAAAAAAAAGACGATATTTTAGGTCAAAAGATTTTCTTCGTCTTCTGACTTTCTCAACTCAACACACATAATCACTTGCTTTCTTTTGTTAAAGTTGATAAAGTGTAAAAAGCACTAAATCTTTGAACTGTGATCTACAGTAAATGAACTGAATTTTATATATAATATATATTTAATTACAAATATGCGTTTAAACTATTAAGTTCATATTTCCTTTTTGTTTATTACCGCCTGTGGTTTAAAAGGTCACTGGCTTAATATTTATGTTATTAATATATTTTGTTAGATAACATTAGAGCCTTAGCAAAATAAATGTTGGTAATGAAACTTTTGTAGTATCACTTTTTAGAACAAAACAGAAAAGGATCGATCTTTTTAAAATATGCTTAATATAAATGGTTTAACGTTGTTAATTTCATTATATTTTTTTCCTACTTGAAAGTATATTTATTTTATATTAGGTGAATGCAAATTATTATCAGAAAACCCATCTTAATGCCACTGAATCTTGTTTCAATAATATTGGACTGCCGATTATCTAGAAAATTTAAGCCTCAATTTTGTCCATTCGCATTGCGCATGGAATATGCCTCCTACGGCCAGTGCCGTTCCAACGACTGACAAAGTTTCTCTTAAATTTATGTCTTCAAGTTTTTTTCGTTCACGTGTTTTTTCGCTCTGTAAAGCGTCGTGTTCGTGCAGTTGCAGCAATGATCTTTCTTCCATCAGTTAGGGACCATTCAAATATTAGGTAAACACCTAACAGGGAAGAGGAGGGTGTTTGTGATTTGTTTATTTTCTGACAAGGGGGGAAGAGGGGTGTGAGCAATACTTAAGTAAGATATTAAAATGCCTTTATATTCACTTTTTTAAGAAAAAAGAAAGAAAAAACGCAACAAAAAAACTACACATGGAAAAATTTCAAATGCTGAATAAAAGTTGAATTCTGAAAATGAAAAAATTAGAATTTGTTTTTTTTTAAAAATAAGTATTATAGGTCAAGGATTTGAACACAAAAGGAAAACACAAAAGACTCCTAAAGAATATTCGACTCACTTTTTTTTCTTCAATAAATCAAAATGTAAACTTTGTTAAGAGCAAAGTTGTGTCTTTTTATTTCAATTTATTCCTAGAACCGAATAACTATCGTAAATGTCAAAATTAAATCAAAAACCGATGCTTACGTAATATTTGAACGGTCCCTTTCAAAATTAAAACAACAAAAGTTTTTATTTTCTAGCAAATTTTTCGTTTCATTTATCTTGGTATTATTAATTTAAAACTCTAATGGATTTCATAGTGATGTTTATTGTTTAAACATCGTTATTTGCTCGAAATGTAAAAAAGAATTATCAAATAAAAAAACTTCGAACCTTACACAAATATTATATTTTATTGAGTTAATTGAAATACGTATCTGAATGAAATGTTAACGTTCGATCTTACGAATTTAAATTATATGGTCTAGGTGCCAACTTAGTGTTTTCACGACATTATTAATGATCGTTGATTAAGAAATATTTTCCTTGCCAGCCATAATGTTGTCTTCGTCAAGGTCAGCAAAACTTTTCAAGGCGACGTTTTGTTTCTGTTTGCATACAGAACGAAGTGTTAAAGTAAAACAAAAAGTGTAAAGCTCTTGCCAAGATTTTAAAAATATTAAATCTGAAAGAAAAAGAAAAAATAATTTTTAAAGGGTAACAAGGAAGGATTTCTTTTACGTTGCTGAATTGAATTCCATATAAGATTACAATTAGTAATAATTAAAAAAACCAGAGTAAGAACTTTCTAATTTACATCACTGGCATAAATTTGAAGTCACCTGAATATTTCGTTCTATAAATGAAAAAATAATAATGATAATAAATTTAAAAAAATTGCTATGTACAAAAAAGAAATAAAAAATCACGTTGATTTACGCATTAAATTCTAAATCTTTCGGTTGCTTGTTTTCTTAAAAAAATTATAATAATAGCATGATTTCTGTAAAGATTTATATTGAAATTTTTTACATTTTCGTAAACGTGCTAAGCATAAAAATTTGGTAGTTTGCAAGTTGCAAGACGTTAAAATTCATATAAGTTATAGTTCAAAAATTTAAATCGTGTAGAAAATTTATTCTAAAAGGATAAAATGCAAAAATATTAATTACTCTCTGCTAGTTTGTTTAAAGGGTATTGATTTCATCAAAAAAGCATCTGTGTACGAACTATTTTTTCCTGATTTTCTGTAACTTGTCCAAACGTCAACTTAAGATTCTGAATTTTTTACAGGAGTTTAACATAATCACAGATATTATTTAAGTGCAAGCACTTTTTTAAAAATATTGCAAATAACTTTTGTAGTTTAGCCTTCAGCAGAGCTAAAATTCGATGTACTGTGATGTCTTGTGCTCACGATAAAGTCTTAAAAAGACATGTTTTAATAGACAGTCATTTATTTTCTTTCTTTTTTTTAATAAAAATTATTTTTTTAAACTTCAAATATCAGAATTATTTGGATTTTTATGTAAAATAGTCTTAGTTAGACAAAAATATATAAAATATTTACTAATATTCTGGTGCTGGTATGCATTTAAGTAACATACGATACTTCAACCAATTATTATTTTTTAGCATAATAGGTTTATTAGAGGTCTACTGATCTTGCTTGCTAAGTGAAAAAAATGCGAATTGGAAAAAAAAGACTCAGAGACTAAACTTAAAATAAATAACTTTATACAAAATACATGAGTTCGCAGACGATTCCAATTTAGAAAATGGCTGTGTTTATTTTTTGTTTTCAGTGAGCTGGGTTTCAGTATTATTGCTGCAACTTAGGAAGTGTTTTGTGCATTATCTTATTCTTGGTGTCAAAATTATTCGGAAGGTTATGACATATATTCTTTTCAAAGAATCGAAAATTGTGTTTGGAAAAGCTCTTTATTCCCGTTAAAGCTTATTAGTTAAAAACGAAATTTACACACCTGTCAACAATTTTTTGCAATAAAAATTCGAACATGGTGAAAACTCAAAATATTATTTATTTCTGAATATTTTTGAAATTTACGTTTTTAACTGAAACTTAAACTTTATTTCAGGTATTATACCAAGATGTATTTATGCTACTTTCTTTATATTACCCACCTCGTAGAAAAAAATGTTGGTTGAATATAAGATAGAATATTTTTTTTATAAGTACTATAATCAGTAAATATCAGATATTATATTTATGCATAAAGTCCTATCTTACAATTCACCAAATCTACAAAGTTACTACTACTACTTACTTTCTTACAAAGTTTTTAATATATCATAGTGCACTATAAAAATATATGTTGTAAAGTATGTTGTTGTTTTTTTAAAATTTCGTTTTAGTGTAAAATTTTTAATCAATAAGCATTCAAGTTCTTATTCCCTTATTAAAATATTATTGCTTATGTGAAAATTGTGTTTGTCTATCATTTGTTTAACTCAGATAAAACACTTTTTATTTGTTGGAGCTCAAACTGATCAAACAGTAACACATATGATTTACGTCTCATTACGTTCGATGTTTATTTACTGATATATTTTGTAAACAGCAATCACTGGCAGATATGAAAATGAAGTCATTATCGACGTCACAAATACGTAAAATCGTGCAACACCTCAGATGTCATAGTTTTGTCAAAGGGTTTCCCTATCTTACAGTACACTAGATGAACAAAATATTAAGTGTCTGAAAAGAGAGATAAGGATCGAAAGGATTGTTAATCTAATAAAAATGATAATATTCTGTCATTTTCACTGTGCAGAACTAATTAATATTATTTTAAAAATTTGCTTTCGATATTGAGTCAAATTAAAATTTAAGGTGATTAAATCATAAAAACAAAAATTAAGAATAGTTTTAGATTTTTTTTTATGCTTTTAAGCTGCTATATATTATAATAAAAAGTAGTTTGTTTGTTTTTTTTGCGCAAATTAGAAGGAAAAATGTGCTCGAGCTAGCCCAAATAACATAGAGACAAGCGTAGTAACATAAACAGAATTGAAATAATGAGGGAAAAAACTAAATAAAATAAAAAATTATATCACGACCGAAAATTTCTTCCACGTCTTTAAAAACTTCGTTTTAGGTCCAACAAAATTAAATTATTTTTTTCTTTTTCAGTCCATTTGAGAAACATTTT